TCATTTTAAAACAAATAATTTAGGGTCAATTTCAGGATGATCCTGCAGGCAGGATAACTTTGTGCTGTTTAGGGAAATTCAGGATGGCTGTGCTTAGTCTATTTTTAGTACTTTTAATAGTTTATGAGAGTATATTTAATAGCCTGATACTTTTATTTGTGGAAACATTTAGGAAGAGGCAGGCTTCCTCACATATTGATCGTTCACCGAGGAGGCATGTTAGCACTTTATTTTTGCTCTGTTGTAGAGGGAAATGCAGTCAGCAGTTTTAGCATGTTGTGCTGCCAGTAGATTTGAACTCTAAGACTAGGTTTTTATATTTTATTTCCAATGTTTAATTTGCAACAAGAACTGAAATTCCAGCAAGACCAGAGACTGAACACGAGACTTCCTTCTGAGGCCTTTTCTGGTGCTTATGTCCCTCAGTCTCAATTCCATTTTCCATTATTGCTTTATCCGTTTTTGATCCCATACGTGATGTATAAAACCTTTTTTAAAAATAATTTTTTTTTGCTTTGTCTTTTAGAGATTACATACGTTTTGGAGAAATTCTTAAAATTCATGTTCTTTAACTTGTCACACATTGAATATTCATCCTCATTTCTTTCTCCTTCAGTTACCATAGCCACATGGTATATATACACATACACATTCCATATCCTTTTCCCTTTACCTCTGCCTGAACAGGGCATAGTCTATCTCCTTAATATTGAGATTATAATTGGATTTAACTACTCAAGTTATGGTGGTTTCCTGTGTCTGCTGTTCAGTGTGCTCATTCTATTCCTTCCTAGCTGTTTTGAGGAGAATGGAAGGTCAAATGCAAGGTTTGACTTTGCATTCTCCTCAAAATATATTAAAATGTTCGTGTTCAGAAATTGAAATTCCTGTTCTCCTACTAGATCAGTGGATAAACATACTGTGCTAGAGACCAGAAAGAAGTAAATTACCTTACAATTCAAATAATATGTTTTCTTTTATTGCTGCACATCATTCCTGACAAATATAAAAAGAAACTTGCTACGGGCTTTGTTTATGCTGCTCTTGGAAAATTAGGTGAGAGTCGTCCATGCTAATTTGATATTCAAATTTCACAATTTTGTGTGGGGAAGTGCCAAGCATGAACACTGCTTCTTTCCCGCATCATGTGGCTGAGGTTGGAAACTTGGCAATGAGGGCATGACCCTGCATCTTACCCATTTATGGTACCATGTGTCAGTGATGCTTAGTATACATTAATTTCAGTTGTGAAATTTAAATTCACTTGTTTTTCTCCTGTGGTATTCAAATAGAGGTTACTATTGTAGGCCTGCTTAAATGTCAATTTTATATGAAATGGGTATTATCTTCATGAAGTGTTTACCGAACCTTCAACAGTGACCTTATGTAAATTGCATTGAAAGGGGTCTCACTTGCTTGTGATAACAGTATTACAATGGCAAAAATGACACACACCTACCTTTTGACCGTCCACAATGTTTGTTAAGAACTTTAATGAAAAAAGCACCTCTTTAACATTCATTTCATGTTGCATTGTTCGCTCACCTGTTTCTGTCATCTGGAGCTATTTTCTAAATTTCTAAAGGAATACTACTGGAAAGTTCTTGTAAAAGAAAAAATAAGCTGCCGGTAGGGAGGAAGTTGCACCGTCTAGCCAGTTGTAAAATAGCAGCAGCAGGTGTTAGCAGTTAGAGATCAGGAAAGATAGATACCATAACACCAGGAAATGACTGTAGTCAACAACAAACTCCAGGCTCATAGTGACCTCTAGTGGGAAAGACATTTCTGATATCTCACAATGATTTTTCCCTGGCTCCTTTTCTCTCTTCCTCCCACTCCCGCCAATTATTTCTGTGGCAGTAAACTTGCATTGTGAACATGCTGTTTCATTTATAAACTAGGTTTTCACATGCAATGCACCTAGTCTTTACTTCCTTTTGCTCTGTTACTTTCTCCCTTTGAGAACTGATAGTCACATAAAAAAACTCTTCAAAATGGTATTTTATTTTTAAAATATTGAACCCCACTTTAACCCAATTGTATGTTGTGGCACTTAGAACAGGGTGACTAAATACCAAATTAAAAAATGTAATGATATAGATATTTTGCTTTAAATAAACCGGATGTGTTCCTCAGGGCTCTTTAGTCCTCTTTTTTCTTCAGTTCCTGGTGATTTCATCTGCAGGCATGGAGTTCACTTCCATATATATGTAAATGACAGCCAACTCTACCTTTCTGCCTCTGCCCTAGTTTCCAGGAACATTGCCATTCTGACTGTCTGTTGGACATCAAATCCTGGATGAGTCTTAACCTGGGACAATAGAAAAGTGCGGAACTATATAATTTGAAAAATTTTGTGGAGAATTGCAGTGGGGGTTGATTGAGGTACATTTTACTGCCAACCTACATTTTTTTTACTTTATTGATAAAAGCTGAACATGAGGAAGTAACACATATTAAATCATTGCAAAACAATATTGGGTTGAACCTGCAATCAATACAGAGCATAATATATAAGCAGGACTTAAAGTAAGGCATTTGGCCTATTCCTCCACAAATTCCAAACTTTCCCCAGTTTAATCACATGTATTTTTCAGTATGATCTACTGGTGCTTTTACCCACCAGACTATTCAAGGATACAATCCTGTACTCATTAATAAGGTAATAGAGTAACTCCAACTCCAAAGCAATGGGCTGCTGAGAGGAAACTGGGAAAAAAAGATGACATTGGAGCTCTGATTCAAGAAACATTTTCCAGTGTTATTATTGTTTGTACATTGTTAGGGCTATTAAATTATGTGCATTTTAATTCACTTAATTATTTATTTTACTGTTTTACCCCGTATTTAATGATTCTTGAATATCTGTACTTTATTGATAAGTTTATTAATGTTTTAAAATTTGCATGAATTTTTACATTGTCTATTTAAAGCACAACTTGCATTTATATAGCACCCTTTACTCCAGGTGGTATCTCAGAGCGCTTAAAAGTTTGCATTGTAACTAAAATATAGAGAAATTAAGTAAATTACATAATTTAAAACATTGGATTTCTGTATGATTCTTACGGGTTGTATTTCTGGAAGGGAAACACAAAAATATTACTTAAGCGGCCTGCGGACGTTTTTTTTTCCCAAATCCAGTATCCGGCCCTAAGCAGCCAAAAGGTTGGACCAACATGGTTTAGTCTATGTGATTCCAAGTCCCAACATGAGGCTTGAACTCACCACCTTCTGACTCAGAGGCGAGAGTGCTAATCAAGCGCTCCAAAATGCTACCCTGTGTGAAGGGCGCGATATAAATGTATATAAAGTTGTTGTTGCTACCACTGAGCCAGGCTGATGACACACCCGTGTCACGTTTAATTGCTTGACCTTGCATTGGGAGGTCAATTTGAACATTTATAGAAAGCAATATTTTGTCTCCTTTCCCCGTGTTGCGACCCGTTGATGTAGCTGAGACCCTAGGAAGCTCCATCGTTCGTGCCCAGGGTGGGCAGGGAGAAACGCTGGGCAAGTTTCCTTACTCCACACGCCTCTGTTTTCCTAGCAGTAAGTAGGAACCTGGTTGTTAGTCGATTGGCGGATCGCTTTTCCGGGGGTAATAATCCCTTCAAAAAACAAAAAAAAATTGGTCAATTCAATCCCGCGACTGTTTGTGGGGACTCTGCTGTGAGCAATTGGCTGCTGCGTTTCGCCCACAAAATGTAGTCAATTCACTTCACAGTATATCCTGTGAAGCCATTTGAGACGTCTCGAAGACGTGATAAGGCGCCATATCAAATGCAAAGGATTATTATTGTTATGTCGAGTCAACTTTCCTCTCCTTTACCAACATGGCGGCGGTGGGCGGTGGGCGGGGCGCTCGCTGATGACGTTTTTCGCCGTAACGCTCGTTTGTTGCGTCTGTAAAACATTTTTTAAAAAATACCCGACGGACCGTGACACGAAAAAACACACACACACACACACACAATTCGGGGGGGGGGGGGTGGGGCGAATTAAACGTACAGTTTACGGCCGACACCGGCGGCGCCCTCCACCTCCTCCCCCCTCCCCCCCACCCCAGCAACAACCTTTAACACCGCGGCGGAAGTCCCGCCTCTTACCCCGCGCCCATTGGCTCCCCACCGGCTGCCGGAAGCCCCTCCGGCGCATGCGGCGCCTCCTATTGGCTGTCGCGGCCTGTCCATCGCTTAGCTGGCTCCTCCCCCCCACACTTCCCAGCGCTCGAGGAGGAGGAGGAGGAGGTGTCAGTGGGAGAGGGGGTGTGTGTATGGTGGTGGTGGGGGGGGGGGCGGAGCGGGAGGAGCGAAGGCAGAGCTGTGCGGCGGGGGAAGAAAATGTCTCTCGTAGGTGGACGCCGGGCGCTGCAAACGGATTGCTAGCGGCGCGACGAAGCGGAACAGCTCAGAGCCCGCCGGCCCGGCCGTGCCCATATGTTTCACTCGTGAACCCTCCCCGCACCGTCTGAAGCCCCTGGACTTGCGGTTTCATTTGTTTTCTGGTGGTTTTTTTTTTTGCTCTCGGCCTGGTTCGTGATGCCTGGACCAGTATGATGTCGCCGCCGCCGCCGCCGCTGCTGTGCCCTCCCCGTTGGCGTTCCAGGCCCTGCGACTTAAAAGCCCAGTGTGTCTTACGAGCTATGCCATCCCTCTAAATCTGATGTAAAAGCCCAGCGCCCAAAGTTGCCACCACACACACATACACACACACAGACACACACACACACAAAACCTCTACCCTCCCCCCCAAAAAAAACCCAACCCAACCAAAAAAAAATACATCCAAGCAATGAGCGAGTCAACGTCATTTTAAACCCAGGGCTCCAAAAAAAAGGAACGCTGCTGTTTGTACCATCAGTACATGTTGCCCTCACGAACGACTTGAGGAAAACTTAACCATTTTTTTTCTTCTTCTTCTCTCGGTGTGTGTGTGTTTTTTTTTAAAAAAAAAAGCTACTTCTACTTTTACTTTTTCTTTTTTTTTTAAAAAACCAAACAACAACAACAACAAAAAACAAACAAACAAACAAACAAAAATGGCTCAAGAAAAGATGGAGCTGGACCTGGACATTCCTGTATCATTGTCACAAAGTGATGGGATTCTGAGAAGATCCAACAGTGCCCCTATGATTAATGGGCTGAGGTATGACATAAAAGTCAGAACATTAGGCCTAGTGTGGAAGTTTGGTAAAGTGATGGAACAAGAAGGAGAGGAAGAACAATTTGAATAAAATAAGCCAAGTCTTCGGTTAGCTAAAATGTAGTTGTATCAGAACTGAATATAGCTGTTACGGTTATGACAGTGAATTAAGACAAGTAATAGTGTGCCCTGTTTTCCCAAATAAGGCACGAGTCTTCATTAAAAAACCTGCATGCTGTTGGAACAGAATTGCAATCTATGACCTAGCAGATTCGGAGTATTGCCTGAGAAAATACTTCATGTTATGAAAATTTAAGTATTTAAGTTATGAAAATTGGTGGTTGTTGATCAAATACAAAATTTCTGAACGGTGGGTGTTTCTTGATTTATAAAGAGACTTGACAAAGAATCACCAAACTCAAAATACAAATCACTTTTGTTGTGATAGTTGAGCTGTCCGTTTTTATACATTATCATTAACCAAGAAAACTAGTTATTGCTTACAGGTTATGTCAATGATGCAACTACACAAACCAAGAAATAACAATTTGAAGGGGGGACGTAGGGGGAATAATTGAGTATATTTCAAATAATCTGCTATGAAAGAAAACTGATACTAAAAATAATGATTTAGTGTGTGATTTGAAATGATTCCATAAACCCTTAGGTCCCACACGACTTACCATTTTCATTACCCATTCAACTCCGCAATTCTGCTTCCATTGCCATCAACCCACCCATCCAGCTGATGTGAAAATGATTATTTTTAAATTAATTGCATGACATTTGGCAATGATTTTAAAACAGTAATTGAATCTTCCAGATCTGATATTAAGAGACTACTTGAAAGTCATTCTTTGGATCTGTGATGTAGAGCTGCTCAATTGTTATTCGCTTGTCAGACATCTTATGATTCTACATTTAATGTGGGGTCAGACTTTTATTGGGAAATATCCTCAATCTATAGGTAACCAGCTAATGATACTTGCCTTATTAGATAGGTTGAGTGTAGTGGATCTTGATCTGAGCTTCTGTTCCCTATCCCTGGCCTTTGCTGTTAAAATGTTAATGAGCAGAGCTTATTCATCTTGCCTAGTGTAATTAAAACAAACTAGTTGTGTCGGCAGTAAGGAGCAAAAGACAGGCAGAAGCCAGGAACAGTAAACTTTCCATCCGACGTACAATGCTATATTGTGCTAGGAAACTAATACATAAGCTTGCCGAACGAATAGTGTTAAATTGAAATGTAAGGTTCCAGTGTTCACTTATTCAAAGTTCCACAGAAAAAAAACTTGTCTTATTCCAACCCCATTACTGTCAGCATTGTCATTTGTAATCTGTTGTGATCTATGGCACAACCATGTACAATACATCAATGGAGCGAGACTGCACTATTTTTTCAGTTCTAGCTGTTGGTGTGTAATGCTGCCAGGTAGACAAAAGAAGAACATTAGACCAACTGACTCGGTACCACTGAGGACGGTGCCGTGAAGAGAGGACACATAACCTGATGGGCTGGCAGCACATGTTGTGACATCACAATAATCGTGGCAACATGGACGCCTCTCTTGATGAGCTGACCCAGTACCTGTAACGTCCCAGGGATAGAGACAGGATGTGGGACAGGACCAGGAAATTAGTGAAGTGCTGGTGGGAGAGACAAAAAAACAAAAGAAGAATGGTAGAAACCGGAGCAAAGTGAGAGGATGGAACAAAAACTGACCAGTATAAGTAAAGGGATTAGGAAAGATATTGACCGTTTATGGTGAACTTAGTTTTAATTACTAAATTGAGCACAGCTACGGGGCAGTTTTTTTTTAAGACTTAGATATTTTAGTATGCCACAGGTAGTCAATTAGGCCAGCATCCAGACAGCAACTTGTGGTCAGTTAACAAAGGAAGCAATATCCTGACAACTAACATCTTTCATAGTTTGCTCTGAGCGTGATCCTTATAATACTTGAAACTAGGGATGACGTTTTCAAAGAACTATTTGTTACAACTATTTGAAGCTTTTGGGGGTGAGGCCAGTGTCGTGCTATAGTCATACCGTGAGAAAAGTTATTTTATTTGAGTGTTTTTTCTTTTCCATTATCATTGCAGTTGACTGTCATTGTAGTTTCAAAATATATCTTTGAAATATTTTATCCAATGTGAAGGAAGGCAAGTTTGAAAGATGTTATGTGAGTACTCGACCCAAAACCCGTGGACCTGTGATAAATACAATTTACGAGAGTTCTAGGAAGTCTTTTAATGCTGCACTTGTGAATGTTGAAAGTGGGGACACAAAGCAAGCAAAAATCCTCACTTTTTTTTAGGATGTATCCCTGACTCTTGATACTTTTTTTTAATGTTCCTCCATTTCTATTATGATATTTGAAGCTTCATTGCCTTTGGAATACTGTGAATCCTTTGGATTTTGTCCATGTTGGTGTCGGTGTTGCTGTTTGGACTACTGGGACACCTCAGCTTTGAAAAGTTGAGCAGCCAACTGATCATAAAGTCTAAGAAGTCCTTTGATTTCCTTTGTCAGAACTATGTACATCTTCAGTTGTTATTCCCATATGAGTAGAGCTGTCAATGCTATACATAAGTATGAATATGAGTAATAAAAAATGTCCTGAGATGGAATGTTTGCATAATAATTGGACAAGGGATTCATTTATCCCTTCAGTACCTGTTTGATGTGAGCATATTTCCAAAAACAGATTTTGTATTAAATGTACACTTGGATTTCAGTAGGGAAACCATCACTGGTTAACAATTGTGAATGTTTTTTTTCCCCTTTCCAGGCAGGGTTACTGAGGCCAATTGTAACACTTTTTCTGTTGTCCAGTTGCAATCTGGTATTGAACCAGCAACATCTGATGTGTTTGGCTAAGTGATAAATAATGTCTTTAGTTATCATCTGTTGTTATTGTTGATGTACCTTTGATGAGGTGCTTTGGGATACATTTATTTTGGAGATAAGTAAAACATGAAGATAAAATGTATCTTGTTGAACTATCATTGGTGTATCTGGAATACATCACAGATCTTTTTCACGCTTGATTAGGAATCAGACACATGCCTAGTCTATTGGATTGAACCTGAACCCCAGTAACTTTCTCTGGCTGAAATGCTTTTCTCCTTCAAATTTTCATATCTCCATGGCATAAGGAGTGATGCTTTTGATATACTGCTTTAATAGACATATAATTAAAACTGAAGTCTTGTATTTTTGCCCATGTGAGTCCAATGAATTCCCTGTCTTGTTAGACTGTTCAGTTTTGTGGGTATAATTGTAATGATATTGACTGTCATTGAGAACCAGTTTTTCGGTATCTGGGTGAATTTACACTGACAGAACTACAACAAACGGTATGTGAGTTTTTTTTACATTAGGAACAATTTGGAATACGTATTTTATGTAATTTATAAATGGTGCCAAATGGAAGTTAGATTTGGGGATAAATCAAACTTCAGTCTGGCAATATAAATTGATAATTCATGTAAAATTAGCTCGGATCACTGATGTTAGTGGTTAATAGCAAGATGATTGATACTGTAAACTAACTGATTCAGTGTGTTTAAATTATGGTAATGGGTTTATTCTCATAACACAAATGTGATGATTGCAATTCAGTAGAGAGATTCATCGAATACAACCAGGTAAATCTAACCATTCTTGGGAAATATCAGCATTGAAATAAAAGTGCGGGATGAAGAGAATCAGTCTTAGTGGATTCTGTTTGTTTTTCATTTCTGATTTTAGTGACGCCTCACAGGTTTTTCAACCAGATTCCTTACGCAACAGGAGGAACAGTACCACCGTTATGAACCGTCACAGTCAGGTAAAAAAGCTAACCACTTACTCAATAAATACTTCCTTTACTTGTTCAACATTGCTGTGAAATGTATTAGTGCACAAGTTTTGGGTTGTGTGATATTACAAGAATCCATGGAGTCCAGGACTATAAGTGAACCTCCAGTTTTTGGTTTGTGGCCATTCGGTCTGTTGTGAGCAAGTTAATGTTAGTATCACGTACGACAATGCACGTGCAATGGTCTGCTGAGGGAATTTTAAATCATGTGTATTTTCAGCAAGCAAATAACAATGTTAGCCCCAAATGTACTACTCTCCTGTGCTTAGACTTTCAACCGTGTCCATGGACTTTGGAATACTTATCAAACTTCCCTGCTGGGTTACGAGCCTGAATTTACTGTATATCCTAATAATATTGATCTTAGTATGTCCATAACACAAAAAGGGCCCATAATTTGGAACATTTCACAATAATTTGACAGTCGTGTAGAAAAGATGCAAGGATCTTTAGTATGGGAAATGGAAATGCCTCACTGTTAGTAAGAGATACCCTTCGAGTTTGGGATAGAACCACATTGTGAAGATAGATTAGAGGGAGCTTTTCCATGTATTTGGCTCAAATGATACCTGACCTGATAGCAATACTGAGCGGTGCCCAAATATTGCAAAACTGCAATTTCTAACCATTTTATAAAATTTGTAATGAAAAGTTTCCACATTTTAGTGTTTATCTTACTTTCATTTTCTAGCTTGTGCCCTCATCACCAGTTCGTATTCCCAGCAGCAGGCTACATCAGATTAAACAGGTAAAGTTCTTATGAGGTTTGAAAGCAGATGTATATTAGATCTGTTGTTATTGTCACTTAGCAGCCCTTTCTGGCAGCTCATTTTGGAGAGATTATTACAATAGTAACAAAAAAAATCCAATCTAGTGAAATGAAGGTGTTTAATTTTGATTTGACTACCTCTGCAGAGACTATTAGTTAAGAATAGCAGATGCAATTGGTCCTGTATTTATCATTGAATGCAGGTTTTGAATGTTTTTATCCATACAGTCTTCTATTCTCACTCTTGTTATTTCAATTGTTATGAAGCAGAATAAATTCTACATGGCACAGTTCAAGATCCTCATCCTCACCTACAAGGCCATTTCCGGCCTTGCTCCCTCCTACCTCTCCGACCTACTATCCCCCTACTTACCTGCACATACCCTCCGTTCCTCTGGCTCCGGTCTGCTCCACATCCCCCGCACTAACCGCCCTACCATCGGTGGCCGGGCCTTCAGCCTCTCAGCCCCTAGGCTCTGGAACTCCATCCCCCAGTGCCTTCGCCTTGCTTCCTCCTTTTCCTCCTTCAAGGCCGGTCTCAAGACCTTTCTCTTTGACCGTGCCTTCAGCTCCCCTCTCGACTCTCTACCCGCTCCTCGCTCCCTCCCTTCCCTCCCCTCACCCTGACCATTTCCCCCCTGCTTGGGTCCCGACCCAACTGTCCAGCGCCGTGGGACGTCCTCCCGACCTGAAAGGCGCTCTATAAATGAAATCTTGTTGTTGTTGTTGTTCAGGCAAATGAAGATTTTTTGCTTGCAGCTTTCCAGGCTTCAAATATCTGTTCAGTTACTGAGACGCAGCAATATTTTCCTTTTTATATAAAATAAAAGCACTTGCTTTAGAACTCTGGTTCGCTGCAGAAATATAAAATATTTATTTATTAGTTACAGAAGAAACACATGTGTGGTTTACTATTGTTTCATAAATTTTATATTGGATATCAGATCCAGTGGAATACTGGATACTGTATATTCATACATCAGGGGAATACTGTATATTCATGCTGTATGCATACTGTATACATACTGTATATAGGCAATAGATTACCCATATTTTGTTTTACCCATGATTTAACCTGAAACCTTTTTCCCTTTTACCGTTCTTTATTGCATGCCACTGATTGAAAAAGACAAATCAACTAAAGTATTCATATTTATAATTGTCCTCATAATATAAAATGGGACATCAGTTCAGTGACTGTTAGTGAAGTCAGCTTTCCAGATACAGTGAATCTGATATAGTTTGTGACCTGATGCCTGCACAGTATACTGTTAATGTACATGTAAATCTGTGCAAAGCTGCTGCTGTGACTGTTTGGGATATTTTGCTGCTTTTTATTTTTGCATTTCAGCTGTGCTCCCACTGCTGTGCATTGCTTGAATTGAGCTGATTACGTCCAGATCTTTGCTGTCAAAATGAGGATGTTCTAACCATTTGGTCTGTGCGTGCACGTGTATTCGGCCCCTCTTAAATATACTTTAAAGCACAATAGTTTCAAGCTTAATTTAGATCAGAACAGTGTCTATGAATTCAATTAATTAGCTCAACTGTTTTTTTTTGCCAATTCTGGTACTTGACACAAAGGAACAGACAGGAAACAGACGGAAAATAGTGACCCAGTGCTTCTAGCAGGTGACACTTTGTCTGAAAATGGGATTGTGAAGTACGCTTATTAACCATTTATTGTAGGAATTTCAATGGATTGCAAGAATGTAAGTCCGTGACCATGTTCTTCATTCAGAACATCCATCTTTGTTGTGCTGTGATACAGAACAGAGGCCAGGCCCTTTCTGGTTCAATCAGGACTAATGTGATCTATTTGATCCATTCATCAATTACATTATTGCGATTGCAATTTAAAAAGTGTCAAATCGTTTCCCCACAAATGTGGGTTATTTTAGGAATATTTCACAAATCGTGAGTTGTCTTTTGAAGATTTTCTAAAACAGACACATTATACTACACTTCTAGTAAATAAATTAAGGATTATTTAGTATTGCGTGATTTCTGCCTCAAAATGTGATGAGAATTTTTTTAAAAAGTAGCTACCTTGATGACATGCAGTTGTGAAGACAATTAACAAAGTAAAGATGTGTTTTATTGCCTTTCTTGCAATATGAATCTTGTGGTAAAACGTATTCGTTTTTGTGGCTCCTCTTTGCTACTATGAACAAGACAATCTCTAGATCACTTATTCGAAATTAGTGCAAACAAATATTTTGTTTTAAGGAATGAGTTTGTTATTTCAGTAACTCTACATTGCTGATGACCACATTTGAGTATCTGCTCAGGTAAGGATCAGTAATGAGATCTATTCCAGTCACACAGACTCATTAATGCTGATAAATGGGTCCATAATAGGTTTGGAAGTGATGGACCAAATTTCTAAATCCACATATTTGTATAAGGCTACTGTGTTTGTCCTTGCCATTAAAAATAGATTATGTGGTTGATTGTACACTGACATGTACTTAGCAAATGTTGTAGCATTTTGGGGATTTTATTTTAAATAGGAGGAAGGAATGGATCTCATGAACAGAGAGACGGCACATGAGAGGTAAGATTGCTGGACAAATCCTTCCTGGTTTCATAGAGGTTTTAAACCAATGTCACCACTTCCCTGCTGGCCTAGTGCTGCAAATCTCAGTCTGTGTTGAGCGAGTTGATTTCAGCTTAGGCAGGATTAAGGAGTAAAACAGTGGCCCTCCTGGGACAAGGTAGGGAAACATTAACCTTGGTTACCCTTCCTGATCACCATCCAATGGCTTTCGCTGAAAAGTGCCAATGTGTAGATGTTGGGTGAGGCAGGGTTAGCCCTGGGCTGTGACACTGATACTCTCTACGCTCACACATGAAGAATAGACACTGGGACAAGTTATACATAATGCCAAACCTTATTAAAATAGAGATATCTACACTTACTCAGAATTCCCGTTTTTCTGTTTTATATTTTCAGAGTTGAATCCCACTATCATTACCAAAGTTGCACTTTAAATGTACAGATCAATTTAATCTTGGGACGGTGGAAGGGAAAATAAAATGGTATTATGATCAGTACCTTATGTCGATTCTTTATTGATTCCAATTTTGTGTTCTGTAAACAGGGGAGTGCAGGCAGCGATGCAAATGAGTGTTTCCTGGGAAGAAAGTTTAAATTTGGTAAGTGCCTGGAGAATTTAGGAAGACAAACTGATGAGTGGATGTCATTTTTTTGTCATTGTTCGAATTTCAGTAAAGTGAATGCTGGCCAGTTTCAACTAAATATTTAGATGTTGGTTAGCAACACTCAAGTTTAGTATGAATTGAGAGAGTATTTGTTTGTCAGATTTGTGTTAACAAAGACATTTTCTGGGAGCAGAGATATTTTTAATTCTTGTGATAGAATTAACAGACAAAATGTTGAAGACCCGCATTGATTTATGAGTGCCACAGCCACTTAATATAGCAGGCTAGCTTCAAGAGGAAATTAGGCCTTGCTAAAATAAGGATGTTAACTTTTTATAACACATAATGCACAATAAATTAAGTAGATCAACAATAACAATACAAATATTCACATAAATAAACTAAACTGCAACAAAAACAACCACAGCTTGCATTTATATAGCTCCTTTCATGTGAGGTAGCATCTTGGAGTGCTGACTAGATAGACACTGCTGAGGTAGGGGAGTGGGGAGGTCTGGCCATTCATAATTATTTGAAACTAACCTTATTTTTCTATAAGAGCGACAATGACCTGGATAAATCAGCCTCTCCAAAGCGCATTGACTTCATCCCAGTGTCTCCAGCTCCATCGCCAACCAGAGGGATAGGAAAGGTAGGTAAAATGACAAAGATAATATAAGCTTAAAGAAGAGATCTCAACAATCCGTCAATGTTCTTCTACATTTCTTTTCTGAAAATAACTTATTTAGGTTGTTTACAAAGATGACTGATGCCCTTCACACAGGGCTACTGTTGAATATGAATGTTATCTCCTCTTCTGGTGATGGAGAGGGGAAGAGATGCACCATCACTGTTGTCTTGAGTGTTGTTGCTAAATTTACATATCTTACCAACTATTGTAAGGGAGACCTTAAATGATCAGATAACTACTTTGTGTGCAAGCTTCTTGTATAATCCTTGAGTTATGGTGGTTTGGGCTCCCTCAGAGGAAGAGCATTGAATGGTGAAGCTCTTTGAAAAAGTTAACTAGTCTAGTTTGTATGTGAAGGAACCTGCTTTCTCAGCTCACAGTACCAGACAAGTGAACAATAAAGAATGAATGTGAAAATTAAAAGGGAATATATAAAAATACCCCTGTAATGATTTAAAACGTACCACATGTACATTAGGGCTTTGCCAACACTTCTGTATAACTGGTTGCTTGGAGCTACGTGCACATGGTGCTATCGATTTGATCTCATATTTTCTGTTTTCTTTTACTCTCCTGATGGACTGGCTGAGATAGGAAGTGATTCTTAAGGGATTCATGACTTTGCCTTGATGTCATACCATTCTGAGATGTTGTGCGTCAAGTAGGAAGCACCTGCAGGAATTAAGTACACTTGAAAAAAGTACAGTTAAATATGATTATGGCTCTCTTCTACATCTCTCATTGATTCAGTTACTGTTTCACATTTCCATTCAAGACTGAAGCAATTGAGATGGGCTGTAAGTTAGCAGAACAGAGTTAAAATTAAAAACACACATTCTGTTCATGACATCTCCTTTTAGTACTTTGTGTCAAGTTAGATCGTGAACATCTCCTGTAAAACTGATGATACGTATTTATTTCTAGAGGCAGAAGTTAATTAAAAGTCAAATGTTACTTCAAAGTCACCAGAATATAATCCAGTTTTAAGAACTTTTTGTTGTTGATTGATGAAAGTTGTATTAACTTTCCACTGATACTGCCAGCAACGGTTGGAAACTAGGTTTAATTTCACTTGCGAACTGGGTGCAACTGAGTTAATAAAAAGCAAGGTTTCTTGTTGTGAGTGATTGCAATTAAATATGGAGGAGTTTTAAATGCTTCAGTAACAGAATCGATTCTCATTACTTCCCCCACAGCAATGTTTTTCACCTTCTTTGCAAATTTTTGTGAGTAGCAATGGGCTGCCTCCAAGCCCTGTCCCCAGTCCAACCAGAAGGTTTGCTACGTAAGTACTATCATTTTATCTGAAGTTTTTTAAAAAAACTTGCTGATGCTTTAAAATGTTCTTAGAGAACCTTATTAAGTTAGTCAATTTACTGTGTAGCGTTTCTAATATGCAAATCAAAATCTGGTAAAAGATGACTTTTCAGTGACCCTCTAACCTTATTGATAATAATCAGAATAATCCTTGGATTTGATATAGCACCTTATCAGGTCTTCAAGACGTCTCAAAGCGCTTCACAGAATATATTGTAAAGTGAATTGACTGTATATTTTGTGAGCAAAACGCGGCAGCCGATTGACACAAATGTCATGGATTGACATTTGTTAATTATTATTTATTTATTTTGGAAGAGATTATTACCCCCGGAAAATGGATCCGCCAATAGACTAACAACCGGGTTCCTACTTACTGCTAAATAAACAGGCAGAAGGAAACTTGCCAATGTTTCACCCTACCCGGGAATTGAACCCATGTCCTCTCGCTTGTGAGACAAGTGTTCTAACCACTAAGCTACAGGACTCCACAGCATGGTGAATATTCTCAAAACCCGGACTCAAATGCTGAGTAGAACTAAAGCCAATATGAATAGCTATGACAGTGGATAATCAAGTAGTGAGTGGTTACCTTAATCACCTTTTTAATCTGGATCATCATAAACTAATCTCTTGATTTAGAAATGGTGCAGTATTTGGTAAAATTCTATACCCAAGCTAGATTTCTGAGTTTATTTGAACCTGTAAACTTTCTCAGGAAATGTATTTAATTAGTGGATGTGCTGCAATGGATATTGTTCTAAAATCTTATTTGTCAACCATATGCATTTGGTATTGAGATAAAACTTGGATTTAGAAATTGAATGAAATGGATATTCTCAAAAGTATCCATATCTTCTTAGGATTACAAAGCAAATGCTTTTCATAAACATCTGGCTGAAACACTGAAATCCATTTTATGATGCTCCAAAAGCCTCAAGCGTTTTTGTTTCTAAATAATGAAATATTTGCTAAATGAAGAGCCCGAAAATCTGATTACGCAGTCTGTCCCAAGCTTTAACTAATCTGAAAAGGATGTTTGTTTTAATTTGAGGTCACTTTCAGGCTATCCTGAATCTGTGTTTTATGAACACAGCTTGTTTCATATTGTGCCTTTCACATAAAGGGACACCTCAAAGCTGTGGTAGAATACACATCATGTAAAAGGTAACTGCTCATCATTAATAAGAATGTGAGCAGAATGAGGAGATTAGCTACTTCATTTTAGTGAGGTCAATTCAAATATCAAATTATACTCTCGAATAGTGGACAGTAAAATAAATCTCTTACCAAATCTAAGTAGTCAGAGATTTCAGTTTTGTATTGTGTGTCCTGTCAGATCGGTTACATTTGGTCACAAAGCAAGTAAGAGAAGTGAACGATAACTTGTATTTATATAGCGCCCTTCACCCGGGATAGCATCTAACAGTGGCTTGATGCAAGCCGGTGGGGGGTTGGCGGGAGTGACTGCAGGCACGGTCAAAGAGGAAGGTCTTCAGAGTGAATTAACTGGCCCCAAATCCTGTAAAACATCATAGGTTTAGCACTTTTACATACTATTTTCGAAGAATAATTTGCATTAAGACTATTGTGCTGATATATTCTGGTTGGCATTCTGTGTAGTGGCTTTGGTGAACAGCGTATTCATAATGGAGGAAATCAAATTAGCAGCTGACCTCACCAACCAGAATATCAACCCATGTATCTATCTTTAAACTATTTGCTTATTCAACTTTGTTCATGCTGCAAACATCAAAAAAAAATTAAAAGAAAGCATGTTTTAAATTTTAAAACTGATTCTGTGTGAGTTGTCATTTGAAGTGTTTAAATGTTTGTTCTGGTTTTAGCAGGAGGAGTCAGAGCCCCATCAACTGTATCAGGCCTAGTGTTCTTGGGCCATTGAAAAGAAAAGGTAGTAGCTTTAGAACAAAACAGTTTTTTTCCCCTCCAAGATTTGTTTTATTGTTATTTCATTGCGATTTGCAGTTTTACTTTGTTTCAAACTCAAGTCGTTGTGCTTGTGTTTGTGTTCAACAGTAGTTGATCTATAGCCACTCTATCCTTGCATGCTTAACTGTATTTATGAGTGATACCGTGTTGGGTTTGAGTATTTTTAAATTGGTTCTTGATCTATTACAGTGCCTTTTTTTAAAACTTCGAGTAACTTTTCCACATTTGAAATTGTACATGAACCACTTTTAAGGCTGCACCTTAGATTTTCCTTATTCTTAACTACAGGTGAGATGGAATCAGAAAGTCAACCAAAGCGTCTCTTTCAGGGAACCACAAGCATGCTGTCTCCTGATGTATCACAGTCACCAGAGCTTGGCTCATGGTAAGGCAACAGATCAGTTTTCTTTTTGGTTTTAGCTTTTTGTTTATTTCTCATGCAGTTCTGTTTAGTGGGTAGCACTTTCCTGGGAGCATTTCATACAAGTGGTCTTTACTAATGTATGAGCCTGGACAGTGAATTTTGGCATGCGATTGACCACAGGTGACATCACGTGCCAACCTGATTCTGTGCTCGCCCCAAATCCACAAAATGAACTTCCAGAAAGGGCATTAGGAACAGAAACTGTTTCCTCTATCCTTGGAATGCTCAGCCATCATGACAGACAGTTTGTGTCTCTTTCATGTGATGGAGTGCACTAGAAATGATCAATTTAGTTTATCATCTGACATCCTGGTGCAGGGGTTGAATCCACAATCTTCTGACCAAGTCAAGCATGTTACCAACTAAGTCAAACTAACTTGTGGAGTTGTGGAAGTTGTGTGAAATGTTGTAAGTGCCACTGAACCTTGTTGTGCCATAGCACTCCAGCATGCTGTGTGACCGCTTTTTTTCTTGCAATTTATCTCTGCAATTAACCCAAAAAAAGCATTTTTGGAAAAAAACACCCAAGATTGAAGAGCATGTCCAAAGATTGGTTTACAAATTGCTGTACAGTCTTGCTCTTCGTTAGATGTTATCTTTTGTTTTTACCAAATCCTGTGCCCAATTTCAGTCTTTCCACAGATTGTCTCGATGGCAGTAGTGGCAGCTCAACCCAAGATTCACCAGCAAAGTCCAGTGCGATGATCGAATCCCCGGTGACGACTTCCGATTCCTCCTCTTGCTCGTTCACCCCAGTGGGCGACCTTTCACCAAAGTAACCCTCCGTTTTACGAGGTCACAGTTTGTTCGTTGGGTAATTGACGCTGCAATGTACAGGACATTGAATACAAATGAGATGCTGAAAAAAAAGAGTAAAGGAATGCGGGAACAGATGCTGCATCATTTGTAACCTTCTGGTCTAAAATGTGTTGTGCCATTAATATATGTAAACGTTAGTAAAAAAAAATGTCAGTGTTAATGAACTGGTTGTGGTAGTTTTTTGAGAAATATTTTCTCTTTTCATTCCCCCCCCACCTCAAATTCTTGTTCCTTTCTCACCAATTTGGAATTTCTAGAGGCTCACTATTAAATAGAACAGAGTCTCATTTGCCAGAGTCATAAGCTTCCAACTTTAAATTTCACCGGACAAGATTTTTAAGATGCAGATTTGTTATCTTCAAATACCTTTGAGCTTTACTTTTTTATGAATAGCACTAAATGTAAATGGTTTATGACTTGAATTTTTTTTAAAAAGAACAACTGTTGAATCGGTTTGTGCGCTTGGGCATGAATGAGCACAAATGTTACTGGCAATAATGCAGGCCTCGAGCAAAGAAAGGGTAACAGTATTTTTGCTATTATGGAAGAGAAGGAAGCGGATGCGTGCGGTTTTCCTTCCATTAGTCCTTTGTACAGGTTCTATTACTTTTTTGTGATGTTTCTTTATTCAAATGATTGTTGCAGAAGCACCTTTGCAGGGCAGTACCGTGAGGTTACCTGCATTATCATTTGCCTGTGGAGTGTTCATAGCTATTTCTTCTAATAAAAAAAATTGTGCATAGTGTAAAATACCAGAAGGAGTATACCATTGATCTAATTTAATAACATGCTTTACATCTATAGAAACTGGCACCACAGTAATTACAAAGTTACTTGGTATGTGTATAATTCATAAATATCTTTAAACAGTTTTATGTACTTCTGGTAAATAAATTATTAGTTGTAAGGCAGTTTGATTTTTCATTTTTCCCTGAAATTGATTTTTGTCATATTTTGGATTGTGTTTTTCTTGCACAGATTCATATAGTAGTGGATCTTTTCCCCATGTTTTACCACACATGAAACCTCTCTCGATCACGAGCAGGAGCAACTCCGATTGAGAGAATGCACAAATCGTCAAAAGAGCATTGAAGGAATAGAAGGATGTGGGTATTGCTAAGATAAAAGGGCTGTGTGTGGATTTGCGATCTGCTGTTGAATTGACCTGCATCGTCTTATGATGTAAAAGAGTCAATACATTCTTAAAGCAACTGGAACTGATACACACAGGGGCTCCCTACTATGCAGGTTTATTCTAAGGCAGGAAAAAAACAACAGTAACACAACAACTGTAGGGGAGTGCAGGCACCTAGGCTAGCATCAGATTACAAGAGATGGGAGCATACGACTACAGTCCTTAGTGACCCCAAGCCTTGAATTTTTAAGTGCTCTGAGACACGACCCTGCGTGGAGGGTATAAGTGCAAGTTGTTGTTGGATGAGCAGCACAGATGCCTCTGAATTATAAAAAGAGCGGGTTAGGAATATTATTGCTTTTTACAAACAATAGCTATTAAAATCAGCAAAACTCTATAAACATTTTTTAAAGCATCAGAATCTTGCAGCACAGGAGGCCATTTGGCCCATCATGCCTGTGCAAGCTCTTTGAAAGAGCTGTCGAATTGGTCCCATTCCCCTGCTCTTTCCCCACATCCCTGCAAAGTTTTCCTTTTCAAATGATGTTAAGAAAAATTGTGTTTCTCATTAATAGTGCCAAGATTATAACCTGGTTAAGCAGAGCAAAAAAGGACTCCTATTATTTGACTGCAACTGATTGATTAAAGGCATCCATCTGAACTACCATGTTTTAAGACTAGACCCACAGTGAAATTACTGAGGAAGTTTCTAACTAATCCTTTAGTTGTTGGGTTGTAATTGCTTAGTTTTCATTATTAATAAACACAATTTGCATAGTCTTAAATGCAAAATGCATTGAACAAAAACATATTTTGTGACTAGCTATTGACATAAGTTATTGCATTAGGAACTTCCTGGCAAAATCTATTATCAAATTCAACTCGTGTGCAGTGTTTTGTTTCAGCAAAATTGCTTCCTTGGAACCTGACCTTTACAGTAGGTAATTGTGATAAGAAACAATACTGAATATGCAGCATTTTTTCATGAAATTTATAAATTGCTTTATAGAGCAATGGTGCTTTCTTTTCTCCTTTGCCTAATCTCAAAATGCATCCCCCGCCCCCTTTCCTCCCTCAATTGTTTATCTTTTTTTCCTTTGAGAAGAAGCTGATTTCAAACTTCAGATACAAATATGCTTTGCATTTGCTTTGCATGCAAAAGACCTGGGTTCGATTCCCGGCAGGGCGAAACCTTGGGCAAATTTCCTTACTTCACACGCCTGATGATAATCCCTCAAAAAAAAATTTTTTTTTAAATGAATTGGTCATTTCAATCCACGACTGTTTGTAGGACACTGCTGTGTGCAATTGACTGCTGGGTTTCGTCCACAAAAACACAGTCAATTCACTTGACAGTCTATTCTGTGAAGCGCTTTGAGACGTCGAGAAAATGTGAAAAGCGCTATATCAAATGCAAGGATTATTATTAATATGAATCAATAGGAAGAACTGCAGGTTTCAGCTGCAAGCAAGTACACTATTGGATAAAGGGCAAATGTTCCCAATTTACAGCTAAAGAACATAGTCAGGATAACAACAGGAAGCAACAGTTGGGCTGCCAGTAGCTTTGTTTCCAGCTCATGTACACCCTGACTGAATTTCCATAATTACAGTGTATAGGAGGCAGACCTGAAATCAATTCATACTCTAAAGGAAGCCTGTGTATCTTTGCTTTTTGTTGAACTTGAAGTTAATAATGCGCTCAGCTAATGGTCTCAAAAATAAAAATCTGAAATCTGGTTACTAAACCTGTGCTGTGTTCAAAACCTGCCACGTGAGTTGCTCCCAGAGTTGGAAATCAGAATTCTCTGACGTTGTCAATGTGTTTGAGGTTTAAGTGATTTTTTAAAAACTGAAATAGCATTTTTTTTCCACTTGTTAAATTTCAATCTTGACATTTAAGATTTTATAATTGATTTCTATTAGAAGCCGTATTCTGTTTGATGTTATTTAAACCTGGAAATAGAAATTGTATGCCATAGCTAGCCTGGTTCACTGGCAGGAGTTGGAGGGCAGACAGATCACAGGGAATCAGCTTCTGTGAATCTTAAAAGCCATAATGGGCAGGGCGGTCCTCGCTAGAAGCAAGAAGCTTGCCAGACAGTGCTCTCCATGCGTAAATGTATGATTATGCCTGGATAAACTCCAGCAATATCCTCAACACAAACGTTCATGTTCCCAGACATTGGGTCACGCCAACCTATGCCTAATATTCTCCGGAATTAGGTAAACAGGGTGCATCCCTCCAGGGAGAGGGTATGTATTCTATTCCAGATAAATGGAAAGTCCCATGCAAAGGGGCCATGCATATATGAAACTCGTAGGCTGTGTTTATGTCCCCGTAATTCCTATGATGTCTGCTTTTCTTGTTTTACAACACGATTTCAGTGATTTCAAGACTGAGATGGACAGCTGTTTGTTAGGTCAGGTATTAAAGGATATGGGACAAGGTCGGGTAATTGGACTTTGTTAATTGGACCATGATCTTATAGAACAGCGGAACAGGCTCGGGGGGCTGAATAGCATACTCCTGTTTCTATGTTTCTGTGCACAAAATATTCAAAACCCACTTAAATCAGAAACCAGATTAACAAAATGAGTAGTGATGTACACATTCATCATGGTTCCAAATAAGTTTTTAAAGCCAGTTACTCCATGACACACAAGCATTTTAATTAGGCATATGTACTGTAGTTAGAAGATATGCCTACATAGCTAGAACAATCTTAGTCATGCTGATCCTAACAATCATATTTACCATGTATAGCTTATTGTACATGCTGTAATTCAAATTGTGTTTCCCAGATTTAGGTTTAACATTAAAAATCTAATTGAAATGTCCATCCCTCTCTTTGCACTTGTTCATGTGGGTGATTTTCTACCACGTGAGGGCAGCACTGAGATTGTTATGGAACAAACTATTTATTATATGAGAAAAACATAACAAAAAGTATGAAATCGAAAAGGCTTCCCATTTGCTTCCACAACCCATACTCCAGCCCACCTGATCATGTGCCATCATGTCCACTATCTCTTGGAGGGGAGAGGTTTAGGGTAGCTATTCCATGATCCTGATCCACCAAAGCAAAATGAAAACAAAACAAAAATCAGAATATTCATCCTTCTCATAGTCTCCACTGTGGAACCAGACCTGCTTCCTTTTGCAGTTCCACACTCCCCATAGCCCTCCCGTACCCACAAACACTGAAACAACGATGTACTGTAAGCTGTTTTTTTTAAAAAAAAATCTATTACTATAACTAAAATCAACCATCCATCTATCCCTCCTCTATCCATCCTCTCTCTAGTTAATCAGGACAGCATCGACTTTTTTTTTGGCTGAGAATCTGTTCCATTTATCCATAGCTCAGGGAGGAAATCTGCACCCAGTAATCCTTATTGCTGCACAATAATTGTTGCTTTCAAACCTCATGGGGGCACATTGTGTGGCGAGGGCATAAACCTAGATCTGGGAATGCAACAATTTCTTCAGTCATCCCTTAATGCCCTATATTTATATTTGGGAACCGTTTGGTGCTTTCTTTCTAAGCAATGCAGTGAAGAGCGCTCTCGCTGGTCAAAGGTTCGCTGCGAAACGTGGACGTATGTAAATCTTTGCAAAAACCTTAGGTGGGCGCAAAAGAGGAAATGAAAGGTTATGGTTGGCACAATATCTTGCATTAGCTAAAACAGCCCTTCGCTGTCGCTCTGAGTTCGTACAAACGAGCTGCCGCTGTGATGGTTAAGTGGTCAATGTGCAGAATAAATAGCAAATCTACATTAACATTGAGAGCCAATGACAGGTTGGAGGAGGAGCAGGACCTGGGCTTGGAGAGCAGTGAGTGAGTGAGTGAGCTTTCTGCAGGAGGTTTCTTGGTGTCTGGAGAGAGGATTGTAACAGATGCTGCATTTTATTTCTTCAGATTCGTGAATAAGAACAGTTAATTCGATATAAACCCCTTTTGGACTCATAGAAGCAAAAGCCTCATTCTATCCCACTACATCCTCAAACTTTGTAAACGTTTTCATCCACGGAATGGGGACCAGGCGTCTGACTGCAGATGACTACATGGATTCTGGAGCCGAAACAGGAGAGTGGGTGGAATTTATTTTTCATTCTGTTTGTACAGTAAATTTTCTTTTGCGCAAATTGCAAATCGTGTATTCAAATTGAAATTGTTCCAACAGGGATGGGATGGCGTTGGTTTTAATGACACTTTCTGTTGTCTGGGGGACAAAATAGGAGCAAGGGGTTAGTTCTCAATGAAAATTGCTCTGAAAGTGTGGAAGTTGAGATGAAATTCTGGGGTGCGTTTAAAAAAAAAGGTTGAAATTGTTCAGTCAAAGGCTTAAACAACAACTGTAGAAGCCTCCAAAGTTGAACACATGTTTCCTTTTTTTCCCCTATGACTTCATAACAAACTTATGGATTCAGCTTTTAGTTTTTAACGCTGCATTGAAATGATTAAATGCTTCTGGGGCGATTTTTGTTTTCTGTTGCGAATTTATTTGTCCTTTGTATAATGATCCGAACCAGTTTCAGCTTCTTTTGTGTACAACACGTTGTTAATACTCCTGATTCTGAATGAGCTGAATATCTTCACCCTAATCTGAATAAATCACTGCATTGTGGTTTTGTAAAATAAGCCACACAGACCTAGGTATATTTGAAGAAGCATATTATCCCTTGTTATTAATTCTTGGGAGATATTATTTGGAGGAAAAATAGCATTTTTTAAAAAAAACGTGCACACCAATAGCAGTGATTCATCGCCACATCCCGAATAGAAATGTGGCTGCCTTTTTATTTCAGATTAATTAATGCCTGGTTGTTTTGTGATTCACCATCAACAAAACACAATGAAAGGTTTAGTAACCCCTAGAGATTAGAGGCAGATCTGCTGTCTGTCTGAAAATCCTCCACACAGAACCACAGGCAAATAGAATTGAAATTAAAATAGTTACATCCTCAAATCTATAGCTTAAATTTTGACTACTGGGCAGTTCAAAGCTACTCATTTTGTCACCAACCCTATCTGTCAAATGTTTATATAGATGCTATTATTAGAGAACATTTTCCCCCTTTTTAAAAAACATGTTTTTGACTCAGTAAAATCTCCAGCATTTTTTTTTAAAAAAACTTTAGTGCTTTAAAGTTATTCGTGTGTTGTAGAACTTGCTGAAGAAGCTTTATGATATGGAAAAGTCTAGTACCTTTCAATTCAAGAGGACGTCCCAAGGCGCTGGACGGTGAAGAATGTGCACTCAAGCTGAGGGTGGGGTGTAGGAGGGTGACCGAAGACAAGGTCCAAGAGCAAGGTCTAGTGAAGGGCTTTGGGGGAAGGAAATATTTTTAAATATGAATATAGGAAGCTAAATCGGAATTGTCGTAAATCAAAAAACTCTTAAAAGTGGCTTAATTCCTATTTGTATTTCTTTTTTCAAGGTCAGACTGCAGTCCAATGTCATCTATTGGCAGTAAGTATTGAAAAAAAGTACCATTTGTAGCAAATGCCTGGACTGTGATTGAAGTGAAAAACTTTCATTGAGGACAGCTATAATATTCCTGCATCAACATGAACATGTTTGCTAGGAATTCACAACTTATTGGCTGTATTTAACTGGACCAAATTTTGTATTTTTAAATCCAGTAATCATAGTAGGAGCAGTTCAACGTGATAAATTGGAAGTTTTGTGCAACAGCCTGGCTCAGTTGATAACATACTTGCCTTTGAGGCACGGTTTGGGGTTCAAACCCTACATCGGGACTTTAATTTCATGGTCTCTGGACTGACACCCCAATATAGTGCTGGGGAGCATTAATGTAAGAGATGAGACATTGAACCAAAGTCCCATTTGCCTATTCAGGTTAAAAACCGCAAAGCACGACTTGAAAAGAGAAGGGGAGTCCCTGGTGTCCCTAGCCAACTATCTCTAGATAAAATTGGTCATTTACCTCATAACTGTTGTTTTGGGACATTGCTAGGAGCAATTTGGCTGCTGCTTTTGCATTCAAAATACAAGCACTGTGCTTTATGATAATTCCTGTGAAGAGGCTTGAGATGTCTCAATGATATGGTAAGGCATTAGAAAATCAAAGATTATTATCACAGCAAGTGTATTGGCCCTAATTTAAGTTTTTGTCCTTTTAAAGTGTATTGGTGCCTGCTCCCTCACTGAATCTTGTGACAACATTGTACAATGGTAATCCTTTGGCATTTTGCTAAAGGTGGGTTTATTAAAGCTGTGTAATTTCATACATAAATGCATAGGTGCGTGTGTATATATTAAGAACTTGTGAATACTAAGGTATATATCACCTACCCTAAAACAATTTGTTCTACTTACGTTAACATATGTCAGGAAATGAGTCATTATTATTGTAATAGAATCCACTCGTTATAGTTTTAGTTTGTAACTGCTACTGGCAGATTTGGGTAAGAGCCACAGAATTCAAAAGTAGTCAAGCTCCGGTGGTTTTCTAGGATAAACAAAGCACTGGTTCTGTTCTGAGAAATTGCCAATTTTTGTTGGGAGATTAAACAGTTGTGTCGATACAATTGGACAAAGGACTAAGAAACGCCCACAAGTGCAGTTAGAGCACCTATCCTTTTAACAATTAGGGTGATTTAGTAATGTCAGTAAAATCCGCAGATTCAACTGAAGTTGTCTATCCCCTTGTTCCCCCTCTCTCCCCAACCCCCATCCCCACCAGAGGATAATTAATTAAATTGACTTTCTATTTGTAGTGAACAAAATCCTAAATCTATACTATAAGACTTGAAAAATACTAAGCACTTGCCTATAAATTTAATTTTCAAATAATGCCTCAAATCTTTTGCTGTTTTATACTTCCCACAGTTAGGTTGAGTTGCTCCAACATACATGCCTTACAATCGGATTTATCATTTTTTTTAAGGTCAACTTTCTCTGGAGGGATCTCAAGACCCTTTTCTTGTTGTGATCCACCTTATCACTAATCCAGGATGCTCAGACATTTTGCATAATACAATTCACAAGCTTCTTCAGTGGGTCACTCCAGATTGGCCGTTGTTTTGTGCAGCAGAGCGAGCATCTCCACTTCAATGCAAAAAATCTTACCCAAGTGTCTTTATTCAGCCTGCACTGGCAGTTATAATCTTCCTCCAGGAGAAGTATGGTGACAAGCGAATCTTGCAACTGCACGACTATTTGCTTCATCCGCCTTGGCAGTACCATCATACAGAACATTTCACTGGGAAAATTCTTCCGTATATGCCTTGCACCCAGGACTTCTTCAGCCTGGCTGATGGTATGCCACTCTGGGCTATCAGACAGATGCACTACGGCAAGGAGATCATTCGCTACACCATATACTGTAGTTTTGATCATTTTGAAGACATGGTTGCATTATATAAGGTAATCTTAGCGCACAAGGTCTCCTATTCCAAGTCAGACTTCTGTTACTTTACACTGTATTCAACCTCAAATACAGATCTTCAACTTTCATTCAAAAAGCTTCCCAAGGACATGTTTCCCACTCCGACTGAGTCAACTATTTTGGAATTCAGAGTACAAGAGCTCGCTCAGGTGGTTGCTATGTTACCCAAACCCTGTAGTCCGATCAGTGATATTAGATGGCAAACCGAGGATTATGATGGGAACAAGATTTTACTACAGGTAAAATGGTGCAGTTATGTGTGTGATTTAAACTTGAACAGTTTAAAACTTTATTGTATTATTGCAGCTGATAACACTAATGTCTTTATAGGTGTTTTGCACTAATTTGGTAGCGTTTCACATTGAAGAGTAACCCTTCACAAATTTATACAGGGCCATATATTAAGATAATTGTACGCTAAAAGTAAATGCGAAAATATCTTTGAAATATTCTTTTTAATAAATTGCTTTGCAGTCTCTGTGTTATGGTGCATCAGTGTCATACTGCGTGTCTATTAGACCATTGTGATAGACTCCCAATTCTTATTAATTATACGCTGAATGTATTTTAAATCTGACCTAGTCGACAGACTTAATCCCCCTCACATTTGGGTTCTAAACAATAGCTTTGTGACACACTTCATCAACCAGTAGAAAATTAATTTAACCTGACTCAACAGTGAACAGGATGAGAATTTTGCAAACACTGCAAATAAATCCTTTGTGTTACTGACCCACTAATCCAGGCAGTCTGCCAGTTTTTAGTCTTGCGGCACTAGCTGTTTTTGACTCCAGTCCACCAAGACATGTAGACATTGGTTGATAATGTCTAACTGGTCGGTTTGTGCAAGAATATAAAATAAACTTCCAAGGGCTCGAAGGGATAGTTTCCTCTTCCACTCCTAGATGATTTCAACTGAAGTGAAAACTTATTAGGCAGTTCAAATGATTCATGTACTGTGCTCCATCATATGAATACTCAGTTAATGTGGAGATTAAGTCAAATCATGCTAACTGAACTGAATATAATCCCTATGTTGTTTACCTGGCACTTTCATTTCTTTTAGAAATAAAATGTGCACCAGCAGATGGTACAGAACAGAATTACACACTGACATAATCTCTAAAATGCTTATCGGGAGATGTTCAGATGAGGAAGGCCCAAAATACTTAATGTGTTCCTTTTACAGTATTTGCTGTTTTTGAATGAGTCTAGTGTAATGGCCTTCACAGCTAAACCAGACTCCTTCAGACTTCACAATATTCATTAGAGGTATTTCAATGGCTAAAACTGTACATTGAGCATGAATCTTAATGAACAACATTGGTGTGTATGGAGGATACACAAACAGGATTTGACGTCATACAAAATAAACCATGATGATTTTGGACTGTTTGTCTTGTTAAACAATACATTAAATAATGTGTCCATAATAGACAACACTATACTGTAGTTCTCCACTCCCTGGCACTGACATAAGCCTGGGCACAAGTCAGTGGGTTAGCAGGCTTTACTTGATTTGAGTGGAGGAGTATAAAAGCTGAACCCTACATCTATGAAAATGATTTCAGATTTTCCTTTCTGAAGTCCAAAGATACCAATTATAATGGCCCACTGCTGCCCAGCTGAAGTCAGTTAATTCAACATACATGTCAGTTATTGGAGCACACACGAGGGATATGTACAATATATTTACCACTGTCCCACAGGAGAGGGGAGTTTTTATGTAACAGAACCACTTGAGTAGTGCATTTGTTATGTGGACTGTGTATGAATTATACTCACCCTCCAAAGACAACTTGGATGATGTTTCATTTGGAGAATAAATATTATTTGTGAATAAAAATTCCCAAACTTAATTTACCCCAAATCATTAAATGTATTTTAAACACCCAGAGAGGCCTTGAAATGATTAGACTGTGTAACACAGACTGGGAGAAGCATTACCTCACCATCTGATCTTTTGTGCACGATGAATGGAAATCTGCCTTGTTGCACATTAGGCAGACACTTGAATTTGAAAGAGCAATGAATGTCTGAATAAAATGTGTCTGTCATGTATGAAAGGCTCCAGCATGCTCACTGAAATAAAAAAAGCAAAAGGGTTATTAATACAAAGGATTTTCTCAATGGCTCTCATGTGGATTGTCTGCATTCAGTTGCCAATAAAGGCAGCTACATAAACATTATGTATTCCAGTATTGTCCTGTTCAAGAAAAAAAATGGCAGATTTAAAATTGTTTGAAGAAACTTTTGGTTTACCTTGAAAATATGGGGATTGATGTTTGGTTTTGACATGTGGCGTCAATGTTTTGCATTCTAACTATTCAAAGTAAAACTCTCTTCTCTTTATTGAAAATCAAAGGAAGCATTAACTTCTCTTATTTGCCTGACTTAGTTGACACCAATTTGAGCGATGTGACTGTTGGTAATTTGATAACTTTCCAAAAATGAAGCAGTGCTGTTGGGGAATAATTTTACCATTTGATATTTTTACTAATAGTAAAATTAAAACTGCTTAAATATTAACTTCTGTTCACAACTTCATTAACTTTACAGACATGAAACATCAAGTCATATTATAGCTTTCTAAAATTAATTTTAGTTAGAGGTTTGGCCTCATCATAATATTTGCCCACAAATATACAGTGAATTCATTTTACAATATTCTGTGAAGCACTTTGAGATGTCTCGAAGATGTGAAAAGCACGATATCAAATGCAAGGATTATTATTATTTAATTTTAATAAGATAGGTATAACAAAACAATTACATGTAAAGTGTTATTTCAGTTTGTAAATTCATAAAGCTAAGCAGAAATCGTTCTAGATTCAATATATTGAAGTTTAAACCATAAACTTCATAATAACATTTCAGTGAGATTTGTAAAATATTGGAAACATTGGGCATGAGGTGTAAACAAACATAAGTCTATTTTACTGCATAGAATATTTGAAGTAAATTATCACCTCATCTTTCAGAACTGTTTTGTACATTAAGCCTCTTAAAAAGCTCCAGTTGCCATTGTTTTGGTTGAATGGGGGCATTGTGTCAGTTAAGTCAATTATTCATAGAATGAATTAATGTGTAGTTAAAATTCATTATTGACTAAATAGAAGTTTTCATGAGGCTATTCTCAATAACTTTATTAATGTTTCAGTGCAATAAAGCTTCAGAAATTTCTTTTGAATTGTTAATGAGACTTTAAAATCTATGGAGATAATAATAATGATACAGAACTTTGTGCATTTTGTTTAAGGTAAGATCCACTGATTGTTTATGGAGAAAATGCTCAAAAATGCACAGGAGTGTCCTAAGAATGTCTCCAGCAATCACTAGAATAGCTAACTCTCCAGACCAGCACTGTGCTTTTGAAAGAAACTGGAACTGTGGGCTCCAGCCTGCAAGTAGACATCAGCAAACGACTCTTGCACATAAACACTGTGACCGTTTCAAAGAGGAGTGTTTCTATGGTGACTGGAGTAGAAGTGTGAATGACACTTCAGAAAACTCATGGTATGCTCAACAAAGTGACTCATCCTTATCTTCACATCTGTTCACGAATGTATCGATCACATCTGCCTTGTCCACACCACAATCCAAATCCTCATTTGTATCCTGTAACAAGGATGAATCAGCCAGGGATAGCTTTGGCAGCAGAATCAATATAGTTGATCTGGAAGATGCTGAGGAGACTGATGTAGATACCGGACTAAAAACATTTCATTCAGACCTCTCCATAGTGTCTGCTTATGCAGTGCCGGATGTTCAAGACAAAAGTTTCCGTACCACCTCTTCATCAGCAGGGCATCCAATAAGGTTGCCAGATTCAACTATGAGGATGAGTTTTTTTCGCAGTAAACCGTGTGTCCTACCTACTGGGCCACTTTGTCAATTACTAAAGAGACTTTCACCAACAGATATTCAGCCGCACCTCTTACCACTTCATAAACATTTGTCACTAAAATACGAGACTACTCTAAGTTCTAAGGAAGAAGAATTCTATATCTGAAATTCTATTCTATATGATCAGTCTGATGCCACAATGGTGTTTGTATGATTTACACTGAATATATTGTTAAATTGAACATGTGATCATTGAGTCATAAAAATCTTCTATCTGAAAATGGATTAGAAAGACAGACTTATAAGTTATACTATGGCCTGGATTTTAAGCTTATGAACCCAAACACTGTGGTCCTAACTGGACAGGCAGCAGGAAAGCTAATAGTAATAGTTAAAAGGTTTGCTAAAAAAATGGATTGTGCAATTCAAACAATTATTGTGGCAATATTATCTTTAGAACATGTTGTTCAGTGAGGCGAGTTTAACTTTAGAAAAATAAATGAGGCTGGTTACATGCCTACAAAAGTATTTTGTTGGAGAAAACTTTAAAATGTTTCCAGTTGGTAATACTTATCCTATTTTGCTGGTGAGTATACCACCTAGTGGTAACAATTTTCAGTCAAATGACTTGTACTGTTGTTTGCTCAGTTATTTTTGTTTGCCATCTATACTAAAACTGTTACATATAAACTAATATACCTAAGTAAACTCTAGGTTTAAAACATTTTTTTTCTGATCTTACAAAGTGACACACTTGCAAGACGTTTTTGGTTCTATTTGAGCAAAATGTAGTGATGTGGGGGCCCGAGGGACACACACACCAGTGCAGATCTGAAGGACCTGGAGATCCACCAAAAAAACTGTCCTGACAGCGCGGCTACAGAAGCTTACCACCTCCTGCCTCTCAGGGCCCAGCACCACACACAAAGAATCTCAACAGTGGGGCCTCAAGAGTGCAATGAAGCCCATTTCCCACTTGTGCGGCATGCGTCCAGTACCTCTCCGCCCACAGCGACAATTAAATAATTATAATGAGTTTTCATAATATATATATATACACACATAAAATAAAAAATACATTCTTTTGATCGTTTTCAATTTTGGAACTACTGTATTTCCTCATGTAGGCAACACATATCATGGCGGGTACTGATGTCCAGTATTCTCAGTTTGTTGGTAAATAACATGGACACAACAACCAATTGTGTTTATACAGCGCATTTCACGGTGGGAGGAAGAAAGTTGAAATTGTTGCAAGTTTAGCAAATGACTAGCTAAAAGTAACAAAGCTTGTATGTATTCACTTACCTTTAATTTCACATTCTTATTTTATTGATTTAGTCTTAAATATTTTCATTGAACTCTTAACAGTTATTGAACTTGTGGAAGTATGGGAACAAGTGGTCACATGAAAGATGTAGTAAGTTGAAGCATAAGGTATGTAAACAAAGCTTAATGTGCCATTTGAAAGTTGCAAGTGTTCATGAATACACACACATTGACAGGCATAAAACAGAAATCGATACTCAAATGATGAAAACGTCTGTTCTCAAAAATAACTTTATTAAAATGTTTAAATAAGTTGTATAAATCATGATGTAAACATTTACAAATTTTCATACTGGTGCTTTTTTATTTTAAAAAAGCATATATGCCTTTAAACATGCAGTCTGCAGAATGTAGGTTTATGTGGCATGATTATCATGCCTGTAACTGCACTAAAAGGGATATCTTACTCTTTGCATTTTCTCCCCTTCAGTTTATTTCTAATAGACACAAAGTGATCACAATCTGCTTGGTCTACATACAACAAACATTTGAACAGAATTCATCAAGCTTTACTCACATTCAATAACTCAGAATTTTAAGCATTTTCTCCGAAGCCCTGACAGTTTAAAAAATATTTAATATATTCATTGTCACATATTTTGTATTGAAGAAAAGTCTTCAAAAAATGGAGCAGCCTTGGTAACACTGGCAGTTTTTTCTTAACACACTCTTCTCTGCCCTCTAACTTTGCAATGCTGGTTATACAAGTCTTCGTAATATGAGGCAGTTGTAAGAGAATTTTCTTCTGGTGCAAGTCTATTCTTCACAAAATAAGTAGTAGGAAATAAGTTTAACGATAGGTCCCCATACAGTTTGTCTTAAATTAAAAAAAACAATATACAAACACTAAAGGGTGTTCTCTCTCTTTCCTCAGCTCACTGTTTCATCAAGACTGGCACGGGAAGATGAATCTTGGAGTTACATCAAGATTATAGATTTGTTATGTGCATGTGTGTGGGGAGAGGGGAGTTGGCGAGAAGAGATTTTTAGGCTACAATTGCCTATGAAATTCCTTCTATTGATGCATCTGATTGACCTCAAAAGAAACCTGGTGCTACTCGGGGTACCTTAAGAGAGAGAATGCTACAAACCATATCAGCGGTGAGCTTCTCCCCACCGAGGCAGCAAACCAAGAAAGGCACCATAGCGTTCAGTGCAGGTTCTCAGAACTGCAAAGAATGGGAAACTATCAATATAGCCATTAAAAATGACCACTTTGAACACATGGCTTCTAATCAGGCTTTCTTTTCAGCCACCACTAAAGCTTACATTATTAACTGGTCTTATCCACTGTTCTAATCATATACTCAGTATTAGTTCTTATAAAACTATATGAATGCACATTAAACCTACATCTCAAAATTAACTAGGTATGGTATTAACTGTTGCAGTAATCTACAAAGCTAATAATTTTTCTTTCAATTCTTTTAGGATAATCTCTCGTTACCTTTTTCAAATTATATTTATTGTCGAATATTATTCACTAATTATTCATTGGTACATTAATTTAATTTTTGATTTTACATTCAGCATCAATTGTTGCTGAAAGTAACAATTTAGTTGTTTGATAATCATATTTATTTTATAATGAACGTGCTTATTGAAATGTTTTTAAATTTTCAGCACATTTTCTTAGATGCAAAACATTAAATGTAAGATGCGTTCAAGAATACTCATTGGTTTTACTTTAAAGGGTCCAAGTATTTCCTCCAGCTCTCATTTTGACATCCAAAAAACATTTAAGGGGGTTGCATTACATGATTATATACCAAAACTTCACAGGAAGTAAAAATTAACAACAAATGATGCTCCATTTCATAAAAGTTATATTGTACACATGAAACAACCTACTTATGGAGATTAAACAACAAAGCTTAATTGGCTTCTCTGGGCACTGAAACCATACATTTTTGGGGGATGTTTACAGGTCCTGCCTCAAAACTTTACATAACTGTTCAAATATACAATATTCTGATGATTTGTTTACTCTTTGTAATACAATTTTACTTTCAAATTGTTAAAACTGGATGTTCCCACTGTTCGTCTTCAGATTCTTAAAAGCAGTGACATAGGCAATGGCCAGCCTGTGCTTCGGATGAACATGTGGATAACTCTGGAGTCTGAGTTTTCTATTTTACCTGAACCGTACCTTTTCATGTTCGTAGGATTACCATAGTTACAAGACCTGAAATACATGAGTTTTATTTTTAAACACCTCAAATGTACTGATTGAAATTCTATATTATGTCCAAGCAACTCTGGATTTAGCAAGTAAAAGCCATTTACCTGAACTGAATGCAACTAGTTTTGTCTTGCAGCTCAAGAATAAATAATTCATATTGATTATTAGTCAAGTTAATGGGAGGGGAAGGGAGAGGGGAGACAGATTTTAAAAATGTAATAGTACATAATCCTTGCTTTCCCAAGGTACTTTGGGGCCCACCTCCTCCATTCCTTGACTGTTCTGACAACATCCCTGATGGAGAAACTGACTGATTCGCAGAGTAGTTTAATAGTAACGGGTGCATTGGATCAGCCTCTGGGCCCATCTACATTGTGAATGTAAGGTACTGGGGCAAGGTATTGTTTATACTTGGCATTGTGTCCCCCGGTAGTCAGGCAGCTCTGGTTTTCCAATGCTTAATCCTTTGTACATGCTGACTGACAAACAGAATTGAATTTCTAGATACGCAAGTTGGAACAATCAGTTACAGTTAAAAGCAAAAGCAGCCCTTGTAAATATCTTCTATTAAAATACCCAGAGTATGACTGGAAAAAATTATGGAAACTGAAATTTACAAAAATCTAATTCATGGTTATTACTTCAGGAATCTGACGTTTACAGAACTGAATGAAAACATTTTTAGCATGCATATTTTCATAAAGAGCCCATAATCTTGTGATATTAAATTTAGTAAATTCTCAAGAGTATGTTTTAAAATAAAAATACAAGTTATGGACATATAAATGTCCGCTAAAAAATGTTTTAAAAAGCGAAGACTTCAAGAGGAAAGCCGAAAGTATTAAAGCAAAACATTGATTACAGATAGATACGGATGACATTATAGTTCAGAAGGGAGAGATTTAAGTCTGAATATCAATTTAGGACCTTCATCAGGATCCTTTCAACAAAACACTAATTTGGGGTAACTCAGTATTGAATCCAATTCACTAATCTATATTAATGTTAAATAATCTTACCTAAAACATAAGCAGCAACTAATTTCTGATTGACACTTAGATGGAGGTAGACTGGCACAAGGGATTCTGCATCTCCAAGTGATGGTAACATTAGTGCTGCCACGCAGACAATCCCCAGGAAGACTGTAAGTAAACTCGGTCCCGAAGAAGCAGCTCTGGATTCTGAAAATTAATTGCCCATTATTGAGTGGTGTACAAAATTATTCAACATGTATAACAAGTAAAAATAGGTACCAACATAATCTAATAATGAATCTGTTCTATGCCTTTCAAATTCAACTCCAACCCAATATTAAATGGCTTTCTTCCCAAATGTTATATTTACAATGTAATCATAAGTCTGGCCTTAAATATTTATTGTAGTCCAATGGCTCATTGCCCAAGTATATAACATGGAATGATATGTTGAATTTTATAGACCAGGAAGCTCTCAAGTTCTATCCTTAAATCTGTGACATTGCTGCAACTGTGGTGGATCAAAACAAAATGAGTCAGATGATACTGTCATTGTAGTTTTTCCTCCACCACCTTACATGCTTTACTTTGTAAAGCCTTTCAGATTTATTTGGGTTAGACAATAAAATATGGAAACCAATATTGCTTTTCTATACTGAAATATTACAATATATGTTTGTGAAACTCCTGATTAATATTGAATGCAAATGAGCAACTACAAGTTTGGCACCATGCAGACACAATACTTACCCTGTTGAAAAGAATTCTGCTCAAAAAACACAGTTTCTGCCAAATGATCCTTGATGCGTTTCTCTTCTTCCTCCTTATGCTGTTGCTCTTTTGAAGATGAAAGGAGAACAGCAATGACCTCCTTTTTACCTAGTGCTTTTCGTTGACTTTGTTCTGACACTTGCAGGCGGAATTTGTCTATTATGCCATAATGGCAAGGTCGAACATCTCTGTGGCGTATAACACTGGAGAAAAAAAAGTTTATTTATACTACCTTTAAATAAAACAGTCAATAGTTCTAAAAGCTATATTAACTAGAAGAAGATCCTCAATGTAGCTATAGTGTTCAGATTAAAGTTATAACTGGTAGCTTGAAATTCTATCTAGAACTCACTAGATTATTTAAACCTGTAATCTGACCACTTTTGCTATAATATCTGTATTGCCATGTTACAGAAACAGTGGGGGTCTAGCTAGTATAATTAGGTTTGACTGACTTGTTTTTGTTAACCGGAATATGAATTCTGCTTCAGAAGAAATCAATTAGTTTAAGATATTATAACATCGAGCAGAATATAAAAAAACTATTAAGATCTGTAAAAGAATGACAATATTGAGACATCAGAATAGTTGGCATACTGTAAATCGGGTACTAGTGACAAATATGTAATGATTATTCTGTTGCAACTTCACAATATTCATATTCTTGAACCAAAAGTCATTTGGAATTATTTTCAGATATGTCACCAGATTATACTAGAGAGAGGAAGGAAGGCAGAAAAGAGTGTTTCCAAAATAGTCCTGATACAAAGGCATTGTGAGTTTATAATTTTCAGAAGTACATCTATCACATGGACGCAAATTAATGATGGCTGATGTGAACTCTTTGGCCATTATTATCAGAAGGACAGTAAAGAAGTTGTAAAGTGACACCTTATGCAGTTAAAGAAGATGCTTCTGTAGATAAGTACCATCAAATGATAAATATATAGCCATGATAATGTATTTCATTTTAAACAGAATTGTTGATCTTTTGGGGAAAAAAAGTACTTTCAATCTGAAGTACTTCTTTCTGAAGAATAAGAGAAAGTGTTCAAAATGGATAATGGCTTGCACAGCATTTCATACATTCTTCTACTAGGTAAGCAACTGACATAAGAAGGAATCCCATCATGCTCTCTATACTGGAAGAAAACCAAAGTTGGATAAGTTATTTAAATAAATGTGTTTCCATAGCCAAAAAGGTAGGCTCTAGAAAGTTAACAAATATACACATATATATATAATTCATCCTTTCAGTACACAATTTAAATAGTTGTTTACCCATAGTTAGAAATTACTTTGGGAGTACTGAATTCATTAGTGCACTGGAGTAGTGTAAGTTGAAGATGTTGTTTTTCACTCAGTAGTATTGATATCAACAAATTCAAATACTGAGTGCAGAACCTGGGTATTTTTTTCATTCTATCACAAATTATTTACTATGTTTAATCATTGGAGGCTTTCTGTTCCATACAATTATTGTATGGAATAATTATTTTCAACACCAATGTTCCTTCATGTAATTAAATTCAGATTGTCCCTTATCCCATGTTCTCATCTACTGTGAAATTGTACTTTTTAAAAATAAACAATGGGAGCAGATAGTTGATAGATGAAAATCCTTTCTGAAATGGAAGAGTTACTGGGATAAAGAAAAAACAAATATGTATTCTAAAAAGTCTGGGATTGTATTATGGCCTCTGACAAACCTGGGCTAGTACTGATCGTATAAACCAGACAAGTTTTACTTTTGCAATTTATCATCAGATGCTCTCAAATTGCATTTCCACCTTAGACCATCTATCTATCTTCAATATCTTCACAGCATTTAATGAAGGAAAAGATCATCAAGTAACACACAAAATGAACTATTTAACATTCCACTAATCACTTTCACTTACATGTCAACACAACACTGAGGCTTCACTGCACCAGCAGCATCAACAACAACATACTTGTTTGGAGCTGTGCACAAAACTGAAAATGCAAAAGAGAAAGCGTTACCACATTAAAGGTGACTGTAGAGCTAAAATATGCCCCAAATAAATAAAGCTGCATGTATACCTTTGAATTTTAAGGCAAATTCGTAAGGGTTGTAGAGAGTCAACACTTGCTTGTGCGTTGACTGATCATCTGCATAAAATATAAGTTCTGTTGGGAACACAAAGACAGGAAGATTTCCTTCCACTAATTCTGGCTGTCGTCTTTGTTGCTGCATTGGCACTGAATGGTTCTTGCTGCTTTCGATGTTCTTTCTTGCTTAAGTCCCTTCAAAACAGCTCACTCTTTTTATAGTCCTTTAAGCATTTTGGCATGCCTGTGATACAAAAAAAAGAATGCTTTGTTCAGGATAAAATTCCAACAAATATTTTATTTAAAATTTTTTTTATTTACAACGACCAACTTTCTCTGGTAACATAGGATTCAATTTCCTACAAATTTAATGTTTATGCAATGTTGTACTATTTGTTTTTCGATGCAGTCTCAGGGAAATGTCACATGAATAACAGATATTTCATCTGAGCACTTACAATGGGCAGCTTTCCAACCATAGTTCAACCCAGAAGTACTAGTTGATTCAAAACACCACTGAACAAAGAGAACCATTAACAGATATACATTTTAAACACTTGTATATAGATTTTACAGCACTTAAAATTGGACCACAAAGGACAAATTTATCTCAAATATATTTGTATCAATGTACTGAGCTTTCGTCAATATCGAAAAAAAATCTATAAAAATTCAGATAACAATTGAAATCCTATCTGTTTTTAAAATACCTGGTTTCAATCTTTCAAAGATATTTTTGGCTACATACTGGAAGAATTTAATTCAATGTTAAAATTATTGTGCTCCATTACTGGAGTGGAGCAAATGCAGTTGTAATGCTCCTCACAGATGAATAGCTTGACCCAAGAACATGAATACTTAGGGCAAGTTATTGTGAAGTGAATCCAATACTTGGAATTATACCTCAATGTGTTCATTTTCTATCTTTATTTGCGATTGAAGTATACTCTGCATCACTCTGAGCATGTAGTACTCGCAGAGGTAGTTCAAATATAAGGTTAGACTTTGACCTACTCTCTCTGGAGTAGTTTAAATGCAAAGCTGAACTATCCAGTCCATTTCAAACGCAGGGCTGGACTGCTCCGTCTCTGGTTCACATAGAAGGCTGGACCTCTTGATCTCTGATTTAAACAAAAATGCTGTACTGCTTGGTCTCTGGTTTACCGTCTGTGGAGTCGTGCAGCTTGGTGGTTAGAGCATTCGCCTCGCAAACGAGAGAACCTGGGTTCGATTCCATAAGACCATAAGACATAGGAGCAGGAGTAGGCTATTCGGCCCCTCGAGCCTGCCCCACCATTTAATAAGATCATGGCTGATCTTCTAACCTAATTCCATTTACCCGCCCTATACCCATATCCCTTTATCCCTCCATCCTTTAGAAATCTAACAACCTCAGTCTTGAATATGTTCAAGGACTGAGCATCCACAGCCTCTGGGGTAGAGAATTCCACAAATTCACTACCCTCTGAGTGAAGAAATGTTTCCTCAACTCATTTCGAAAAGGCTGACCCTTAATCTTGAGACTATGACCCCTAGTTTCAGATTCTCCAACCAGGGGAAACAGTCTCACGGCCTCTACCTTGTCAAGACCCTCAAGAATCGTACAGATTTCTATAAGATCACCTCTAATTCTTCTATATTCTAGAGAATATAGGCCTAGTTTACTCAATAGGTCAATCCCCTCATCCCATGAACCAACCTAGTGAATCTATGCTGCATCCCCTCTAAGGCAAGTATGTCCTTTCTTAAATAAGGAAACCAAAACTGCACACAATATTCTAGGTGTGGTCTCACCAAGGCCTTATACAACTTTAGCAATGCTTCCCTATTCTTGTACTCTAACCCTTTTGCAACGAACGCCAACATGGCATTAGCCTTCCTAGTTGCTTTCTGTATCTGGATACTTTTTGTGACTGGTGTACAAGGACACCCAAATCCCTCTGAACACTAACACTACCTAGTCTTTCCCCCTCTAGAAAATAATTCGCTTTTCTATTTTTACGACCTAGGTGAATAACTTCACACTTCCCCATGTTATACTCCATTTGCCACCTTCTTGCCCACTCACCTAGCCTGTCTATTTCCCTTTGCATTCTTCGTGTGTCATCCTCACAGCTTACTCTCCCACCTATCTTGGTATCATCCGCGAATTTAGATATATTAAGTTATATTTCCTCAACTAAATCATTGATATAGACTGTATATAATTCAGGCCCAAGCACTGATCCTTGTGGCACTCCACTAGTCACATCCTGCCAATCTGAGAAGGACCCGTTTATCTCTACTCTCTGTTTTCTTCCTGTTGGCCACTCTCCAATCCATGCTAATATATTGTCTTTAATTCCATGGGCTCTAATCTTATGCAGCAGCCTTTAATGTGGCACCTTGTCAAATGCCTTCTGGAAATCCAAATACACATCTACTGGTTCCCCCCTATCTAACCTGCTAGTTACGCCCTCAAAAATCTCTATAAGATTTGTTGAACATGATTTCCCTTTTGTATACCCATGTTGACTCTGCCTAATCATGTTATGATTTTCTAAGTACCCCACGACGAGGTCCCTAATTAAGGACTCTAGAATTTTCCCTACCACCGATGCCAGACTAACTGGTCTGTAGTTCCCCATTTTTTGTCTCCCACCTTTCTTAAATATCGTTGTTAAGTTTGCGACCTTCCAATCACTGGGAACCATTCCAGAATCCAGGGAATTTTGGAAGATCAAAAACATTGCATTCACTATCTCTGCAGGCACCTTTTTTGAAACCCTAGGATGCAGGCCATCAGGTCCAGGGGATTCATCGGTTTTTAATCCTATCATTTTCACTAGTACTATTGCTTTACTGATGTTCATTTCTTTAAGTCCCTCACTAACATTAGCCTCCAGGTTTCTCTCTATTTTCGGTAAGTTTTCAGTGTCTTCTAACGTGAAGACAGAGGCAAAATAATTGTTTAATGACTCTGCCATCTCTTTATTCCCCATCATAATTTCTCCTGTCATGTTGCAATGGACCCACATTCACTTTTGATAGTCTCTTCCTCTTTATGTACTTGTAAAAACTCTTACAATCTGTCTTTATGTTCCTAGCTAGTTTACTCTCATATTCCATTTTCTTCCGCTTAATCAGTTTCTTGGTTTTCCTTTGCTGATCTCTAAAGCCCTCCCAATCCTCAGGTTTACTGCTCTTTTTGGCAGTATTGTAGGCCTCTTGCTTTAATTTTATACTTTCCCTAACTTCTCTAGTTAGCCAAGGTTGAACCACTTTTCCTGTGGTATTTTTGTTTTTCAAAGGAATATGTGATCGCTGGGAATTATGTATTATTATCTTTAAACGTTTGCCATTGCTGGTCTACCATCATATTTTTTAATCTAATTTCCCAGTCTATTTTAGGCAAATCTTCTTTCATACCTGCAAAGTTGGCTTTATTTAGACTTAAGACCCTTGCTTTGGATTCAACTACATCACTCTCTCCCTTAATGTTAAATTCCAACAGCGTGAAACCTTGGCACGTTTCCCTACTCCACAAACAGTAAGCAAGTCGGAACTTAATTGTTAGATCGCTTTTCCGGGGATAATCCCTTCAAAAAAGAATGATAGTCTGATCACTCACTCACTCCACTATTGCTTGTGGGACACTGCCCTGCACAACTGGCTGCCATGATTCGCCCGCGAAAAAAAAATACAGTCAACGGTATATTCTGCGAAGCGCTTTGGGACGTCTCGAAGACGCGATAGGGCGCTGTGCCAAATGCAAGGATTATTTGTTGTTGTTGTTGTTGTTGTGTATAAGGAGAAGGCCTGGCTGCCGGGTTCCTGGTTTGTGCGTCACTCGCTCGCGCTGCACGTGGCTAGTCACGTGGCCGTGTTTACGGTTTGAGTGACAGCAGGTGCCGCGGGCGGGCGGGGGGGGCGGCGTCCGGGACCAGAGGCGAATCAATCCGAGTGGCTGCAAAACACCGGCTCCGTCACCTTACACACAGACCGACACCGGCCTTCTGAAGCCCCGCAGCGGAGGCGACCGTTTCGTTTCATTTCAGTTTAAGTAGGAGGAGGGGGGGATAAAAAAAAAGCTGCCCGAGTCGAACTGAATGAAGCACTTTCCGGTTTGCCTCCATTTTCGGCCTCGGTGGTGTTGGCTCTGGGCCTCAAAAGCCTCGGCTCTGAGGTCGTAGCCTCGGGGCCCAGCGCCGAGTGAAAAACGGATTAACGTGTACAAAGGCGTCTCTCGACGACCGCTCGGTAACGGTTGGTGGCCGGGGAAGCTGCGTGCGCGCGCGCGCGCGTGCGTTTGCGTGAGTGTGAGTGTGTGTGTGTAAAAAAAAACGAAGAACAATTTTCAAAAACGCCATCATCTCTTACCTCAGGCTCCGTCCGTGCCGCCGCCGCCGTTTTTATTGTTCTCTCGCTTCTGATTCTGCAGCCTCAATCTTTCTCTCTCTCTCTCTCTCTCTCCCTCTGTCCTCCGACGCCGCCGCTTTGCCCGCCGGGATACAGGAGGACTCCTCCGCGCTGACGTCAGCGGACAGCTCACGCACTGGCTCGGAAAGAGCATCTCTCATCTGGCGCCTGTCAGGCTGTCACTTACCATCCATTCCCGCTGGTTAGGTTAGTGAAACTGCCCTCAACCCCCCCACCACCACCACCACCGTCCCTTTCCCGCCTGTACAGCCATTTCCTCAGAAAGGAAAGGAGGGCATTCGCTTTCGCCCGCGGGAGAATCGCGGTCCGTTCGCTTCGCGGCGTATCCTGCGAAGCGCTTCGAGACGTCTCCAAGACGTGATAAGGCGCTGCATGTCAAATGCCAAGATTATTATTATTATTATTGCTATTTGGCGCTCAGTCCCCGTGCCGGGCTCTCTGGAGCAGTCGATCCATTTGGTGCCGCCCCAGTACTGAATTAAGGAAAAAAATACGTACGGTACTTCGAACCGATGTCGAATCGTTCGAGTCGCTTGGTTTCCTTATTTTCGTCTCCAGGGCAGTAAGTAGGCAAGTCAGCCAATGCGCTGGGCAGCAAAGAACTGTGAAGTGTTTGGAAAGTTTGACTGTTACAGAAGCTATATGAAATGCCTGTTAAGAAACGTGACTGAATACCTGCACTGGAATTGAGTTTCATCATTTAGACCGCTGATTGATTTGCTGGGCAGCTCACTTGCTTGAGTCACCGACATGAACCAAAAGCTTCTGAGTGTGAATCCTGATGGTTTTTTTAAAAAAACATTGCTGAAATGAGTGTCAATGTCTTTTGTTTCCCCGCAAAATCCTCCGAACATTGGGAACCTGCTGAGTATGCTTCAGGATTTCTAACCTTTTTCACATCCTTTATGAAAAACTGGGGAGGGAAAGGAAGATAAGCAGGATCTCTAGGATTGAACTGGTTCCATAGAAACTGGCTGATCACTTGCAATACTAGGCATGGTTAATGATTGATCACTCTGTTTGGCTAAATAAAACTTGTAAGATAAGTTATAACGTATCTAGGTTGAGGGAATGATCACTTATATACCTGTTCAGGTGGAAGTTAATGATCTCATGGTACTGTTTCAAATAAGACCAGGGAATGTGCTTGGTGTCCTGCCTAACATTTCCAAAATAAATTAAACTTAGTCATTTCAAAAATGATTGAAGCATTGCTGGTGCACACAAGGGAACCAAAAATGATCAATAGCTCCAAAAGCTTCTTTAGTAAAGTGATATCAGTGGCATTTCCTGTACATAGTGCTTAAGTGCAACTCACAGGAAGTAAGGTTAGTGGCTCTTCCTGTGAAGAGCAAATTCACATACAAATACAGTTATTGCATTTTTCAGAAAAATTCTGTGAAGCTCTGAGCCATTTCAAGATAAAGTGCTGTATCAAATGCAAGGATCATTATTTATGCGCAACAGACATCTGTGACACCTCCTAAACTTTATTCATGGGCGGTCAATGCCCAGGAAGTGAATCAACAGTGATCTGACAAGCCAGAAATGATCCGTTTTAGTAAGAGCAGCCAGTGATGAAGCACTGTACAGAGAATTAGAATCGCCTGTATTAGCAGGTTAAATAACTTATACTTAAAATGTACTGAGTGTGTGAAGCACTTTGAGAGCTTTGTATGTGATAAGATGTTCTAACAAATGTAATCATCAGTAATTATTCATTTAGACATTTGTATATTCCGACAGGAACCAAACTGATTTCTCTTCTCACTAACCAGGGGATTCTACAGTTAATTATAACACCCAACCATGACCCCAGCTGAGATCAGCTAGCTCAGCACAAATGAGGGGAATGAGATCTTGACCTTCTATGGCTTAATTACTTTACCCACTAGGCCATTAGTTGAGCGCTGGCAACACTTAAAAAATCCTTGCATTTGATATAGCACCTTATCACATCATTGAGACATCTCACTGTCTTTCTTAGCACAGGTAATGACACCATGTTCTTTTAGATTCAGATTGCAAACAGATGTTCCAAAAGACAAATCTGAACATGACGTTCAAAGTTACCACAACCTTCATCCTTATCCTTAGTTACTTGACATGTTTTTTCAAGAGCAGTTTTACATTTTCTGAAACCCTGACATCAGTTATCTGGGATAACTTAACGATCTGAAAATTGTTTTTTTTAAAAAATCTGGTTTCTGGTGATAACTGTAACGTCTGAAGTGTTTGCCACACGTTTATTCACATGTAATTTATGCCCTTCACAAATAAAACTGATTTTAAAGAAACCACTGAATAAACCACTGTTTAAAAAAAACCTGCAAACTAATTATATACTGTACCAAAAAGTAATTATATACTGTAAAATTGCACAAAAAGAATCAATGTTGTCAAGTTAGCTTATATTATGCATATTCTTCTTGCAACAAAAACTTCAATTAACTTTCAGTATTGAAGCTGCCCGCTGATTTTTTTTGCTGTATTAAAATCTTTGGCAAGTGTGGCTGATGTTAGAGATCAGAAGAATCTTAATTGGTTTCAATTATTACTGGAAGATTCAAGCGATAGAATAAATTTAATCTAGCTCATTTTTTTGCAATTGTAACACAAAATATCTTATGACAATTTAACAAGTCTTGGAGGAATTACAAGCTTGTCAGCTGGATTTCATCAACTTTTAAGTTTCCTGCTGCTTCAAATGTAAATTCATGTAGTGTTTTCTTTATTGCTAGCCTAGAAACCGCTGATTGCAAAATCTGAAGCAACATTTTCAACATACTGGAGCACTGAGTGAATGATTTTATGAAGATGATTCACAAATTGATTATAAATTCTGCTTCATGGATTAACAATGGCTCTTCATAGGTTTTGTAGAAAAATTGGAGTTTTGTTTTGTCATGATTTACTGATTCAAAAATTTGTTACGATATGCAGTGTTTCAACAAATGAACAAAAGAATCATCCATCATAAAATAAATGTCGGGTTATGTGTTTTTAATGATCTTAAAGAAAATAAACAAAGAACTACAAAATAGTTAATCTATTCACATTTGTTGCATTTGGTTGAGGATAGTTGTACAGTTAATAATCACAAAAAGCAATCTAATCTCCAATCATCATAGTACTATAACTATTTAAATTTGTCTAACTAGATTTCTGTATGGTTTTAATCTGACTGGAACTTGACACAGGAATAGTTATTTTACAAGATCTGTTTCAACTCAGTTGGGGCTGCACTTCAGAGTAAAGGAACAGAACAAAAATTATATCAAATGCAAGTACTTCACCAGAGTTATTTATTCTGAATTGACCAGATGAGCTAATATGCTGCCAAGGATGTAGTTTAGGTACTCCACTTCTTGGCAAGTGCGGATGGTGAAACTCAAGCCTTGTTGTGAAGTTATGTGTTTATCAGGACATTCAATACATTTACTGTGAATGTATCAGCCATCATCAAGTAAGGTATAAAATCATTCTTGCACTTTTCAACTGTTTCAGTTACCATTCACTTGTATCAACTGCTTTAAGTCATCCTCCTGATGTGAACAGTGCTATATAAATGTAAATTATTATCATTCATGAAACAATAAAGCAGCACATGTATGTGTGTGATTAGGTTCAAGTGTTGTAGCAGGTACTTTAAGCTCAAGGAAAATACATTAGTACTGATGGTGCCCAAAGTGTTGACCCCTGTGAGTGTATGGAGTTGCTCCAGGTTGTAAATGGCTCTTCAGTAAGGGTTCTCACCAGCATGGTAAAAAGGTAGAGTGGGCAATCAAAATAATTTTTAAATTGAGTGTTTTTCTTCACATAACACAGTTCCTTCACCCGGGTAGCATCTCAGAGCGCTTAGAGTTAGCTTAGTTTGACACTGGTTTATAGCTGCATTGTATTTTTTTTAATCAAACAAATATGATTTGACCATAACATTTTGAAGGAGAGAAGGGACTGTCATGTATTATGCACAACAACATTACATTTGTTTAGTGCCTTTCACGTCGGGAGGACATACCAAGGCGCTGTACAGTCACCCGAGCTGGGAGTCGGGATCGGGGAGGGCGGCGGGGAAGGAGAGTAATCGAAGGCACGGTCAAAGAGGAGGGTCTTCAGATGGGTCTTGAAGGAGGCAAGGGAAGGGGTGAAACGGGGGGACTACCGGATGGAGTTCCAGAGGAACTATGTATACACAGCACTATAATGCAATACACATGAACATAACATCCTATGTGGTTACCTGGCTAAAAATAGTTGTGAAGTTAGTTGTTTACTAGTTAACTTGTGAGCAATTATAAATAGAAATGTGTTGAATATTCATCTTAAATATTTGATAAATATGATAGCACACTGATTGCACAACAGTGTGGCATTTGCTTTCTGAGCACTGCTGTGTACATCTTTGACCTTCTACAGAACAATAATTATGTGAAGTACAATATTTTTTCACAATGATGCAACAAAAATCTGTTGTAAATATTTTCTATTTTATATAGCCACGCCCCACGGGTAACATGTGGTTTTGATTCTTCACTGTGTGGTGATACTGAGAAAGCTAAAATAGGCCAATGGAAGGCAAAGTGCCCGTTTTATTAAAAAAACGCAGTGAGACTTAATTTACGCTCTCCCAAGACATTAAACTAACAGTCAAGAAATGAGAAGCACAGGCCACATTGTGGGGTGCTGACTTAATATTACAAGTATTTTGGTAAACATGGGAGGCTCCAGTTACGTCTGGTTGTCAACACACTTAAACGCCCTGACTCACACATATACTGTGTATGAAGAGGAAGGAAAAAATAGGGAGGGAGGGAGAGAAGGGGAAAAAAAAGGAACAACAACTCCCGCCAGCCTTTGCGGGACAAGGGAGCAGTAAAAGATAACTTTTCTGGTGGCGGGTGGTGGGGTCATTATCCCTTCAAAAAAAAATAACCTAGTCATTCACTCCACGACTGTTTGTGGGACGTGGCTGCGTGTCATTGCCCGACGCGTTTCGCCCGCAAAACGTGCAGCCAATTGCCACGATCCGGTATATTCTGCGAAGCGCGTTGTGACGCCTCGAAGGCGTGATAGGGCTGCGCTACCAAATGAGCAAGGATTGTTATTTATTACTATTACTATCACTATTACTGCTGTTATTGCTACTCCTAATATTAGTAGTATTGAACTACAACTCCCACCGACCTTTGCGGGGACGAGGCGAGGCGGTGGGGGGGGGAAGGGAAGATGGCGAAGCGGACATGCGCAGTAGCCTTACCCCAGCTCCTAACGAATGGCTGCGGTGTCGACCAATGGCGACGCAGTCACGTGTCGCCTCCTTTCCCCCCCCCCTCCCCCCTCAGGCCGTGGTTGGGAAGAAGTTGTCCAGAGAGAGAGAAAAAAAAGAGTGAGAGAGAGAGAGAGAAAGCGTTAGCGAGGCCGAGCGGTCGGGCGGGCACAGCACAGCGACCCTCGTGGGTTCGCAGTCCACTTCCAGTACTCGACAGACAGACAGACAGACAGAACAGAGAGAGAGAGACAGACAGATAGACAAGAGAGAGAGAGAGAGGGAGAAAAAAAAGAAGAGAGAGCGAGAGACCCAGACAGAAAAAGGGAGATAATTATTTTCTCTCCTTTTTTTTTTGGGGTGGGGGGGGGAGGGAGGGAGGAGGGCGTTTGGTTTCTTCGCGTAACGAAAAAAAAATGCCCATTTTACTCTTTCTGATAGATACGTCCGCTTCCATGAACCAGCGGACTTGTTTGGGTACGACGTATTTGGACATAGCCAAAGGCGCGGTTGAGATTTTCATGAAGGTAATTTCTTTCGATATACATATATATACACACACACACACACACGCGTATATAATTATATAAAAATATATATTACCCCATTCAAAAAAAAAGAGGCGTTTTTTTTTAAAAAAGAAAAATGGCCCACTTTTTTTTTATTCCGTGTGGTGGGAAGAGTGGGGGGTGTGGGGGGGGGGGAAGAAGAGTAAAAATGAACCCCAGTTAGAGAGAGAAAAAAAGAAGAAGAAAAAAAAGGGGGGGGGGGTCGACGTTGGTGGGGGGGGGAAGAGAGGGAGAGAGAGAGAGAGAAAGAGAAAAAAAAACCTAACAAAATTATTCGGGGTCTCTCTTGAATCAAAACAGCTGCGAGCCCGAGATCCTGCGAGTCGGGGCGACAGGTACATGCTGGTTACGTTCGATGAGCCGCCATACGGTATCAAGGTAAATGTTTTTATTTATTTCGAAAACGCCCGATTTATTTGTCTCGGGTCTCGACGCGCTTCGGCGGCTCGAGTTGGTTCCCCCCCACATACATACACACACACACCCCATCCCCCGTTCTCTCTCCCTCTCTCTCTCTCTCTGTCTGTCGCTCGAAACGGGCGATTTTCCCACCGAAAACAACCGCCCGACTCCCCGAGCCCGTGCTAACATGGCGGACATTTTCTTTGTATGGCGCCCACCCACACCCACACCCCCCCGACGAGCGTGTAATGGAGGTGGGGAGATCCGTCACCGGGTGTTTAACATAAACGGAAATGCATGAGCCTCCTGATAGGATCCCGAGTGCTTCCTGTTCAGTAACCCCTGCACACAAACTGGGGGGGGGGTGTTAGAGAGAGAGAGAGAGAGAGGGGGGAAATACATACTATACTACTGTAACATGTTCGTGTGGCCCTGCGTTTTCTTTTCCAATTGCCCTCGAACATTACCTCACCCCCTCCCCCCCCTCCCCTCCCTCCCCATACACACAAACTCCTAAACAACTCCTTTTTTTTTGATGTAAACTGCACCATTTTAGCTTTTCGCTTCAGAACTCACAATCGAAACATTACTCAAAGAAGACGTTATAATTCAGCCTCTTCTCCCCCCCCCCTCCAACACCCCCACTTTATCCTCTCCCCCCCTCCAACACCCCCACTTTATCCTCTCCCCCCCCTCCAACACCCCCACTTTATCCTCTCCCCCCCCTCCAACACCCCCACTTTATCCTCTCCCCCCCTCCAACACCCCCACTTTATCCTCTCCCCCCCCCTCCAACACCCCCACTTTATCCTCTCCCCCCCCTCCAACACCCCCACTTTATCCTCTCCCCCCCCCTCCAACACCCCCACTTTATCCTCTCCCCCCCCCCCCCCGTTCTAAGTGGTCACTGACGGTGCATCAGTAAAGTGCCACTTGATGACTTGCGTGAACGGAAAAACGCTTAAATCTGCAAAATCAGTGTTCCTGTCAGAAATGTTTTGTTTTGTTGTGTCCTTTTGATTTTTCTCATCCTACCTCTCGTTAAAGTAATGATTTATGGGGAGGGAGGGGGGGAGTTTCACTCTGAGTGACAGTCTGATGATCCATTGGTTAAGATATTTTTCATCCTAACCAATGGATCCTCAGACTGTCTGTCTGAAGTGACTCAGTTGTTAGCAAACAAATAGTCAAAATAATTTTGCCTTATGTTGTAACAACTCGAAATGCTTCGGCTTTTTTGTGCAGTGTCGTGACAACTAATTTGCACACACCAATGCCCCCCTAGAAGCAGCCATTAAGTGCATGGCAATTTTTAATAATAATAATAATAATCCATGCATTTGACATAGGTTATTGTACTATTTTGTATTTTATGGGTGAAATGTGGCAGCCAGTTGCACACAGTAATGTACCCACAAACAGCCCTGGTGTGAATGACCAATTTTATTTGGGGAATTTGTGGCCAGGACACCAGGAGAAAATCCCTTCTCTTTTCCAATAGTGCCATGGGATCTTTAATGTCCACCTGAACAGGCATGTCTCATCTCAAGCACGCACCTCGGACAATGCAACTACCCCAAGCATTGCATTGGAGTGTCATTTTAGACTATATGATTCCACAGCTCAATGTGGGGCTTGGAACCTATAACCTGACTAAGAGGCGAGAATGCTATCACTGAGTCAGGTTGACACATGGTTTGAGGGACTGTTATTTAGGACGTCACGAGAAACACATCTCTTTTGAGCAGTTCCTTTGGGTCTTTAATATCCAACAGAACATGCAGATGGGAGCTCGGCTTACTGTCTCATTGAAAAAAGCAACACATCCAACAATGTAGTGTTTTCTGCAGGCAAATTCACTTTACAGTATATTCTGTGAAGCGCTTTGAGACGTCTAGAAGATGTGAAAAGCGCTATATCAAATTATTTAACGTCCACCTTGGCACTATTGGAAAAGAGAAGGGATTTTCTCCTGGTGTCCTGGCCACAAATCCTCCAAATAAAATTGTTCAAATTATTGATTATAATTATAATTTTCTTTTGGTTTAATAAAATATATTTTTTAATCTTGTTTTCTTTGTGCCAATTGGGGTGATTGAATTGGGGTGACATGATTGTCTGGCCATTGGTAGGCTAAATGACTAAGACTTTCACTATCGGTACTGGATATACAATTTAAGTATAAGATTTTAAAGTGAAAAACCTGGAAATGCTTTAATTATAGTCACGTAATCAAACTGAATTTTGGTTGAACAATAAAACATAATGCTTTATGTTGCTTTATGATGTAAAAAAGAACAATGTTGCATCACAAATATTCGACAATAATTACTGTAGTTTTTTTTGGCAAATGCAGAAGATTTATGATCCATCTGGATGATTTTTGTTTTGTATAACATTATTGGATCTTTAAAGTCCATTTGAAAACATTTTGGTTTCACATCTCAGCTTCAGAGAAAGCATCTACACCCACCAAACCTTTCATTATAGTTTCTCTGTAAACTGTGTTAACCGGAACTGTAAACTCCCTGGTAACCATCTGAATCTACACTTTACTCTGTGCAAAGCCAGTACATTCTTGAACATAGTACTTCAATGCGGTTTTGCCAGTGTCATGTACGGCTGCAATAGCACTTTGCTTTTATATTCTACATTTCCCAGTAACCTTTTATTAGCTTTCTGAACCCTTTGAAACATCTTTTAGTGATTTTATAATTACGATTTGTCCCTTTGTTCACTATGCCTCCAGAACTTCTCCATTTCAATTATTTAGAATTATATGGCAGAAACTGCAGTTGGGTGGAATTAATTTAATATACACAGGTATTTTGTTCAAAGGAATAGAAAGCAGTCTTAACAATCAGATGAACATCCATGGTAGCTATCAATACAGTATATAAAAGACTTCAACATTTTTTCTCAAAATAGACTTTCTTCTAAGTGCACTTTTATTTTTTTTATTGTAAATGATAAAGAAATGTATTGAATTATCAAGTGTTGGGCCTAAAACCATGTATATCTTAAAAATGAACAGTGGCGCTACAACAATGATTTGACGAAATCTAAAGTAGCTGGCTCAGTTTGCTGCTGCTGTAACCTCAACCTGGTAACAACCTTTGCACCTGTTAATATGTGTGCTTTGACACAAACAGTAGCACAACTATCTGAATTTCCCCCTTTTAAAATGTATTGAAAAATTACAATTGGTGCCGCATTTAAAGTTTGCTTTTAAAGTGTGATTATTGTATAATAATTATAATTCCATTTGTATAGTGCCTTTCACGCCAGGATGACATCCCACTAACAATTCTTGCATTTGATATAGCGCTTTTGCACATCTTCGGGACATCTCAAAGCGCTTCACAGAATATACCATAAAGTGAATTGTCTATTTTGTGGGCAAAACGGGGCAGCCATTTGTGCACAGCGGTATCTACAAACAGTCGTAGATTGAATAACCAAACTTATTTTTTTCGAAGGGATTATTCCCAAGGTGGTAATAATAAAATAATTTGTTTAGTATGATAATTTTCTTGGCCATCAAAAGATGTAATTTATATTTCATATAACTGACATGTTGCTTTAGGTACCTGGCTACTTAAGTGTATGAATGTCTGAATGTGATCAGTCATATTTGAATGCAATATTAGTTGGGTGAAAAGTGACCTTGGCATTTAGTTTGAGTCTGCTGTAACATGAGGAAGCATATTAAAATAAAAATTAAGAGGTGAGCTGGGTTTAAAATGACAACGTGACAGAGACACATGGTGATGTAACAGGTGGTTTAGTCTATACGCTTCTTGCAAACTGTTGTATATGACTGAGAGAACTATGACAGGTATTGCTGGATTGGGAACTAAAAATGTATATATTTTAAAAACAGTAATTAAATAAACAAGGTGAAACATTTGGTCATTATGTTAAAGTCTAGCGGTGTTGAGATGGTGTTAAATGTTATTTGAAAAGAGTACCATTACAGGAGGTATCCTTTGTGTATAAAATGTCTTAAGATGGCGGGCAGCACAGTTACTGTAGTAACAGCTTTTAAGAGAGAAGCAGATAATTATTTGGGGAGGACAAATTTTCAGGGCTATGGAGAGAGAGCGGAGGAGTGGGATTGAATTGGATAGCTCTTTCCAAAGAGCCGGCACAGACACGATGGGCCGAATGGCCTCTTTCTGTGCTGTATAATTCTATGATTCTATGATGCTCTATATTTTTGAAGCATTGTGAAATGTGAAAATCCTTAAATATCGTTGAGATTTGTGGGCCTAAGCTTTTCAAAACGGTGAATGGTTGTAATGGAAATCTTGTTTAGAAAGAAAATTTAAATTATTTGTAGTACTCTACTATATTGTGACTGTTTCATATAGCCAATCATGGCTGCCATTTTGCACACAGTAAAGTCCCATAAACAGCTATAGGTGATTGACCAATTATCTGGAAGCTTATTGCCTTAGGATACCAAGATAAATTCTCTTCGAATAATGTCATGGGGTTGACCTGTAAATGCAGATGGGACCTTGGTTTAATGTTGAGCCTGAACGCAAAAGACTGCATCTCCCATAGTGAAGTATTCAGTGTTGCACTGGAGTGTCTTGTTGTGGATGGTTTAAGCCCACAACTTTCTGACCCAACTGCAAGAGTACTACAAACTGAGCCAAGCTGACACACCAGTACAGCTAAGTGGTGAAATCGTCTTTCTCAGGCCGAACGTAATAATAATTATAAAATTTTTATGACTTCTTGTTATGACTCTTCTAATAGTGGTTTGATGGCAACCTTTTAAATCAAGGCAAAATGTCGATTAGAATCTGTACGAACTGTAAAAATTGTACAACTTGGAGTTGCACTTTGAAATCATTATGTGTTCCAGCACAGAATTTACATTCACATTTTAGATACAATTTAAGAAATATATAGAGGTTAGTTTTGAGTAGCACATGCCATTTGTCTGCTTTTATAGCATTGTCTAAATTTTTTCTCATTGTTTATGGCTCTTAGTAATTGAGGATCTATATGAGGAGTTTGATCTGGAATGTCTAGTCTGATATCTTCTTTTATACATGGCTTTTTCCTTTTTAAGGTACATTTTGGTGGTAAAGGGCAATAAAAGTGCTGTTGAATGACTATTCTAGATTACTCCTTAAACATATTGCATTCTAAAAAGTGTTTCACATTGGCTCCTAATATCTGTAGTGTCATGTTTTTGGCAAAGGCAAAATAATCCGAAATAAAATGGAAAAAAATCATTAAAAAATAAACACAAGAAGAAAGTTTAAAAAATAGTGGGTTTGGCCAAAACATTTTTAAAACTAAATCAGTAAATGTACCATAAACGGGTATCTAGAGGGAAGCTGAAGTGTGTCGAAGCAGGTTTGATCCTTGTGTCTATAGTTTGTGTGGAAATTCGGATTTTGCTACCAAAGTTTAAAATGCCTAAACCATTAAACGTCATAAATGTAATAAATGGAGATAAAACAAATTTTTAATGGATAAAACAAAATTAGAAATATCCTGGGGGAAAAAGAAAAATGATAAAAAATGGAAATAATTTCATGGGGCTTTACTAATTTCTCATAAAGTTGGCCCACTTGTAGATATTTGCAAATTAGAGAATGGAATTTACTTGAGTATTACTCCTGATAGCTCCCACAAAACACACAGTCACTGCACTTTACCCTATATACTTTACACTTTACACTTTGGGACATTGTTCTGATGTGAAAGGCGCTATACCAAACATAAGGATTATTATTAATAATTGGTGGCAATAGTCTATCTTTCAGTCTTCAATTTGTTTTGTTTTTTAACTGTCAAAAAGCATAACCCATGAGAGTACATTGGAGAGAGTGATGATTATTTTAATTGGAATTAATTCACTGGATAACACTTGATTGCTAAGAATCTTGCAAGGTTTATATGTATTGAAAAAATATTTTTCTTATGAAGTACATGTAAAAATTGAAATCCCATTAATTTGATGGATGTCCTGATTTTCATATAACAATATCTAGTCCATGTTGGGTATATATGCATAATAGGTAAATTGTGTGCAAAATAATTACAGGTACCCTTAATTATGTGAGTAACTGTCAGTGAAAAGAATTGCTTCCTAACTATACAACCATTGGTTAACTGTAATGTTTCCTCTTCCACTTTGGTTAGTTACAGGGGAAAGCTGGGTGAATTTGGTTGTGTTTCTGATGCTGTCACTATACTGAAGCTTTTTCTTGTTCTTGGAATTGCATTGATTCTGCAAATTGCCAAAAGGTTATTTACACATGGAAGAAAAATGAAAATGAACTAAAAAAAATTAACTGTATAATTCCCTTGCGCAATTTAGAATTCAAAGTTTCCTTTTTTTCTTTGATTATAAGCAAGCTTATGGTTCAAAACCAAGGCAAGTTTTCACTTGAATCGTGGTTCAGAAAATGAAGATGAAAATAAGTTAGAAGTTTTAAATTCAGCCTGATTTCTCCCGAGAAAAAACAGCATCATCGCAATCAGTCTCACATTAAGGCAGTCATATGTATGAACGTGTCTGATAACCATTAGGTAATGTCATTATTTTGCAGGCTGGCTGGAAGGAAAATCATGCAACATTTATGAACGAGCTGAAAAATCTTCAAGCTTCGGGCCTCACTACACTAGGGCAAGCTCTGCGGACATCCTTTGATTTATTAAATCTTAACCGATTAGTCTCTGGGATAGATAATTATGGGCAGGTAAGAACGCTAGGCATTTACCAAAATAGCTGTTTTTAACCTGTTCAACACTTATGTATTTTAGCAATACTTGAAACAATTTGTAAAAATAAAACTTTTTGGGAGGTGGCTTTATAAAGCTCTTCCCTACAGTATGCAGTTTGGAGAATATTCTGTGGATATTTGAAGATTAGCCTGATGATGTGATGTCCTTATATCATTGAGGCGTAGTTTGGTAATTGAATCATTAAACTAGGTGCTATCTGTTTGAGTGAGGCAGCAAAAGAAGATAATTGGTGCTGCCAAGTATTGGTGCATGCTTATTCTATAGCCCTGTTACTCGCTCACCTTTGGTTGAGAGCCACAAACCCAATTGTCCCTTGCTCAATGGCAGTGCTCAAAACTTCTTTGTAACACTGTACCATGCAGAAATGGAATGATAGTATAAATCATGATGTCCTTACACTATAAGTCATTGATTTAAATCGAGCAAGGACTTTTATCTTTCTCCCATGCAGGGATGGGAATGCCTCAAATGTTGTCAAAGCAATGATTCCCGTAAATTAGTAAAATACTTGTTCAGAGGAAGCTGGGATTCACCTGTCATTTGATAAATGGTCGCTTGATTTTGTTCACTGGATAACAGAGGGAAGAAATTGGATCAGTAAAATTCCAGTTCTGGCAACATTCCATCACTGGTTGGGCAATGTCGAGAGACCCAGAAATGTGTGATATGGCAGACTTGCTGAGGATCAAAAATGGTGCTTGGACAATGTGATGAGTAGTACACAGTAGTGTTTCTTGACAAGATTCCTTAAAAGAATCTCCATCTCACAAATAGTAAATCCTCTAGTAACAGGAAGTGGGTCACATTGACAGGCGGGAACTTTGCTGAAACGTGATCAACTTCTGAAGTAGAGTTCCTGCAGTAGCTTAAGGAATGTGACTTTTTAAAAAAAATGCAAATTGGAGCCCTGCGATTGTTGCATTCATTAGATATAGTATGTCCCTCCTGCTGACAGACATTACACACCTATCAACATTGTAATAATCACAGAACTCTTGACCAATTGATAATGGTGTTTCATGAAGTCAAAAGATGCTGTTAGTAGAGTGAGAGATGCCTGGAACTTGCACGCAGCTAGCATTCTGCTCTCAGTAACTGCAACTTAGTTTGTTGCATTATTGCATTCCAAAGTTTAATTTTCCTAAATATATTTTGTACCTCAATGACGTGTTAAAGTGCTAGATCAAATGCAAGGATTATTATTAAAATTTGGGAGACTAATATATAATAAAAGAACATAGCATTGATTTGCATTGTTATTTAAATAACTATCTGTTTGCCCATTTTATCTTGGTATTGTGTTTAGATAGACTTGTCTTGGCTAATTTAGCAGCAGAGCATGAGAGGAAGCCTTATGTAGTGGTAGTCCTACGTAGTGGTAAATTGGCTTGGAATTGAATTATATAATGTTTTACACATGAAACTAAGGCTACTTCCCTCCCTTTAGTTTCAAAATCCTCCTTGATATCTACATTTGTGAAGCATGTGTAAAATGCTTAAAGTGTAGGTTGTTGGTATAAATTTCCTTGAATTAACTGCAAGGATTACTTTAGAACTGGTTTATATTCTGTGTTAGCATATTTCTGAAAGTGTACCATTGCTGTAATCTCCAAAATTATTCTTATTTAAAAATACCCCTGCTAACACTTGTGTAAAATTGTACGCAAGGAATATACTGGGCATAGATTTTCACGTCAAAGTTCCTTCTTTCTAGCTTTATAAAACTAGTTAGTTCACAAGTTTTTAAAAGCTAGAAATAAAAAAATCATAGTTGGTTTGATTCTTGTCATCTATAAAACAAATACTTTGTCAATATTGCATTGTGAATGAGCCAGAGAATCTGAAAAAAATGAATTATTTAGTGGCAAAATTGTAAAATGACAGTATCTTAGCTGAACGTATTACTGTGTGTTTTCAAAGGTATTCCTCAGTTGATGTTTTATATCAAGTGTGCCTTATTTCATTTGTATAGGGGAGGAATCCTTTTTTTCTTGAGCCATCTATTATTATTACCATGACTGATGGCAGCAAAATGACAAATAATGCTGGAGTACAAGAAGAGGTAAGATTCAGTTTGTTGTTTAACTTCCCCACAACCCTGCAATGAATATTGTGGCAGGGTTGGTCTGGTGGAAAGATGGTAATAGAAAGTAGTAATATCCACTCAATTTTCAGTTGTTTAAAAATAGTAAAGTTGTTTAAAAATTTTCAGTTGTTTTAAAATAGATTTATTGAACCAAAATCAACATGCGGTGAAATACCAATACCAAGAAATGTCAACTGCCATTGTCAAAATAGGACATTGCTGTTTCAAAATGAGAAATAATAAATTAATCCTCACATTTGATATATCTATAATATCAAATATCTGTGTTTCATGTTTCTGTGACGTCTAATGACTATTTCTAGGCAATTGTGCCACAAAGAAAGTCCATGAAAAGAATGTTCAATTTTATCTGGAGGTTTGTTGGCTAGGCTAGAGGGGAAACTCCCTCGTCTTTTCAAATGGTGCCGCTTGAACAGAAAGGATCTTGGTTTGACATTTTATCTGAAGGATAGCACCTTTGACAGTGCAGAATTGCCTTAGCATTGCATCAGAGTGTCTGCCTGGACTATGAGTTCAGATCCCGACGCGACACTTGAACCCACATGCTCTGACCTAGAAGTCAGAACGCTACCCACTGAGCTGGTGATTTTGGAAATATCGTATGTTTGATAACATGTGTGGATGCTATAAATCTGTTTCTGTTTCAGCTTCACTTGCCTCTAAATTCCCCATTGCCTGGTAGTGAATTAACAAAGGAACCATTTCGATGGGATCAAAGATTGTTTGCACTTGTTTTACGTCTTCCCGGCGCTTCATCTCTCGAAGCAGACCAACTAGGAAGTGTACCTTCGGATGAATCTGCTATTTCTCAAATGTGTGAAGTTACAGGAGGTGAGTTAGCATCAATGGTTGTATTTAGTTGTAATTTTAGGCTTTTGCAATTGAAGTACAGACTTATAGTTTGGCTGTGGTCTGATATACATACCACGTAGAGAAAGGAGAGCTCATTCCTGATTCTGTGCTGACTCATTGCAAATATTGAACAAACGTAAAAGAAAAGCAGTAACTTGTGCAGTGTAAAATGAGAAGCAGAACAAGATTATACACCATACCTGTGTTTAAATGACCTTGGATGTGCTCCAGGATGAGGCACAGAATTGTCAGAACAGATCACCCGACAGTATGAAAATTAAGATCATTGTTCCTGAGAGTGCTTTTCAATTTGTGGGATCGAGAAAATTCCTATTTCTGGGCTTGGATTTCCTTGAATTTCACTCAAAGAATGAGGAAGATTACTTACAGTATATAATCTCATTATTGTTAAATGTGTCAAACACAAAGAAAGAATTTTAGTAGAGAATTGTTTCTTGAATATATTAATTGAATATATCTTTAGCAATGAGTTACTTCATGTATTCCAGTTTCCTCTTTGTATATTCTCTAAATTCGTGAAGCATGCAGGTTGCGTTTAAAATGGATTTTTCCCCAAGACTTAACGAGTTGAGCCATCATATTAATTTTATTGTTTTATCTTGCCATGCATTTTGGTTGTAGGTCGATCTTACTGCGTTCGTACTCAACGGATGTTAAACCAGTGCCTGGAATCTTTGGTACAGAAAGTTCAAAGTGGAGTAGTTATTAATTTTGAAAAAACTGGACCAGACCCAATACCTGTAGGAGAAGGTAAGACTAACGCTGAAAAACAGACTCAGAATTTGCACTAATTTATTAATATTTACATTAAGGCTCAAAGTAAGAGTTTTTCTGTTGCTTTTATACAATTGACTTATTTTATAATGATACACCTTAGTATCCTCAGTGTGGACCAAAAAATCACTAACGTTGAAGCTTACATTAGTTTTTTTTAAAATAGGTGAATCTTACTTTGGTTAAAGATTTGATGGCATCTTGGAATAATTTGATGGATGTTACAAAACAATTAAACATTGAAAGAGTTGATATTTAAATTAACTGGAAGTAAATATTTAAATTGAATGAAACCAGATTCGGAATGCCTGCTTGTTTAAATTGTTTCTTGAGTCAGCTTAGTGTACTCAAGTTCCAAAGAGAGATGCAAACAGGACATCCATGTGCGTGCAATAGGAAATTGGATGAAGATCTCTTCTATAATTTAAAGAAATACATATGGGTATTAAAATGGGTCACATGTTATTAAAATGGGTCTGTAAAATTATCAAATAACGGTCCCTTTAGAGTATTCATTTTTTTGCCAGTAGAGAATATTATTCAATTGTAAATACTATCTGGTACATACTATACTAAGGTATGATGAACATTGCCAATTTCAATAAAAGCGTGCTCAGCAAATTGAACAGGGGAGAACTATATCATGTCTATGTGCAATAGCTTTTTACTGCAATAAACAGACCAAACCTTCTCAGCAAGTCTCATTGACAGTTCTTGGGTTTTAATTGGTTTATTAAAATATTGAAGCTGCCCCTTTGGCCCATTTATGCTTGAAGAAATAATATATCGTTGGAATTATTTTAAAACTAATTTTAATCTAAAAGTGAAGTGCAGTGATTGTGTGTTTTGAAGGCAAGCACAGCTAATTTATGCACAGCAATGTCTAGGCATGAAGTGAATGACCAATTTTATCTAGGGTATTGTTGGCAATGATATCATGAGAAATGCCCTTGTCTTTTCCAATTGTGCCATGGGATATTGAGCATTCATCTGAACAGGCCCACAGGATCTCGGTTTTGGTACCTCATCCAAAGGAATGCCACCACCTACAAAACAGCACTGTCTTGCAGTGTCAGCCAACATATTAAATGCAAGGATTATTATTGTATTATCATAGTGTGTGAGTTCAAAGTCCCAATGTGGGGCTTGAACCCAGAGGCAAGAGTGCAACCAATAGAGCCAGGCTGATTGTTTTTATTTGTGTTTTATCAAACTGCTTTAAGTTTATCAATTAATGATAAAGGCCAACAAAAAGTTACAATACGATTACATTATTTAGATATTTTTGTTCAATCTGTTAATTTTAAAACATCTTAGGTTGTATTTGGAAATTATTTAAAATAAAAAAAACATCCAATTACATTGATATGCAACAACGACAAATTAAATTTGTACAGTGCATTTCATGTCTGGAGGACGTCCCAAAGCGCTAACACTGAAGCAATTGAAAATGGTGATTACAAATTATGTGAGACAATAGAAAGGTCAATTTCTTTTACTCTGCTCTATTTCAGATGGTATTGTTGAGACACCTAGACCCGCTTCTTCATTTACTCCTCAAGCTTGGCATAGCTGTCATAAATTGATTTATGTGCGTCCTAATCCCAAAACCGGTGTGCCTGTTGGACACTGGCCCATTCCAGAATCGTTTTGGCCAGATCAAAACTCTCCAACACTGGTGAGTAGTATTGGAGATAGATTTTTCTTTGAGGAAACCCTTTGCTGAATGCTTCGAATCTGAAACTCAATTGCTTTGCTGTTAATTTCAATAGGTAAAATGTTGGATTTACAACAAAATAATCTGGGAATAACTTTTAGCTACTTACAAAGTGGGAGGTTGTTATTGTATTAGTTACTATATGCTTTGCTCTCTAAATTTTCCCTGGATATTTAAATGATTATGCATAATTAAAAACAAAATTAACCCTTTTTTTCCCTCAGCCTCCACGTACTGCTCATCCTGTAGTAAGATTTTCCTGTTCGGATTGTGAACCTATGGTTATTGACAAATTACCCTTTGACAAGTATGAACTTGAACCTTCACCTTTAACCCAGTACATACTAGAGCGCAAATCTCCTCACAATTGCTGGCAGGTAAGCAGGTCATTGATTGAAATGGAGTTGTATTCCATACTTCTTTCACATTCATAGCGTTTTCTTTGCCATTAGGGTATTCTAATTTTTAACTATTAATCGCTTGTGTGATTGTGGATGGTTAGAATCTTCTGTAATGTCTGTTCCATCTGTAGATTACTTTTGTCTCATGAATAATATTAGTATACTTCATTATATTTTATAATGATGGAAAGTTGTGTCCTAACAATACGGTTTGCCGACTCCAACATAATGCTAGTGATGAATGAATCACTAGAATTATGGCAGCACAATTTAAGTGGAAGAGGAACAGTATTAAGTACAGTTTTTCCTGCCCTTCAAATGGTCTTGCTGGTCAGAATGAGGTTTGCAACTTAAGTATAATTTATACTGAGTGACTCTTCTAAATGAAGAAAACAATATAATTTTCATTAAACTGAAGTCCTGTTTGCCTGTTTTGTTGGTCATTTAAGGCCTTGTGATTTTGCATTGGTTGAGTAATGAGTTGGCTCTTTCAAGATGTTTCATGCTTTGTTCATCCAAAATAAAACTTCTAAATTGGTTTAATAAGTACTCCAATTTGCTTGATTATTTTGCTTAGGTGTTTGTGAGCAGTAGTGGAAAATACAGTGACCTGGGACACCCGTTTGGTTATATTAAGGCCAGCACAACATTAACCTGTGTAAATCTCTTTGTTATGCCTTACAACTATCCAGTGCTTCTACCACAGCTTGGTATGTACTTTTAAAAGTTGGTAATTTTTGAATAATTGTGTGAAAACGGGATTGTGTATGTAATTTGTTGATTAGCTGAATATTAGCCTTGACAAGTAAGCAGAATCTAGAAGTTTACCTCACATTCTATAAAGATTGTTTTGTGTATTTTAAATTATGTATTCACGTGCACTTACAAATGAAGAAATCCTTCAAATAGACTGAGAGGGGAGGAGAGAAATGTATCCGCAGGTTCAGCATGTTTGGACAGTCATTAAGGTCAAAAATTGTCACCATCAAAGACTGCAGATATTAAGGAATCAAAGCTTCAGAATCTCATGGGAACAATCGTACAGGTTCATGGGGAAAGGAGACAATGGAAGTATTGATTGACCCTCCTAGATACCAGTACATCTATTTTTTTCCATGTGTTTAGATAATCTATTATGAATACAAAGTAATCATCTGTAGAGGAAAGATGAAGCTGGAGGGAAAGAGAAATTGGTCTTTGTCACTGGCCACAGAAAAAATATGTTGTCTTTTAATTCCTCAGGGATGATTATGTGGTTGATGTTTCTGCAAGACACAATATAAGGGCTTGCATTTTACAGATTGAATTATACAGCTATCTTCAGTTTTTTCCTCTCATTTTGGGAGCTGAGGTAGCAATGGAAAATTTGGCATCAGCACTTCCACTGATATTAGAGATTAACAAAACTGTACCATGCCAGTTTTCAATTTGAGTGCCGTGTCCCAAGTATTTCAAGATCTAACAGGCTATCTGATTAGGTCTATCCATTCCATAGGTATTGGTTCCATTTGATACGCTGCCTCTTAATGGTAATGTCTGAGGAGGTTTCATCTCCAACTCCTCTGAAGTAAACTCAGAAGAGGAGGAGAGAGCATCTTGAGTCTGTTTTTGGAAGAGGGGAAAGCTTTAGAATTGGATACACAGAAGACTCTGCCTTGATCCAGGTGAAGTCTTCATTGTTGAATTTAATACCAAAGTGACATTCATATGCAAATTGGCTATCGTTGAATGATTCTTTGGTTGTGGATTTTGTTGCCAATCTGTTTTGGAAATTCAGAAGAGCTTCACAGGAGACTGCCTGGTGCCGCCTTTCTTAACCATGTTCTTACAACCTTATAATAAAGGCACTTGTTCTTTCCAAGAGAGGAATGTAGTCCAAAGGATCACTGCCATTTCTGATTTACAAATCTCTTATCAAGTTCACAATAGGAATAAGTCCTTATAGCAAAGAGAATAATCTGGTTCATGCTGCATTAGAGTTGCAAATAAAATTGGCTGCTGTCTGAGAAGGAAGAATCATGCCCATTTATTACTGGCACTGATGTTACCGTATGCAAACAAACTACTCATTATCTCAAAATGGCAACCTTCAAAATTTGACTATTTCATAAACCAATGCTAACCTATTACTGTAGGTTTTTCTCTAAAGGAAACTTATAAGGAGCTGCACTGTGCATTTTAAGGATGCATTGTTCAAAGAGTTGGGGTGTTTCCTGTGCAGTGTCTATTTCCAAAAGATTCATTGCACTCTAGGATAATTTGCACAATCATTCCTGTGGATGTCCAACCTGGGGGACAGGCGATGATTTTTCCTTACGCCTCTATTGTTGTCAAGTGGGAATGAGTCATATGAGTGCACAACAACAGTTGTTAACTGATGACCTTTCACCCATACAGGATATAAACTATTAGCTACCCGTTGTAGTTGCTACAAAAGATACAGAATAATCATATTGCTGAATCTTGTTCAATGATGATAATAATCCTTGCATTTGATATATCACCTTATCATGTCTTTGAGATGTCTCAAAGAGCGTCACAGAATATACTGTAAAGTGAATTGACATACTTTTTTTGTGGACGAAATGTGGCAGCCAATTGCGCACAGCAGTGTCCCACAGTCATGAATTGTTTGTGATAAAAATTGCAAAGATTATTAAATTTATCACATTATCTCCACTGAACAATTCATCAGGATTTATTTAAAGATATTTGGTGCATAAATTAATTAGGTGTCTGTTTTTTCTTGAAATATGGTACTGTTGCATTTGAAAAAATATCTGGTCCAGTTATTTCCCGAGCAGCTATTTTTCCAGTAATTGGTGTTAACTTTATTTGATCATTTTTTTCTATGACCGTTTCATTCCTTATTTTATTGCCCTTACAGATGATTTGTTCAAAGTGCACAAACTGAAGCCAAATCTAAAGTGGCGCCAAACATTTGAGAATTACTTGAAGACTATGCCTCCTTATTATCTATTGGTATGTATAAATGAGAACCAGAGCAGCAAAAATGTTGCAACTTATCCAATATTTAATAAAACACACAAAATAAGTCTTAAAAATTATTGATTGTGATTTAAGCTTGCATATACTCGTGAGCTTTGGAGTTAGTAAAATGATTGCAAGACATTAGAAATAGCTTTGCTTATTTTATTTCTGTTTACTATCAAATTGAAATTGCTGACGAGACATTGAGATTATTTTGGCCGATATTAATGTTGCTCAGTAAATTGCAATGTTTGTTTGAAACGCCAATTAAGTGTGATACTCCAGTGAACTGAAAATGCCAAATGACTCAATATTCAACAAGGGGACTGAGTAAATGCAATTAAATTAATTTGTGCTGTGTTCAGGTACATGGTGATCTCTAATAGTGTGATAAAGCTCTCTAGAATTAGTACTCACAATAACCAAGACCACTCCAGTCATCCAACATCTGACAAAATTTACAACAGGTTTAAATGGTGTGCATTGCATACTGATGTATGAAGGAATGAGCGCCAATACTGATTATTTCCCAAAACTGTTGCGAATTGCAACATGCACAACAAAGCATATTTGCATTAGATTTTTCTGAACGACAATGGATTCCAAATGACAAGTTGCAAATGGAAGTTTTTTTTCTGTGGTAATAGACAAAAATTAAGCCACCTTATGTGAGGTCATTTTGAGGATAACAGGAACCACAGGATAAAATGTGACTGAATTCCCTTAGTTCAGAAATTCGAGCAATTGGCATCCAGGAGGGGAAAATTTGGGGGGAGAGGAGAGAAAACGAGCAGTAGAAGTGAATAAATTAGTGTTATTTTACAGAGCAGAAAAATATTACAAGTGAGATTTTTACTTGTAAATTTTAACAAGTACTCTCTACTCAAACTTGTATTTTTCACTAAATGCCACAATAGTTTTAGTCACTATAGGGTTAGGTTATATGTGCAATAATAAGAATGATTAAGCAATAATTTGTTTCAGCAGTGTTAATGATTTAAAATTGGTGTTTGTTTAAAACGCTGCTGAACTTTGGGAAGACCTGTCACTTGAAGGAACCTTTTCATGGAGGTGTTGTGACTTGATGTGGGCTGGGTGAAGGGGTGAGCACTTCAGCTATAGGAGAACTGGATCTTGGGCACCAATAACTAAGAGACAACATCCCAGAGCAGCAGGAAGAGGGAGGGCTGCTGGTTTTGTGACACTGCTTCTTGACAGATTGATTAGATCATCATCTTGCTCGGCCAACTCTAACTTGCCCAATTGCAAACTATTGTGTAAGGTGACGATGTCTGTGCATCCGAGTGTCGCCAAGATTACACTCTGGTGTGGACATTATTGGCCTGATGAAACAGGTACACACCTTTACCCAGCAGACTCTGGGATAGTGGTGGGGTGTCAAAGGGCCAGCCTTGTGTGCCTGATTTTTTTCCCCTTGGTCTGTTGCAGACCCTGCAGCTTGTACGGTGTACCTCAGAGAGAAAGCCCTGTGGAAGATCTAGCGACAGGTGAAGGATCTTCCTGTTGCTTGGCAGCACAGTGTAGACTCTGGTCCCTTGGTGGCACGTCTTCGATGGCTGCTGTTGGTTGGCCCCTCATAAGAAAGGATTTTAAGTCCTCCTGTACCTTGTCGCTGTCCTCCAAGATGGTAATTGCCTTGGGGTTGGTATGAGCAGACCTGGATGAAATTGATCAAAGTATATATAGATCGAACTATACAGATGAGACTTTTTTTTTCATGTGCTTCACAAAATTCTAATACCAAGCAGATTAAATAAAGCCGGTTCAAACTCTGCACTTTACACTGCTTTTTGATGGGATGATTTTAAAAAAATCAAAAGAAAAACCTTATCCTGACAATTTTCATGTTTTAATTATGCAACCAGGCCTATTAAGTGGCTTTTTGTGCTTTGTGGCTGTTTTGTTGTGTTGTGTATGTTGTAATTGACTTATATTTAGTATCCTTTTCAGGTCATACATTTATGGCAATCTTGTAGTTTCTGGAATTTTGGAATGTTTTCGATACATTCACGTGTTTGCCCACAAAACACACAATCAATCCACTTTACAGTATATCCAATGAAGCTTTTTGAGATGCCTTGACAACAATAAAGGCGCTATATCAAATGCAAGGGTTATTATTATTTGCGGACCAAGAATTATATGCCTTTCTGCAGTTAGATTTTTTTGCCAAAAAAACACATATTTGAAAATTACTCATTACTCACAGTTAAAAATCAGCTTCTGAGAAACCATGTTTATCATACTTGGGCTTGCTGTCCATTTCCTGCTCTTTATTATCACCATCCTAATAGAGTATATCCTTCAAAGGATTAAATACTTTATTGTTCACTGATGTTGGTTAAAATTATTCTGTATACATGTGGTTGCTGTATATTGATGTCTGTAGGATTTCCGAACTGGGTGGTAAGTGAAAGAACTTACTGCTGCAAAGATTTGTCTAAAGTGCCAATATGTTTGATAGTCTGAAAATTGTGCTCTTTGTGTTTCCCTCATTCTAAAAAAAATCACAGATGTACATAATTTGACATCAATGGTAAAAGTGCTTTATAGCTCACTGAAATTAATTACGAATTGCCCATATTTCTCAATGTCTGACTGTACACTGTATATGTTTGCCTTTAGCCATTGAAAAAAGCACTACGAATGATGGGAGCACCCAATCTGATTGGTGACAACAGTATAGATTGTGGGCTTAGTTACAGCGTCATTTCTTACCTCAAGAAACTCAGCCAACAGGTAGTAATAAAATAAACTTACTTCATACTTTCATGTAACTTTTAATAAATCTTATCAGTCATTTAAAATCTTTTAACATTAAATATTCAAATTGGTACTTCATGGCATAACTTTTAGTTGTAGTTCGAATTTTATTCCATAATGCTATAAAAAAAATCATAGTTTAATATAATTTGTAAAATTTTAAACGTATAACCCCAAAATACTATGGAACTGTGCTGCACCTCTATAATTGAACAGCCTGCCAATATTGAACTATTTACATTTCTATTAAGAACCATCACATGTGTGAGGTAGCAGAGCACTTGTAGTGCCTGTGGAATTTTACCCAACATATTGTTCAGTAAAGAAAGGAAGGCAAAAAACACAAAGCAATGGAAATGCATGCTTAGCTCATCAATATTTCATTTTAGATTTGGCTGGCAGTGTTTAATTCATAGACTACTAGCAGATTATGTTAGACATATTGAGTTTGTATGTTTTCAGTTTGAACACTTTCATGCTGGAAAAACTTGTATATCATATAATTTGACAGGACCAGGTCCTTACACCTCAGTTATATCTGTTGACATGTTTTTATGGAGTACAGACAAAACTTAAAAGCTCCTTTTCCAGTTTGAATTATTCGTATTTGATTTGCATGTTCAAGGAATAGGATTATATTCTATGCATCAGCTAGTTATTTAAGTTGTTGATTCCCACTAAGGAGATCATATGTTCCTATTCTATCCTATAGTCTGCTTACCATTTTATTCTGGTCAAGATCAAGTTCCGTGTGAGACTGGTCTCGAGACGAAAAAACTTGATGAGTGGTAACTGTAATGGATTAACATTAGGTCTAGAAATAGGGTCCTTTATCCCTGTGTACTAGGTAAACATTTTTTTGTGAATGCCGCAATATGGAGTTTACTGTCTACCTGTTAATTATAGTTTATACAAGCATAAGAGGATCAATCCCCTTTAGTATGGATATCGGGTGTTGTAGTAAATATGTGGTGTAAAGTTGGCACATGTGTTTCAGGCCAAAATAGAGTCGGACCGTATAATTGCATCTGTTGGAAAAAAGACTCCACAGGAGATGGGAATTAAAGTTAAAAATCAATCTACTGTGTTGTCTCTGGCTCATCGTAAAGACTTTAAACAGTTGTTGCAAGGAATCTCAGGTGAAGTGCCATTGCGACCTATGGAATTGAACATGAAGGAGCTTGCCGGCTTTCAGATAGCAATCCTAAACAAGGTAATTGTAACTACTTTTCATGGCACAATAATTTTTCTCCTTGGCTAACCAAAAAACCGGATTGCTCCTATTCCCTGAAAAAGGTCTTGACTGCCAAAGGCCCTATTAACAATAGAAAATACTTTGATTTTTGATTGGGGTTCTAACTTCCTTTTCTCACTGAGGAAATTATTTAACTTTGTTTTCAAAACTTAGGAAGTTAAACCTCAGACGTACAGAAATGCTTATGATATTCCCCGCCGGAGCCTCTTAGATCAGCTAACTAGAATGAGATCAAACTTGTTGAAAACAACACAGAGACTGATTCGTGGGCAAGATGAAGGTAAGAAGATTTTTTTTATAGAAAGCATCTGTGAAAGAACTTATTTTCATAATAAATTCAAAAATGTAAACGGATTGCAGCAAATATCAATTGAAACTGGTCTCTAAAGGTAATTGATTTAAAAATTGCTACAACCACTTCTACAATATTTTATTAGAATGCTATGTGACTTTTACTTGCATACTTCTATAATAACAACAGATTTCGTAACAATTTTTAATTGAATTGCTATTGCGATAGCTTTGTCTTTTAAGCTATTCACAACTGCCTGCCAATACTGTATAATTTCCAAACTTTTTCAGCAGCAATGTGCTAATAAATGTGGAGTCTTAAAATTATTGTAATTAATGTGAGCTTTTGTTTAATTTTAGACTATCTGCACAGCATTCCTGTAGCACAAATGGGTAACTATCAAGAATACCTGAAACTCATGCCTTCACCTCTTCGTGAGATTGATCCTGACCAACCCAAACGGCTTCACACATTTGGCAATCCTTTTAAACAGGATAAAAAGGTAAACATATGGGGGGCATATTACAGTATTGCTTGTTTTTGTTATAGTGCCCAGCTGAGATGAATTAACTTGACACAGGATTTGAGCTTCTTACCTTTTGGCTGCACCTTATCACTCCTCCAACCGGCCTGGCCACACCCTTTTCTTGTTTCATGTTCCCCGCCCTATCCACCTCACTGACTGGCTTTCGGCTATTCTGCCCCTTCTCTCTGAAACTCCATCCTGGAGTCCCTCCAAGTCGCTCCCTTCCTTTGTTTAAGGGCTGCTCAAGATATAATTCTTTGACTGCGCTTTCAGTCATCTTTCCCTTAACACACACTGCCTTTGGCTCCCAGATCCAGCCCGAGTGCCCAGCCAGTGGTGGCGAGTGCTTGGAGATGTTCTTCCGATATGAAATGTCATTATTTTTTATTATAATTAGGGGATGATGATTGACGAAGCAGATGAGTTTGTAGCAGGACCACAAAACAAATTCAAAAGACCTGGAGACCTGAACTCACCAGGATCGTTGAAGAGAAGACGGAGTATGTCCCCATTACTGCGAAGACCACAGACACCACCTATAATTAATCATGTTGCAGGAAAAGGTTCTCCAAGTTCAGGGACTCAACCACAGCCAAACCTTGTAAAACCTGTCCCGTTGCATAAAGGTACTTTCTGGTTTATAGTTTTGCTGTGCCAAATTTTCTTTGGTGTATGGTCATTACGAGGTTTGCTAATCTGACCTTGAAAATTCATTGAATGATTGGTAACTTGCCCTGAGTGTTGTACTTTTGTCTATTTAAAACTGTGCTATTGTGATGCCTAAAGAACAAAAACAAATGCAATCAGAAATGGAAAATAGAGGAATGAGAGCATTTCCCATATTCCCTACATATTTATATTCAGGTTTGAACTTCCAACTAGAAGTTGTGAATCATGTGACATTAAAAAAAAGTACACTGGAAACATTTGGTTTGTGGTTAGAATGTTAATGGGACTACTTTGCGGTGATAGTATTTTTAAAAAAGTGCTTAGTTTCTAGTCCTCTCCCCCCAACTTAATTACACATGTGCAAATATAATAATGATATTATTATTCAGATCCCTGAAATCATGTGAGTTTCGCAGCTTTGCTTTCAGCAATAAAAAGAAAGTCTTATCCAATTTTTTATTAGGTTTACATCTATAGAAGACTTGTTACCTTTTTGTGCTGTTGTGCTAATGAATATAATATTTTTTTCTGTTTCAAGCTTTAGGTACAAATAACATTGCAGCCGTAGATGGCAGTGGAGAGAAGAAGGTAGATGATTCGCAATCGCTGGAGAAAACAGTTGATGATCTGGCACCACAGCCGCAATCAACATCAACATCTGCTTTTACAACAGTTGAATCCCTGCAGCCCAGTGACTTTCAGTCTATCCCAGAAGAAGTCAATCACGTTGAAGATGTGCTTGATCATAAACTAATGACAAATGCTCTTATGAAAGAATCCATGGAATGTCAGAATGAGACTGATGATGAAACTGACATGGAAGCTGAAGTCAGTTCAGGAATATCCTTACCAAACTCTGACAAAGTATCAAGCAAACTAGTAATAGAGGGAAACAATGCTGAACTAAGGGTAAAATTAATGAAGGAGATTCGCAAGCCAGGAAGAAGTGAGTGTATGTTTGTATCATAAAGCTATGTGTATGAATGTGTATGCAAGGGTCTGCAAAACAGTCCCAAAAATTAGTTTACCATCCTTTTAAAGCTTTGAGAGTGAGTGATTATAATATAATGTTGTATAATGTGAAGACACAACTTAAAAAAAGTGCAAAGCTACAAGAAGGCCCTTAAGAACCCATTTTTATATCTTGAGGTTTGGGATGTTTGGATTAAAGTATGCATAACCATTTTTATTAAATGAGTCAACTTTAGTCGACTTCAAATTTGAAGATTGTAATAGTTAATGGGGTTTAGTAGTTTGTGTGTGACACCAGTGTTTTGACGAATTCACTCCACTATGGATATTTTACATGTAATGAGTGTCACTTTTAGCACCCATTTCAAAATGGCTTTGAGAAAACCTTAGAAGATGCTGATCTCCAAAATTGATTAGTTTGAAGCTGAGATTAAAGATCACAGGTATATGCAAGTTTAATGAGAGTGGTTAAAAATAACAAAATATAACTGGAATTATCCTGATTACTACCGTAATAATTAATACCATAATAATTAATTAATACCATGTAGCTCTTACTGGAGTGCTTGCGAGGATGAATTTTGGCCATGATGCACAATTATTTGTCTATAGATACTATGTCTGGACACCAAAGTGAAGAGACATTTGAATGAGGTTCTATTGAACCTCATTCAAAGGCTGGCTGGCACCTGTGGAATTGTACTCCAGGATGATTTGCATCCTTCGAGAGAAAGGAAAAGGCATAATTGGCTCCTTCAGTAGCCTTTCAGCATGTTTTCACAAGAACAACCTGCATGATGTCCAAAGTTTGCCTCTCCCCCAAAATGTCCGTACAGTGATAGTGTTAAAATATAGCCTGGGTAATAGGTTGTTACCCAGGCTCCTCTTATAAATCATTGAGTAGCTTATTGCACATTGGCAGAGTCCTAAGAGGAAATTGCTGCCACCCACCTGCCTGGAGAATAAAAAATAATTATGCGTGGTAGACATGACAGCAAATTTACAAATGCAATTTTTTTTAATATTAAAAAAACTGTTAAAATCTGAATGTTTCAAGTCAAATCATAAGAGGCCGTGTAATATTTTCGATGCTAGGTTTATTAATGCACTGCAGGATCTTTTTAAAGTACCCACTAACTTCCAGTAGGTGGCATTGGCACACTTTCAAAATGCTTGGCAAGGTAGTATTTCTAAGTCTGCTGGTAATGGGATGTAGCAGACCTAGATTGTTCTGTTCCAGAAAACCAGGATGAAGATATATTTCTGAGGCTGCGTCACCCCAGGCCTCCGTGCCGTAATTGAAGAATTTTAGAAGCAAGCTTTACGCTTTTTGCTTGAGGAGAAACGAACTAAAATAATTAATTACAATGAATAATTTAAAGGGTCCAGTTTGTGCTGATATAATTTTGAATTCATCTCAAAACAATTTTGAAAATGTCAGCAATTTTCACCAAAAGAAATTAATGCAAGGTATTTTCCTGTAAAAAGATTTCATATTTAATTTACTATTATTGTATTTTCAGATTATAAAAGAATCTTCAGTTTACTGGAAGAAGTGAAAGGTCCTTTAGAAATCCAGAGGAGTGTCATTCAGAGTATTATCAAAGAAGCTGCTAGGTATATGCAAAAAAAATGTTTACATTGTTTGAAGACACATTATATAGAGATTTGGTGGTGTTCGTAATACAAAATACTAAGTTCCAATCCTTATAAAGGCTATATTGATTTTTTTATTTGATTAGAAATGTAATTGTTATGGTAGTCACAACTGTTATTATTCTTTCCAGGTTTAAAAGAAGAGTATTAATCCAACAATTAGAAAGGGCACTGGAAGATATTGTTTCAAGGTCTCCTTCAGAACATATCAACCATGTCAACAGCAGATAGTCTAACATGATTACTGTGGACCAAAAAACTGTTTGCTTCCGTGTGATTCTGTGTACCGCGCATGAACAGCTAGTGGCTACCAGCTTTATACCATCTTGTGACTCCATTGGCATTAGCTTCTATCCGAAGAGGATTTTATAAGGCGTAACGGTTGCAGGGCTCAATGAAGAGAAGCTAGATTCGAGTGGAACCAACAGCCTGACCAACCTTTGCTGTGGGAGGGTGTGATTATCTTAAAGATGAAAGGAAGAGGCCTGCTGATGCCTTTCCAACAGATGATGCCCACGATTCCTGCTGTTAGCTGAAGTCGTTCAGTTTAATGTTGTGGAAGCATATATCTGAGGGTTAAGATACCCTCAGTCCAAATATATGCCAGTTTTTTTGGCATACAAACCAGGCACTTAAGAGGAGAACATACAGTTTTAAAAGACGTTGAATTTGAGGAAGAAACGATCTACCTCAGACTCACTTCCTGTTTTCATCTACAGACTTCTTGAAAATTTACTTGTGGCCAATTCCTTCCCAGGCCTAGATTCCAGTTCTGTTTCAGCCTGTGAGGAGGACACTGTTTCTTCAGGTGGACTTGCACTGTGCTTCAGAAGCACTAAAGTGGATGGATATAGCTTCAAAGAGCATATTGAACTTTTTATTGTTCATACAAGAGAAATTATTTTTGGACAGTATTGTTACAAAAACATGAAATTGTCATATTTTAATGTGTAAAATAACTTTTGTAACTCTTATCTATTAAAAATAAATACAGTTTATCATGGAATTTTAATTTACATATGAAAATGTGTCCACACAATTTTAGGTAGTCTTTCACACAATTTAATACTTTTCTTTTTCTATTTTTAGGTAGCCACTGTCATTTGGAAGTGAGTTTCAGATATTCTGTAGAGTTGTATTAAGGCACCACTTCTGGTTTTACATGTTTTATTCAGATTTAAAAAGTGGAGGCATGATACATTTTGGAACAATGCAGGAAATCTAATGTGCTGCATCTCAAACATTTACAGAAAATTTAATTACTTTTTTGAACTTGTTTCCATATATTCAGCTTTGCTGATTGTCTGCAATGTTTTCTGTTTGGAAAAAACTTATTTTGTTAGACTGGTGGAGTCCATATGTCTGGCTTTTCAGTTCTAAGAAAAAAAACATTCTGATATTTGTGCTGGTTTAAAAAGTTTGAGGGGGACAATATTTTAATTGGATTGACTTGTGTTTCTTGCTCTGAAAATTTGCACAATCTATAGAACCATGGAATAGAAAATACAACACAGACAGAAACCCATTGAGCCCGTCTGTCGCTTCATTGGAGCTAACACCTCTGCCAGTTCTCTGGCCACTCACCTTGAATATTATCACACTTCAAAACCTGTAACATCTAAAAGCAAGTTACATCAGCTTTTGAGTCTTCAAACAATGTAAACATCGCATTTGTGGCATTTTCAAATCGATGTAGTGAAGCAAATTCACAATAGGGACTATTATTTCATAGCTTACGGCTCTACTTATGATACAAAACTAAGAAATAGCTGGTTTTCATTGGGAAAAATACTTCATTGATTTCTAAAATATTCATAGATTAAAAAGTACAAGCAAATTATTAATTTGGAACGCTGATGAGACTAGACATGAGAAGCATTGTTTTCCCACAGAGCAGTAGATACAATACAAAAAATTACATTTGTAAAGTGCCTTTTACGTCAGGAGGACATCCCAAGGTGCTGAACAGTCAGGGATTAGGACCCGAGCAGGGGTGGGGGGGAGGGGGTTTGGGATCACGGAGGGTGGACGCCTGAGAGGGTAGGAGGGTGGCTGAAGGCACAGTTGAAGAGGAGGTTTTTGAGGCGTGTTTGGAGACGGCAAGGGAGGGGGGAGGGAGTGAGGAGACTGGAATTTGGGATGGAGTTCCAGAGGGTGGGGGCAGAGAGGTTGAAGGTGTCAATTACTACTTTTTGCCGTGAGTGAAACACCCTACAATCCAAGTTCTTGGCTGGTGCTAATTCAGCCGATCTCGGCCAGAGTACATCGGAAATTGACCTCAGCCTTCCAACTCACTTCTGCCTCATTAGGCCCAGGATTTCCACTCCTGGTGCCTATCCAGTGGCTCCTTATGCATATGGATATTCAGGTAAGTAAAACAAAATCAGGTTTGTGTGTAAAAGTACTACTGGCACTGTTCTAGTTAGTGACTGCCTCACATGAAGAGTGGCCACTGGAGTAAGAACTGGAGAGTGGCTGCTGCCTGGAACCATAACCCCCAGCATGACTGTTTCAGGAGACGAAAAGGAAAGGAAAAGACAAAAGAGTTTGTTTAATAATAATAAATAATAATAATAATAATCCTTGCATTTGATATAGCGCTTTTCATGTCGGGAGGACGTCCCAAAGCGCTTCACAGAACACACTGTAAAGTGAATTGACTGTATATTTGTGGGCGAACGCGGCAGCCAATTGCGCACAGCAATGTCCCACAAACAGTCGTAGATTGAAAATGACCAATTTAATTATTGTTTTTTTTTAACTTCTAAGGATACAAAAAAAAGATAAATCGTCTGGAAAGTAATTATTTCTGTGCTGCTGGATCTCCAATGCTGACAATTCCAGGGAGTTCCGTACACTTTATGCCAGCCATTTTGTTTAGAATTCAGTTCTTACTCTGTCAAACTGAAAAATACCCAAATACAGTAGTAATCCTATAGGTAGGTCAGAAGTAGTTTTATGACTGCCGTAACAGGAACAAAATAGTTCAGAAAATCTGATATAAAACGTTACTTAAGCTTGATTCCCTGTTTTTTTTCTTCTGTTGATTTCCAAATGTGATTTTATTTTACATTTGTATTTAAATTGTCTTAATTTGCTAGCCCATCCTGCAATTGAGCCCCCATTGCTAAAAGATTAACTCTGACTGCAAAACATAGTGTATTACAGGTTACGTTTTTTTAAAAAAACTTTATTTTGAGCTGCGTTGGAAACTGAAAGACCTGACTGAGCCCAGACCTGATTGATGGGTAATCTTAAACAAGTGGCGGCACATGGAAAAAATATCTTTGAATTTTTGGTATTTGGGGATAGTTTAGTGGGTTGGGTGGAATTTGCTTTGGGCCAAATTTCAAAATGGTCTATTGTGGGAATTAGGTTGATAACCTATGTGTCTTTTCCATAGTTATTTTCTTATGTTTCATTGAATTCTATTTGAATTGTCCAATTTCTATATTAAAGCTTTGACCATTTAATCCATTAGTTAAGCATGAGCTAATGACTTCAATTATGCATTAAAATGGGCATTTTAACCTTTCATTAACAACAACAACAACAACTTGGATTTGCATAGCGCCCTCCACGCTCCGGACGACATCTCAGAGCCCTTCACAATAATGGATCCCGGGGCCGAGCCAGGGGGAGGGGGAAGAAGGTGACCAAATGTGCGGTCGAAAAGAAAGGCCTTGAGCCTTTCATTATCGAAATGCCTTTTCAGCTTTCAAAAAGTGCTTATGCCCTCATATTTCCACAGTTTAAAGTTTGATAAATAGATGTAGAATTACTTCATTGAATTCTTGGTAAAAAATACCATATTCAACTTTGGTGAAGAACTATTATTGTAGACCAGAGTGTCAAAGCACTGGAAGGTAATAATAATAATTCTTGCATTTGATGTGGCACTTTACCAGGTTTTCGGAACGTCTCAAAGATAGTGTAATTTCATAAAACCCTTTTTTTTATTTTAGAAAAAAATAATTGCAACTCTTGGTTGTTTAAACAAAATATACAGTCGATTCACTTTACAGCATATTCCGTGAAGCGCTTTGAGACGTCTAGGCTCTGGAACTCCATCCCCCAGTGCCTTCGCCGCTTCCTCCCTTTCCTCCTTCAAGGCCGGTCTCAAGACCTTTCTCTTTGACCGTGCCTTCAGCTCCCCTCTCGACTCTCTACCCCCTCCTCGCTCCCTCCCTTCCCTCCCCTCACCCTGACCATTTCCCCCCTCCTCGCTCCCTCCCTTCCCTCCCCTCACCCTGACCATTTCCCCCTGCTCGGGTCCTGACCCAACTGTCCAGCGCCTTGGGACGTCCTCCCGACGTGAAAGGTGCTCTATAAATGAAATCTTGTTGTTGTTGTTGTTGTCCAGAAGATGTGAAAAGCGCTCTTATCAAATGCATGGATTATTATTGTCATTTGGTTCAATGTTTGTCTTATTTGCTCCTCTCACCTGCGCTGCCTGTTTACTTAAGATTATACACTCGCCAATTTTTCTGCATAAAACCGGGTTAGGAACTCCAGTGGCTGAGCAGTTACGTACCCTCCCTCCGACTGCTCGCTGTCGTGGCTGAGCAGCGCTGTTCATTATTCATTATTATTATTATTATTAATAAGCAGCGCTTTGAGACGTCTGGGCCGCGCGATAAGGCGTCACGTCAAAGAGCAGTAATAAATAACAACAACAACAAAAAAACCTCGCCTTCGAATCGACCGGCGTATTTCGTGGGCGAAACCCAAAACCGTCCAGTGTTTGGATGAGGATGATTATCGACTATTGCTAATAACTACGACGGTGGTGATCGATCGATTAATCATTGTCGTGATTAACGGTGAGGGTGAGGGTGGTGCTTGTGATTAACAGCTGACTGTGGGTGTAGTGACTGAGCGCCGGGAGGGGTGGCTCCGATCGCTCGCTGTGTGCGTGAACAGTGGCCGAGCGACACTGTAGCGACGCTGTTGGCAACACTGTAGCGCCTGCGATTGATTGCTCAGCAGTGCCGCCTCTACTGATTGCGCGGAGGCGGTGTGTGTGTGTGTGTGTGTGAGGGGGGAGGTGTGTGTGTGTGTGGAGGAGGGGGAGGGGGGGGTGGGGGCTGATGCTGGTTCCTCCCCACGATCCAGGAGCAGCAGCAGCAGCAGCAGAAGGCAGCGATGGCGGTGAGGCCGGGGGAGAGCTGCGGCAGGAACAGGAGCATTAGATCGCAGTCTGCGGGAGGAGGAGGAGATGGAGATGGTGGTGGTGGTGATGGAGGTGGTGGTGGTGATGGAGGAGGTGGTGGTGGTGGTGGAGGAGGTGGTGCTGCTGCTCTGGCCGCTCGGGTCCTGCTGGCCCTGACCCTCGCCCTCTGGCTGGGCTTGTGCCGAGCCCAGGACAGCGCCATGGAGGACATCCTGACCGAGAAGAAGGCGGAGGAGAGCCACCGGCAGGACAGCGCCAACCTGCTGATATTCATCATGTTGCTGACGCTGACCATCCTCACCATTTGGCTCTTCAAACACCGTCGCTTTCGCTTTCTGCACGAGACGGGGTTGGCCATGATCTATGGTGAGCAATCCCCCCCCCTTTATTTGTTTATTTGTTGTGTTTTTTTTGTTTTATCCCCTGCAATAATAATATTAATAATAATGATGATGATGATGATGACACTGCAAACCCAAGGCCGAGCAGATCTCTCCTCCTGCTTCTGTTCCTGGGGTTTTGTGTGTTAATAATGTTGTCTGTTTTTTTTTCTATTAAACACCTTCCTCCTCCTCCTCCTTTCCTCCTCCCTCTCCTTCTCTCCCCTCCCTCCCCTTTCCTCCTCCCTCTCCTTCTCTCCCCTCCTCCCCTTTCCTCCTCCCTCTTCTCTCCCCTCCCTCCCCTTTCCTCCTCCCTCTCCTCTCCTCTCCCTCCTCCCCTCCCTTCTCAACAGTGTGGGTTTTTTTTTAATTTCAGAAACTTTATTGCCTTTTCTCTCTTGTGAATAAATAAATCATCATCAGCATCGTTTTAAAATAATAATGATGACGATTGATGATGATAATGATCATAAGGGGTGGGGGGGGGGGGGGGGGAAGAAGAAAAAAAAGAGTGAAGGTGCACTTCCTTCTGGTGACAAGGCAAAGGGGTTGACTGACTGATCTCTTCCTGGTTTGCAGAGCACACAGTGTGTGTGTGTGTGTGTGTGTGCACTAAACTAAGATGTCAGCTGCTAGTGAGACTGACTGACTGGCTGTGGGCATGACTAATGCAATTCACTTTTGCATTGCTTCAAGTCTTTTTTTAAGGGCGTCACCTTGGGCAAGTTTCCTTACTCCACGCGCCTAATAACAATCCCTCCAAAAACCCCTCAAATACAACAATGAAAAGCGCTATATCAAATGCAAGGATTATTATTATTATTTAACACACGGGCTTCCTTCTTGCACTCGTTGGGGATTAAGACACTCGCAAAACACGCACACTCATGTGGAATTGGCATCGCTTGATAATAATAGAACCATGGGGGGAACAATAATATTGCCCTAATACAAATACAATGTTGCTGTAGCTTCAGTGGTAGCGTTAGACCTGTTTATGTTAGTTAACAGCTTGGTTGGCTGTTTATTTTTTTTAAAAAAATGTTGTGACTTGTAACTCGCCCCACAGAAGGATCCTGGTTTGTGCTGTTATGAGTATCGATTGGACAAGCTAGTGCTCTTCGGTCTTGAGAGAAGATAACGCAAATAATAATAATACTAATAATAATCCTTGCAGAATATACTGTAAAGTGAATTGACTGGATATTTGTGGGCACAACACAGCAGCCAATTGCGCGCAGCAGTGTCCCACAAACAGTCGTGGATTGAAGTGATCAATTTATTATTGTTTTTTTTCTTGAGGGATTATTATCAGGCGGGTGGAGAAAGGAAACTTGCCCAAGGTTGCGCCCTGCTGGAAATCGAAACCAGGACTCTCGCTTGCGAGGCGAATGCTCTAACCACTGAGATATAGGATTCCACAAAGGGGACCTTATCGAGTTTTATAATATTTATAATATGTTTAATATATAAAAAGTAAACCCAGCACAATATTTTAGGATGCACCGAGACAGTCGACTAAGCGGATGTAGGTTTAGAGTCACAAAAGGCAATTTCAGGACTGATAACAAGAAGATTTTTATTTTTTACCTAGAGGGTAATTTATAACAATTGGAACAGGTTGCCAGGATGGGTGGTTGAAGCCAGAACACTGGACTCATTTAGAAAAAAACAATTTAATTCTGTGATGGAAGGACAGTACAGTGGGTATTTTTAAGGGATTAGATCAGATGGGACAAAGACCCGTCTTCGCTCCAAAAATTCTTGTGGCTTTGTGGTTCGGTGTAGGTTGATGGTGCATTATTTTGTGCGCAGGTGACCTAGAAACGGCATAAATGCCCCTTAAATGAAATGTATCAAAGCCAAATCTACGAGTAAGCAGAAGGGAAAGGTTGGGTGGAGGTGAGCTTTTGGTGTGGTGCAACACTTAAACTGTATTTTCTTATATTTAAACAAAAATCTACTTATTAAGGACATATTTATTTGCTATACCACTTAATAAGGTGAGCAAATAATTTCCTGTGTAGAACCATTTCATCTACTTCCTGTATGGCCCACGTGAGTGTCAGGGCCTGATGGGTTGTTGTTAAATAGTTGGTATATTTGGGATTGTTCAGATTCAGTTCATTATTTCAGCGAGTTGAGTAATGATGCTTAGATTTCATAAATGACAGAGTATGGATGGACACAGACAACTTAATTGCATTTTGGAAACCAGTATATACATAGAAACAAATTTAATTCGATGCTCAGTTTGTTTTTAACGTGCTGCTTTGCACTACTTGTTGAAACTGACTTTGGTTTAGATTGTACATCGTGCCCAAAGTCAGTCAGACTGTGGATTTACTCTGAAATCAGCAAGTGACTGTAATTTTTACCCATGCATACACGGTGATCAGGACTCTTACTAGGGTAGGATAGGACGGTTTTGTATGAATTCACATTTAGCACAAAACTCGTGCTATATTTGCCAAGCCATCCTAATGCTGAGGGAGCATGTGTATTCTGAGCAAGGGTTTTTCCTCTGGCAGATAAGGGGCTGTTCTGTAGCTGTTGTTCATATGTGTTCAGACTTGTCACTATTAAATATGTGTGGTAAAATATTTTGCTCCTACATTTATTGGGGATGGATGGTCAAGAAAAATACTTGCCGTACAATACATTCAAGAATCTACAAAAACAGATTTTTTTTTGAAATTTTTACTGATAATTTGGGATAGTTCCCAAATGCCATAGTAATTGCAAAGTACAATATGTGTATTAATGGTTTCCCAGCAGTAGTTTGTTCCCTAAATGAAAAAAAAGTTTCATGGGTTATTTTGTTTCTGGTTTTTGAATTTTAACCACTGGAAATGTATATTAATTGTGTTGTTTTTATAATAAACTTCCTCAGGTTATATGCCAGTCCTTCTGTAGGAAACAAACACACATCTGCTATGTAAAATGCATTGGGTGTGTGATGATTGCTATCCACAAAAGTAGAGTAAAACTGCTCACCAAAACAATTTGAATCACTCCCTAAGATTATCCTTTGTTGTAAGATATGTCTGGTTACTGTATGATTGCTGGACTGCATCAAATACAATTGTTGCCATACTTTGAATTTGCGCGCCAGATGTTTGCATCAAAGCACAGAAAACATGTCAGTTCCCACTCAGATGACAGACAGCGAGACTGAAATAAACCTGTATTAAACTTTCGCTCATTTTTCCCCTCTTAAATACATTTTGAGAGGATTGAACCTGTAGGGTAACAAGATTAGGAAAATAAAAGGATGCTGGATGTGTTTGTATGTAAAGAACCATTTATTATCTTTCGCTCGCTGGTATCCAGTGTTTATCACTAATCAAAATGAATAATTGCGTGTATTTGTTTGCAGGGCTACTTGTGGGAGTTGTTCTCCGATACGGGATTCACGTTCCTTCGGATATCAGCAACGTGACTCTTTGCTGTGATCTGGAGACCAGTCCAGCTACTTTGTTAATTAACGTCAGTGGAAAGTTTTATGAATATACGCTGAGAAGTGAAATCGGTCCAAAGGAACTCAATAACGTGGAGGACAATGAAATGCTGCAAAAGGTACAGTAAGTCCGTGTTCCCTTTGATTTGTGTTCATCAGGCATTTTAAGTCCACCCAATGGATTTGTTCAGGAATCTTTAGAGTGAGGGATGGCACTGTTAAAACAGTGCATGTATATTACTGGTGACAGAACAGAAAGAGCCCAAGTAATGATATTTTTCTTATAGTACGGTACTGTCAAATCCAAGGCTGGTATTAATATGAGCCTGTATGGATTTGGGCTCTCCCAAAATATTTTTTGAAGGATGTCGATAGAAATGAAGAGATCCAAACTTCTGTTTTTTTCCCCCCAGTTTGTTGTTTTGAAAAGCTCCAGCTGAGTTGCCCCCATGCTCAGATTTTAGGAGATTTGATGTCTAGACAATGTTTCCGAATTAATTAATAACTTTCATGCCAGCTGAAAGCCCCAGGGCAGAATGGACTCTCATTAAAAAGTGGTCAAAAAAGTAATGATTTTCATTTAAAGCATTTTGTGTAGTCATTCTTATATAGCTAATGATCTCATAATTCATATAATGTAAGCATAATATAAAACTCTTTTGCATACAACATCAACAAATTCACTGAGATTAGAGAAAAAATAATGGTTGAATCGTCTCACCTTTTGATCCATCACTAGTTAAGAAATAAAACAAATGGGCATTAATAGGTGACCACCATTTCTTTGTATTTTTCCAGTACAAAACAGTTAATAGTTACTCATTAACTTTCTCATCTAATTTGACTTGAAAGTTAATTAATTAGACTTGATAGGACTTTGCAAAAAAAATAAAAAAAATTGTATTGTATATAATGTAATTTTAGCATTGATCGACAGTGCAATTTTTATACCTGTACTTAAATTATTGGTCTCAATCATAGCCATGCTACCAGGGTGCGTAAGTGTGGGAATGGGTGTGCTGGCACATTCTGAAGATTGCTGAATATTCTGAAGGTACATGACTGGGAAGAGGAAATGTCTTCAGTACAGGATATATAAGTTTCTATTTAAAAAAACACAGTGGTTCTATGTGCATTTGATGTCTTGCATCATTGTTTAATGTTTCTATACAAAATTATAGGTTACCTTTGATCCTGAGGTGTTCTTCAACATTCTGCTGCCACCCATTATATTTTATGCTGGATACAGTCTTAAAAGGGTGAGTGTGTACGGACATTGTTATAATTTTTAGCTCACTGCGATTCTGGAAACTTTCTTAACTTTTAAAAAAATAAAAGATGTATTAGCAATGTTCTGGATTTTTATTATGGTTGTTGTTCCAGAATATTATTAGCTTGATTTAAATATTGAAGACTAAGAGAAGAAACAGAACATTTACATTTCACAATATGGGCATGAAGTTTGTTTTTTTGAAAGTTTCTTTTATTTTCAGCGTCATTTCTTCCGAAATTTGGGATCCATTTTGGCCTATGCTTTTGTCGGCACAGTCATATCCTGCCTGGTGATAGGGTGAGTATTAAAGAGACCATTATATGAATTGAAGCTCCTATTTCCAGATACATACCAAGACTCGCTTTCAGCCAAGATATTGAATAATACTTTGGTTCAAATAACTTGTGGCTGGGGATGGTTAAGCAATATTGCTTGATCTGAATTTGCTCCAATATTGCATTTGAAATGCCTCTGATGCTGATCGCCTATTCCACTTAAGCGGTAACTTCTGGATCATTTAGATAAATGATGTAATGTGAGTTTGACAATGAGGTCTAAATCTGACCATCATAGTGCGTGCGTCCCTGTGGAGAGCCTGCAGACAGCACAGTGATGTTTTTCAAGCAAGAAATTCAGGCTGCAAAACAATAAAGATGGCTTTTGTTTACTAGAATTAGATTATTGCATCCAAGACATGCTGCACTCCTGTGAACTTTCATTTCAACAGGCAGCAATGCTCCAGCATCCTCACATGACAAATGGGTTATTCTATGATTAAAACCCAAATTCTGTTACTGAAACCTGAATCTTTAGCAATTCTAAATAAAAATTGCTGAATTTGTTTCATAAGTAACCGTGATTTGTCAAACAGTGAGTGTTTTATTAATGATTTTAAAATAAAATAAAAATATATATAAGACTTTGGACTGAATTTTACAACTATTTTCTGGTTCTGTTTTGAAGTCAATTTAATTCTGCCCTCGGGGGGCCCTTTTACCATCGGAGATTTTATTTTCAAAGTTAGATTTTGCACCAAGGCATTGCACTTCTTGCTCACCGTCCCATCTGCTAACCATCTGGCTGAGGGGCTGGTAGTTACTTGGCCACCAGCCATGTTTGGAGGTGACTATGTGACCTCGGCCACATTGAATATTTTCTGTTCTTCCTCCTCAACTGAATCCTCGACCCCTCTCCAAACCGCTAAAGAAATCCAGCCTGGTGCGCTGAGAGAATTGTGTTGGTGAGCTTATGAGTTTCGATTCCTTGGGACCCATTTATTTTGTATTTGCCCACAAAATACACACCACACTACAGTATATCTATCCTCTGAAACACTCCGAGTTGTCTTAACAGCCAGATGCTACTATATCAATGCAAGGATTATTATTTTTTTAAATTTGAACTATTTAAATGGAGAACTTAGTGCGACACAGCATGCAGTGCAAGTCACCGAGGCTTTTGCAAGAGAGCTTAGTACACCTGTTTGTTTTTGACTTTTTTTTATCACAAGAGTTGCAAGGTGTTTTGCTTTTAACAGGCTGATCATGTATGGATGTGTGAAGCTGATGAACATGGTTGGACAGCTGAGTGGAGATTTCTATTTTACCGACTGCCTGCTCTTTGGTGCTCTTATTTCTGCAACTGACCCAGGTGTGTATACTGACAGTAATTTTCACCCCATGTGCCATAGTGTGTGTGTGTGTGTGTGTGTGGTGGGAGGAGGGGGCAGGCAATCAGGGCAACAAAACAAATAATGTTTAAAAAGCTGATTCGTATACACAAAGATAAGAATGTGGACTGATGCCCAAATGGACCACATTCTTACTGATGTTTTTGAAAATGTGTTTCCTTAACACTTCTGTAGAATGTCATTTTAAAGTTTTTTTTTACTTTTCAGTGACCGTTCTTGCGATATTCCATGAGCTTCAGGCTGACGTTGATCTCTATGCCCTTTTGTTTGGAGAAAGTGTCCTAAATGATGCAGTTGCCATAGTGCTGTCTTCGTAAGTGCACTTTTCTACCTGCTTACTAAATAGAGTTGATTTGTTAGGATTTAGTGGAGGCGGCACATCAAAAGCAAGCGCATAATGTAAACTGGTCCACTGCTCTCCTGCTCACACCAATTTCCTGGAAAAAGATTAACCTGTTCGTTGATTATAAGATGTGAATACACAAAATGGTTTGTTGCAAATTCTAGACTACGGTGGTTCCATGTAATATTACTTCAAATTAATTCTCTGTACCCTCCTGTGAATAGACATTGCTGATCTGCAGTTACTATTAATGTAACCAATCTGAGAATTCAGGCAATTAAATATCTGTAATATTATTACAACAGCAGCAACAACTTGCATTTACATAGCGCCCTTCATGCCGGAAGGCATCTCGGAGGGCTTAGCGCACATTAACATTGTAACCCACATTATTTGGTACCGGGAAGGTTAAACTGCATACAATATCCACCATCAGTGAATTAAAATAAGGAAGCGATATTAAGAACCATATTATTTTTGTTTTGAGTTGGTTGAAAGTGAGAGCAAGATCTCAGTGTAACTTTGAAGTCTGGAAAATGTAACTAAACTGCCTGAGGTCCTCATCAGCTTTCGATTGTGGGTCTTTTCCTGTTAAGTTCCTCTCTTGCTGGTCGCATGATTGTTTTTAACATTACATTCAGCCACGTGATTGTTTTTTTAAGGTTTTGTGCAGAAGATGTAGAGTGTTTTGTCCTTATTCCGCGCTTCAATCTTGTGCATGTTACTGAGGTTCTAGGCGACTTGTGTGCAGGCAAATTAAAATGCATGTGTTCAGTAATGCTCAAGTATCTTGACAATTTAACATTAGTTTCTAGCATTAAGATCTAATATGGAGGGATTATTTTGCCCCAAAAATATACAGTCAATTCACTTTACAGTCTATTCTATGAAGCGATTTGAGACGTCTAGAAGACGTGAAAAGCACTATATCAAATGCAAGGATTATTATTATTTAGGAAGAATTTGAACTGAGTCTAACCTAAAAGCCTGTGTGATGTATTGGCAGTTATTTTGAGCCAGTGCATATGGTCTGAAAAGACTGAGGCTGTAACCAATAGTGACAGCATCTGAGAGGCATTGCCTGCATCTCGAGTATGCTTTATGCATATCACATACACAGAATGAGTTTTCTTATCACTGTAACATCATCCGCTATTTACTGCCCCTGAAATTTCTCACAAGTGAGAAAACCGAGGGCTTCAAAATAAAAATTAAGTGTTAAGACTGCATTATTTCCTTTTTTTTATTGTATTCTATGTATTTAAACATACTAATCATACTCAGATCATCTATTTACAGAATTCTTAATTGTTACGGAAAACAAAGCATACATGACTCCATTGGAACACATTTAATGGAGCAAGTTCACACTTACATTAACTTGCATGGACAAATTCAAACGGGGTGTGCTGTAACTATGATTGCCATGTGAACCATTCGTAGCATTTGCATACATCTAAGATTCTGTAGTTTAAAACGACAACCACCCCTCTGGTAATCTGTACTGCGTTGAAGAAAATGTTTTAGGCTGCAGGTGCTACAGTGGTTTTTAATGTGAATTGTAAATGCATGCAAGCTCTTTGAAATGGTACAAAATGTATTGTTCCATACCTTCAAAAGTTGATTTTTTGAGTGTAAAGAAAGCAGGGATGCTTCTGGTTCAGGTAGGTGACTATTATTTTAAAATTGAATGACTCACTACAGCATGGGTGTACTATTTAGTACGTTTATATGTACCCATCCATGTGGAAGCGCTCTCTATAAGTTACCCACCTGGAAAAGTAGATAATCATGGCTACATCCGTACAAACTCCTGGCTAATAACTGAGCTACGTTTCCCTATGCTAAAAGCTGTCACAAATGCATTCAGAAGTGGCTCATTGTTATAAGTACTCAATCAAAAAGGTATGGAATAATTGGTTTATCCCATGAATTTATGTCAAGGGGCTATCTTGTGTGATTATTTCATTCAGTTTTTTTGTTGAATAAGAATCGTTACCCATGGGATAACCTCAGAGTAGCTTGCCATCTGTTCTCTGCAAACGTAATACATCCAAATCATAAGATAAATTAAGAAATTTGTATTTTTACCTGTAGAGTTAAAATCCCCCAACTCAATGTAATGTGATTTGCAAAGTACTCATGGCAAGCTGTGCCTTTGCCCAGTTTTAGGGATGTTTTTAGTAATTCAGTCTCTCCTGTTCCAGATTCTTCCAATAGTAGCTTGTGTTTCTGAATCAGTAACACATTTGTCTAGGGAAAGGCACATTTTCACTGATCTAGTGGTAACTAAAATTACTACTTTGAAACTTGCTTGTCGAGGAGCCATTTACTGTATAAAGCCTCTTGTTTGGTTACCAGCTACCGTTCCCCCTCTCACAATTTGAGTAGGATGGTGCCTGTGTTGATTTTGCCATATAAAATGCTTATCTTTAGATAATACCCTGGGCACAAATATTCATGTGGGTAATAACCTTAATCTCTCTCTCTTTTGTCTATATGTTAATCTCTCTTTGCCATATTTCCATCCTTGTTTTCTAAATGTTTTCTTGTCTGTGTTGGCACCAAACTCGAATCAATAAGGGGAGAGGATGCAGCCTGCTGCCAGACTTTATTGTTGCTCAGTGTCCAGTCTGTAAGAGGTGAATGTGAACAAAATACCTGTAGGCTTTATTGATCGATTAAATCCACTTCACACCTGAGCGTTCTCCCTGGTAATCAGACCAGGTCGCTGAATGTCAGCCTAAGCGTTGAAGCTAAGCATTACTTTGGTCACTTATAATTAATTGCTCTCTCCTCACAACTACTGAACTTATGTTTCCTTCCCTTCTCCCCCACAGTCTTTGAACCAAATTGCCATTTGTGGAGATGTGCCTTTCAGCTAAACACATTTATTTGTTGTTTAATTATGGATTTGAGCTGGTTTAGTTTGTTTGAATTGATTTATTTTGATCCACTAGTACTTTGGCAATAATTTTATATTTCATTTCCCGCCTTTTTTCCCCATCCCTTACCCTAAAATTATGGGTACATTTTAGGGAAATCTTAATAGTATATTTCTAAACATCGTTGTAAAAGTGTAAAAATTGTTTTCTCACATCACGGTTAGGTTCTCTTCAAAATCAAAATTGGTTGGGTGTTTTGAAAAGTTATTTTTTTAAACCAAAAACAAATACGACTATCATTTCCGTTAACAGTGATGATCCCTTTATTTCCCTTGAGATTTAAGGATTTTATTCAGAGTCAAATCGATGCTAGGATTTATTGTGATGCAGGACTAAACATTTAATTTTATTGCTGAATAGCGAAGTTTAGATATGAAATATTTTGCTGGTTGTACCACAGAAGAAAGCCATGCATGGCTGTGATATTTAAAACAAAGGTTATTTCTCCCTCAGCCTTCAAAGATGCATCCAACATTACTTTCTTTTTAAACTTTTATGAATTTCATAAGCGTGGAGTTTTTGATGTTACTGAGCCAGGGCCATGTATTGTTGGAAAAATACACGAGTGACGGAGAATTGAAAATGCTTTGTCTGTCTCTTTTCTGTCTATCTCTGTGTGTGCTGTGTGTGTGTGTGTGTGTGTGTGTGCTGTTGAATAATCTAAGAAGCAGAGCATTCTTGATTAAACAAAATCCAAAAGGTCTCTGCTTGAGTTTCTGTTGAGATATGATTGAAAAAGGGCATTTCTTGATATTCAAATTGCTGTTTATTAGGTCCATTGTGGCATACCAGCCTGCCGGGGTGAACACCCACAAATTTGACGTTTCTGCAATGTTCAAGTCGTTTGGCATATTCCTAGGAATTTTTAGCGGCTCCTTTGCAATGGGAGCTGCCACCGGAGTCGTGACTGCTCTAATATCCTTTACCTGTTGCTTCTATTAAGAGTTCCTTAGTTTAACTGCAAACATTTAAATGAAAAGTCATGTTTTAATATTTCTTTGTAGCTGTGTATTTTTTTTTAAAAAAAAGCTTGGTTCTGAATTATATTAAGTTATAGTCTGGAACCACAAAGTACTGTTTGCCTTCAGGTTTCTTACATATTACCTTACTTGACACAAATGGAAACTGATTACTTGACTGTTTCCACATGTGTTCTATTTAGTGCTTTTCAGAAGCTATTATATGCTACAATAGACCAGAAGCTATTATTAAATTTAATAATGACTATATGATATATGTCCGTATATTGCAGACACCGAGAAGGCAGCTTTGATCTATAGTGCATCGGTGCTCTAAAACTTTGCTGGATTCAGTGATACAGCATGGATTTGTTCCAGTGTTTTTCACGAATGATCTTGGCATTGTTAGCAGAACGAAGCACTGAGCAGAACCACCCTCCCCAAAAGCACAAAGGGAGCAAGTGTTTAAGGCAGTTTGCAGTTGCTCTTTTGCCTCACATTGGATATGCTCTTTTACAGAAAATGGCTTTCTTGAATCCCACTTCCAAAACTTATTCGATTTATTCAAAAGTTTGGAGTATTAATCTGTTTGTTCCCCCAAATTTTTATTTTTATTTTTTAAGGTATCGCTTTCTATTCGAAATTGATTTCATACAATATGTTTTTGTCTCAGTTGTAGTCTTACATAAATGCACGGCTGCTTTCAGAAAATTAATTTCTTGTGAAACAAAAACATATGGGAATTATAAATTCCTGATTTTGTATGTGGAATAGAAAATAAATATGTTTAATATCAGTACATATAATGTAAACCTATCACCAACAGCTGCGGTAACCAGCACAAAGGCTGCTATACAAATGCAGATTCTTTTTGTTATTTGTTATTTAATTTTGAAAGATCTATTGGTTCATTTTACTTAACAATCTGTGCATGTTACAAAATTTACAAAGTTAAGAGATTTCCAGTTGCTGGAAACTGCACTGTTCTTCCTGATGTCCTGGAGTACTTTCCTGTTGGCTGAAGCATGTGGATTTACAGGTAGGTCTGGAGCAGTCAAACTTACTAAAGTGTATGTTTACATAAAAATCAAAGTCCTGCCATGAATTCTGTCTCTTTAGATCAAGCAAGACAACATGCGTTTGAACAGATTATTTAATTCAACAAGTGCACATTTTACCCAATTTGCAAAATAGCAAATATACACGAATAATATATATTTTAGGAAATAACCCGATTTTGCTCACAAACTACACAGTCAATCCATTTTACAGTATAATCTGTGAAGCGCTTTGATATAGTCGCTATATCAAATGCAAGGATTATTATTAAACAGGCAAACGATTCATTAGGAAGTGTAAATTACCTAATCACTAAAACCATGTACAAGTAATAATGATCTGAGCCTAAAGCAAATATTAGTTTAATTACTGTTTGGTACCATTTTACAGTGTGAATACTTGTTAGTCAAAAGTCACAATAAAAAAAATCATTGAAGATTCATTGAAACTGATCCAATAGAGAACCAGGCAATAGACTGGGATTACTCTTTTTTTTAAGCGGGATTAAAATAAAAAAAGGATTAAAATTCAGTTTAGCACAGTCACTTAAATATGCTTATTTTAACGTGGTGAGAATGCAATTTTTATTACCGCCAGTTTTGCAGCCTGTGAAAAGGTTAAGCAATGACAGGAAGGCATTTGTAGGTGTTAAACTGCAAATCCCTGATGTGATTTTCAATTGCAGTTGGACAGAAGTGGCAGCACCAATCTGTGCACATGGTGGCAGCCCCAGGCAGATGGTGCTCTGACATGCACAAACAATGTTACTTTAATGGTTATCTGTTTGTACAAACATTGGTTTGTTTGAACATGAAACCTGAAGGCAACTTGCTGTCAGCCTTAAGTAATATAGGCAGTTCATGGTGTTTCTGTTTATTGTTGCATTCTAGGTGTCGTGGCTGTGCTATTCTGCGGAATCACACAGGCTCACTATACATACAACAACTTGTCACCAGAATCCAGAATCCGAACCAAACAGGTGAGAAACTGTCAAGGTGTATATTTCAAAGTATTTATTATAGACAGAGATAGGAATTGTGGCATCGCATTCTGGTTTTTCTTTATCAATTTCTAATGCAGAATATCATAAGGGCACGGAGATTAACAGTTGTTGTGGAATGTTCTCTAGAATCGTGTATGTAAATCTTGTTTTTGTGTGAATGAACTGGCAAAATATCTGTTAAAATACATTTGTGTCCAATCGAATTTAAATTCTTAATAGGAAATTATTCATTACAGTAGAAAATGTTATTTCTGTGTTTATTATCTTCAGCACAAACATATTTCGATGCCTAAATTGCAGTTCCGTGTGAAATACAGCACTTTATACATTTACAAAATACAGCAGTTCTACATTTTGTTATGGGGAATTATTCCTGTGTGCAGTAATGTTGTAAAGTGTTTTCGACAAGTCACAGTAAATGCTCCCTGTCTTCATTTGCATTGTCCTCTGCTGGGATCAGGTTCAAAATGCTATTGTATTTTCAGTCTATGTAAATGCTTCATTGAATTAGACCCAGTGTTTTAGCCTGCAGGTGGGGTTTTGCATCAAATGGGCTGTTTCTGTCCTTGTGACCTTTGAGTGAGTCTGTGCCAAATGCTTTTGCTACACAGTTGATTGATGTACAGATTAAAATAATTAGAATATTGCCTAATGCCTAGGTGTTATAAACTCCAAGTGTTCTTTAGTGTTATCTTGCTTTGGATATGATTTGAGAGATTTAACTATCCATGAGCAGTGTAACTGTTGGTTAATTCACAAAGTAAGATGGGCAGTTGTCTTAGAATAGTGCAGCCCTTTAACAAGGGTTTACATTAAAAACAAATCTAAATTACAAAAAAAGAAGCAAATGTCTGGGAAGGGAATTGGGGTAAAAGTCGATATAAAAAAAAATACCTAAGATTGGATTTCTCTTATTGTCACTTGCTATCACCACAAGGTGTTGTGAAGGTAAAGTGCTGACTTTTTTTTAGTTCAACCATTGTGTGGTAAATGTACTCTAGAATCAGTTAATGATGGAATTCTGTGATGTCCCTCTGACCCTGTACATTTTACAGAGAGCTGCAAAAACGTTGCTGAATTGACAAGTAAATGGAAGCATGTCATTCTTAAATGTTGTAGCAATATGTGGAGTGCACAGTACTAGGCATGGAGCTCCTGCAGAAGTGCTCGATTACAGTTTGGGTTATCCTTAAAGTAATGTGTGCTCTTTTGTCTCTTTCAGTTATTTGAGCTCCTCAATTTCTTGGCAGAGAACTTCATCTTCTCCTACATGGGGTTGGCCCTGTTCACATTCAAAAACCACATATTTAATCCCACCTTCATAGTGGGAGCTTTTGTATCCTTTACAGTGTTCATGAAATGAAAGTTGAGCACCGCATATCAATTGTGAAATTAGGTGTGTGTTATTATAACTTTGCAAAGTGTACAAGTTTTTTTTATATATAAACCAGTTTTAAAGTCCCAGCTTAGTTTGATAAATGTTGTCCTGCACTTAACAATGAACCGGCTGTGTAGACAATTCTATGCATTTCTGAGATTGATGTTGGAAGAGATTTTGACAGTTTTGGGGACTTGTTTAAGTCGTAAATGTGGATGTAATTGCAGGAAACATTGCTTGTCAAATCCATACTTTTGCTAGGCTTTTACTGAAATAAATGATAAGAAAAGTGTGCAATACTTTTTTTGTATTGATCATGTTCAGTTGGAAATGAGACGATAGCTCCTCATATGGCTCAGTGGGAAAATGCTGTGTGTTTTACAATAACCTTTCAGCCTGTTACAGTGGAGCTCTCCTGTAATGTACAATAATAATAATAGTTATTAAATAGTAAATATATTTTGTACAATTTAAAAACAATATCGCGGGAGAGTTGCTGATTTTCTGCCACAGCTTTCTGCATAGTTAATTCAGAGCCAGAAGCTTCCACTGCAGGGAAATCTGTGTGCATTTGGGCCACACATGAGGTGAGCGCTTCAATGTGACTCAAGAACAACTGCATTAGCTGGAGGACTAAAATGTACCAATCAACAGAACCTGCAGCATTTCAAAAGCAGTCTATGTAAAATCTTCATTATTAAATGATTCCAGTTTTCATGATTTGCTAACTGATTCCTATCCACATAGATAGTGTTTTTCTGTATGTACAGGTACACTTTCAGCTCTATGAATTCCTTGATTGCATTCAACCAGCTTGCTGTGTTCCTTGGGAGAGCTGCCAACATCTACCCACTTTCCTTTTTGCTGAACTTGGGCAGAAGAAAAAAGATTACTTCAAACTTCCAGCACATGATGATGTTTGCTGGTAGGATTTTTTTTATCATAACCCTGCACAGAAAAACATTGTGACATTAATTTTCTATTGAAGCCTTTCTTGGGAAAAGCTGCAAATGATTAAGTAAATGTTTTACTCTGTTCATTTCTTGCCTGAAAGTCCACTATAGTGAACTACATTCACAGCAAATATTTAACAAAAGGTGTGTTTGCTGGAAGATCATTGCACTGCAGTCTTTTCATTATTTTGCAATCGAGTTTGACCAATGTTTAGAGATTTGTAACCACATTGGAACAAATCAAATCTGTAATAAAAAATATCTTGCATTTGATATTGCACCTTTCATGTCGAAAAAGTGCTTCAGTTAACACTTAACTGCCAATTTGCACACAGCAATGTCCCAATATAATGTTTCCTTTATTAAGAGGTTAATAAAGTTCTAGTTTTCCAATGAATATTTTTCATAAAGTTGTCGCGGATCAGAAGGAGGCAGGTTTAAATCCCAGACTCTGCTGAGTTATCTTGGTGCAGTTGTTCGGGTTCTTTGACCTCAACGACTCGTGGAAGGGCAAAATAAGACACAATTCCTGCTCCTGATCACTACCTGGAAGATATGTGTGTAGATGTCAGAAGAGGATAGGGTTGGACTTAGTTTTGTCAAATCGCCTGCCTGATCTCGCCCTCAAGGCATCACAGATGCTTACCAAAACTTACTCTCAAGGCTCTTGTGTGAGGAATAATTACTTGGACAAGGTACCAGAGAGCAGTGAAGGGAAAATGAGTATTCAAACAGGGGAGAAAGTTAGGAGGAAGAAAAATGGTGGGAATTTTTCTAGCAAAAACACCCTGGTGAATGAAAATGAACCATGTATTGAATTGGTAGGAATAACGCCAGTCGTATCTGTGTTTTACAGCAGCTAAATTTTAGAAACTTTTCCAAAGGAAGTATTTAGTATTAACAAGTCATTGCTTATCGTATTTTGCTTTTAAGTGTGAGGACTGCTAACAAGTTCCCTGTTGTTGACCTGTTTTAAAGGTCTAAGAGGAGCAATGGCTTTCGCTTTAGCTATTCGGGACACTGCCACCTATGCACGACAGATGATGTTTACAACAACCTTGTTAATTGTGTTCTTCACCGTGTGGGTGTTTGGCGGAGGTACAACCCAGATGCTATCTTGGCTTCGAATTAGGTTTGTGATGTGCTTGTAACATTCTGTATTATCAAAAAATCTGTTGTGATTGACATTCCTTTGATAACTTCAGAATTCTCTTGGTCATCCAGCAGATCTGCGAGGTAAATGTTTAGACGTCTCTGTCTTTTATTGTATTCATAAGGAAATTGCAGCTGTTAAATAAAATCCAGTTGCCTCACCAACTGTCTGGATAGTTTCTATCGAATATATATTTTTTAAAAATGTAATACACAATTGTTTAACAGTCATGTGTCTTTTTTTTACAATATTGTGTAAATTCACTTTTCTAGAGTTGGAGTGGATTCCGATCAGGACCAGCCTGCAAATATTGAATATTTACAAGAAGTGGGTGCTGTAAGTAGGTCTCCAGTAAAAAAAATGTTTGCGACTCAGCGAAGTTGAAGCTATCCTAGTAGAATGACGATTCCTTGACACATTTGTGGCCTCAGTCTAGTTTGAAGGAAGAATGGGAAATGTGCTTTAAATAAACTCTCTGAAAGGGCCTCTTTGAGAAGATCCTCCTCTTATACGAGATCATGATGACTTGACAAAATTTGTCAATGCAATTCACTTTGTGTAGCAGCAAAGCGTTCCACACAGCACCATGTTTTTTGTTTACTGATAACTGTTTGTTTTCCCTTTTATTTCTCCTAGAACGAAGGGGGAAGAAGCAGCACAAAAGCTGAAAGTGCCTGGCTGTTCAGATTGTGGTACACATTTGATCACAAGTATCCTTTATCTGCCATATGTTTTGTACCATAAATAGACTTAGGAGGGAGATGGAAGGGGAGACAGTTGAAAGTTAGTGTCGCGTATGATTAAATAGCGCTGGGCACTCTTGAGACGCTACCCACATGAAAGGGCGCTATATAAATGCAAGTTGCGGTTGATAAATTGGTTCAAATTAAATTGGCAATGGAACCTCTCTAATGTACTAACAGATAAGGCCATTCACTAAAAGGTCACTGCAAACTGTTGCTAATTTCAAAATTTGTTGCTAAGGCTCGATTCTCTAAAGGAGATCTTTGTGAGACGAGTGGTGCGGTAATTTGAGACTTGCCGCTGGATTATGAGTCGTGCGAAGTTTCCAGCAGAGGGAGCTGCAAGACCTATTGGTGAACACCCACAAATTCTACCAGCAGGATCCACAGGAATACCGACTGATGCTCTTTTTCTCCTTCCCACCCCACTCTCCCCCCACCCCCCCTTTATGAAAATAATCAGGCAGCCTCCCAAGATAGTGTCTTGTAATGTAGTTACCCCAAAATACTCGTGGAAACAAAACCCATCAGTTTGAATCAATCGTATGTTTGAATTATGGGGTTTTGCAACACTATATTAAAAAAAAGGTAAGAAACCAGCACATTATATTCAGTTTCTTCAGATAGTTACAGAAGCTCAAGAGAGCTGCGCGTTTGCACAGCCGCAGGTAAATTTCAGCCCTTGATAGCGCCACTCACAGAGTGCAGAAAAAAAATCCGTAAGACGTTGCGTGAATTTTTTCAGTTTTACAAGGAGTTGTTTGTTTGCTTAAATCCCCAAACAGTGCGAGTCACTTTCCCGGAAAGTGCTGTAAATGGTTCGATCAAACAATAACTTTCTTGGCAGTAACCTGGCTGTGTGTTTCATTGAATATGTTGAGGACTGTGTACTTTAGCACTGTGAGGTTCAACATTCATTTTCACTGGGCAAAGTGTGCAGGGCTTAAAGTTGCCTGTTTTATAAGAAAGGGGGAAGGGTAGCAGCATACCTCAAGCCCTTCAATTTTTCACATCTGGAATATTTTAAAGTGACATCAAGATTCTCCTTCAAAACGGTCACAGTAACAGCAGGCATTCTTTATTTCCGTGGATAGATCATAATCCACATACTTTACCTCTTTATGGTTTATCACTTGTCAACATGTCTGCAGTTATTTGTTGCTTACAGGCACACAATGAGCAACTTAACTTCAAAAGAACAGATGGCCGTGGTTGTAAACCTGATGTAACAATTTCAGATGCAGATACAAACCCCCAACAGTATCTCGTGAGGTTAAATGTAGCCCGCATTTGGATCCCAATGAGATTTCTAAAACATTTCTAGATATTAGGATTCAGAGAATGCTAATTGAACCCAAGAGTCCTTTCGGTATTTAAAATAGCTGGAATCTTTTTATCTTTGGAATCTTCTTTCATTTCAATAGGATGTGAATGTGTCAATATTTTATCAGTCGTCAAAACTGAACTTGTTTTCCTTCATGGAAATCGCTCAGTTATTTAAAACCCATCTTGACTGACAGCGGACCCCCTCTCACAACCACTTTGCCGAGCTGGTGTGGACCAATAGCACGGTGTCTAACAAGCCCTAAAGCTTACGAGGTAAGACTGGGATGTAAATCTGATTGTTAAATATCTTAAAGATAGCATTTCTGACAAAGCGGCGCCCAACGTTCTTCAAACTGCGAATGTTTTACGTGTCACAAATGCCAGCAGAACTATTGTAACACAGCAGCATTCAATACTGTCGACTACACAATGGTTGTTAAAGTATAAAGGTTGATTACATTTCAATTTCTCTGGTCTGTTGCCAGTTGTGTTATGTGCAGGAGAGACTTACTGTACTCTGAGCAAGTAATCTACATTCCACACCTCAAAACATGTAATTCTTTAAAACTTTGAGTTAAAGGACAGACAGCATTTTGCAATTGTAATGGAATATTTTCCTGTCATATAGGCTCTCGAACTGAGACAATTTATTATTTTTTGGAAAAACTTTGCTTTTAGAATCAAGAACAGCTGAAGGATGATGATTCGGATCTTATTCTGAATGACGGTGACATTAGCATGACCTATGGAGATTCGACTATTGCGATCACTGATTCATCTACTGCTGGCTTCGATCGGAGGAATTTGGTTCACAACCTAGAAGATGCCCAAGAGCGAGAATTGGCGTTTGGAGACCATGAACTTGTCATAAGGGGAACTCGCTTAGTCCTTCCAGTGGATGACAATGAACCTCCATTTAATCTCAACATGAAAGATCACTCTAGGCGTGATCCAGCCTAACTTCATCAGCTGCAGGTTTACCTTAAAACCCAGGTCAAGGTATACTTTAAAGAAAAATGCACACTGCTCCAAATCTAAAGCATGTCTCAAATTATGTTAAAGAATAAGAGGCAACTATTTATCATACTTTGAGCCATGGTGTTTGAAGGATTGAATGTTTCAACATAGTAAAAGCCTAGGAGTGTGTATTGTATTTGAAGATCTAAATGGATTGTTTTTGGTGCATTGAATCTCAACATCTATTTAAAACTGTCTCCATTTGCTCTTTTTCTTAATTCAATCCACTCTTCTCAGAAACTCTGCCTTCTTTAAAGGTTGAGTCACAATGTCACAACATCATTTGTTAACGTAAAGTGTTTCATGCCTTGATATTTGACCGTCCAGTTATTTGAGCTGCCTGGAACTTCATGGCATCCTGGGAAATGAAGCGATGTTTGTGTAGATTTAATACTTTTATACTGTTCAGTGCATTTGAGGCAGACTACAAATAGAACAACTTCTTGACAAATTTGGATCCTATTAAGCACTGTTACCATTTTGAAATTTGATTATATTTGAGCGACCCCTAGTAGAACAAGTACTTCGGATGCGTTTCCATTGCTAAAGCCAAACTTAAATTATATCCAATAGAACTGAGATCAGCCATGTGTGTGCAAAGTGAATTACTTTGTGGTGGTGTTTGTGATAATATCAAATTAAGAAATGGTAGCTGCCACAATGCACTGACCAGGCGTACTCTGAATCTCTACCATCGTTTACAATCTGTGATCTGTATTTGGCGCTGATCAGAATTGAAGCCGGGTGAATTTCATTTGAATTGAACCAAATGAATTGGTTTGCTTATCCACACACTTCACATATGGTATATTCCAATTTCAGTGCGGAAATAACTTGTGGCTTTAATATGGAGTGAATACAATAGTGCATTGTAGAACATGGCAAGGCTCATAGTATTCATCAGTTACCACATTCCTTTGAAAAGCAGTTATTTACGTGCTATAATCACAACTGTAGGTTGTTTACTTTTGAGCATCTATTATTTAAATGCATATTCACAATCCCTGTGGTCTGGTTTGGAACGCGATATCACAAATTGGAACCTTTATTTACAACTGGGAATAAACTAAACTATTGTGTTTATTGCTGGTGGCAAGCAACTTCCCAGGATGCTGATTTGTAAGTGACTCAATGGAGATGCATTGGGGAAAATCTAGAGTGACTCGCTTGGAAATGGATCTGTCTGCTCTCTTAGCCATTTGAAAGTTCCCTGGATTAACTGATGGGTCTGAATGTGGTTGGGAACATTGAATGTGATCATCCCTGACAGGAGGCCTGAAACCTACCACTCCATGCCACAAGCAATGTTAACTTGCTGGCTCTGTCACTTTGCTGCCTTTTCAGGTTAATTGGGCTTCAGGCAAACAGCGTTATTTACGTTATTATGTTATTACGTTCCCTAGTTCAGATTAACCTTTAGTATTACATCGATTAGGAGTGTTACTAGGTTGTAAAACATATAGAGTTTTGGATTGATATACACCACGAGTGGTTTAGTGCCCCATAAGAATGAGTGTGCAAGAGCGATAAAGATAATAACAAACATTTTTCAATAATGTATTCAAATGTACTCTCAGCTTTTGTACGATTGCTTGCTTGGTCCACCTTGTTTCTGAAGAAAATAATTGCATGAAAATAAAATGATTTTGATTGGAATGAAACGGATCCAGCAAGTGAATGGAAATATATATATATGAAGGCCATTTGAACAAAGGAATGTTTGAATCAAATTTTAAACATTATTAAACTTTTTCTGTAGTGGTTGTTGAGTATGTGGTCCATGTACAAGTCCCAACATATACTCATAGGGTTGGTGAACACTTCTGTAGTTGGTTTATGGTGTTTTTTTAGCCACCAGAGTCTTGCTTTTGCTAATGTGGCTGTATTGTAATTATATGTATAGTAATATTGCCATACACCTTCACCTTTTAAAATTGATACTTTTCCTTTACTGTAGTTAGATCTATTCGGAGAGAAGCAGGTTGAGTGAGTAGGTGGCTGCAGGACATGAGGTGTGTCCTGGTCTAATGTTTTAAGTAATCAAAGTACCATAGCATATTAGAAGTAGTTTAAAATTGGCACGTTACAGGACATGTCCTCATTTTATTTCCTTCAGTTGTATTTCATAGCTCCAGAGGGTTTGTAACTGAACGATTAAGCGTTCCCTATACCTCCCTGTTCCATACAATGCTTCTGACAATAGGATGTAGCTGGTGATACCCTCAGCAAGAATACATCTCTTTTTTTTTGAACCTTGTGGTTGCTTGGAGCATAATGATTTTACTGTACGGTACTTTCACTCGAGTATTTTGTGAGCTTGTGTGGGCAAACATGAGGCCCAGCAGGGCCTATAAAATTATGGTTGTTTTCTGTATCTGCAGGTCAATCAGTGAACTAAGCCAGACGGATTTGGGCACACCTGATCCTTTGATGTTGCTAACTGCTGGAAACGATTGTGCTGCCTTATGGGATTTTTGCCACCATTACCCTAACCTCACCATTAACTAGGTGGATCAAAGTCTCTTTGCTTTCCTGGATGTAGTGCGCTGCTATTTTGTGGAGCTGATGACTGTGGAGGGTAAGGCGAGGTAGAAAGTGGTAGATAGAAAGGTGAGGTAGAAAGTTTCATCTCACACTTTATTTTCCTGCAGTTATAACAGTTTACGTGTCTTCATCTGTAGGATGGATATTACCTTGGTGTTTATTTTCTTGGTGCAGATCTATTTGCCCCATTGTGGTGGCATTAAACCACTTGTGCTGTGTGCAGTGTTGTCTTTGAAACTGTCAAGCCTTTTTGTTTAACACTGCATAAAGGAGAGTTTAACATCCTTGTGACACCAGACAAACATTGTTTTTTAGGTTTTGACCGACTGGCAGAGGTTTTACAGGAGAAATACTGCAGTACTAGTACGTGATACTCCTGTGTGTGTGTGTGTGTGTGTGTGTGTATATATATTATCTGAATAATGAGGCTAATGTAAATTAAGCTTTGGACTTGTAAATACAGTCATGTTAATATGCACTTATCCCATGATTTAATCACAGTTTGCTTAATTTTCAAACTGGAGAAACATTTATTTGGATTGCACTGTGTATTTGTTAATTTTAACTCATATCTATTTAAGAACAAATGGAGTCTTAATATGCAGCAGTTTTTAACTGGATTCCTTAATAAAGAAAGCTGGTGTGAGCTTCCTTTCTGTGCTAAAAAAGTAAATTAGGTTGGTTTGGCTGTCCCACAGCTTGGTATGACAAGCTTCCGTATTCCTTTGTAAAGGATCCTATTTGAAATTGCTGAATATTAAATCCCAATTATTACTTGATAAACAAAATGTCTCGGCTGCTGCTATCAACTGACAGTGTTCCTCCCAACCAAAGGGCAATGCTAAACTTTGTTGTTGTCCGGTGATGTGCTGTCAACAATGCTAAATACATTAAAAGAAGTTTGTCCTGACTAAAACTAATGATGGGGTCTGTATCATTATAAGGTCACGTGCTATAAAAATGCTAATAGAAAAGCAGCTGGTCATTTTAGTGTGCTTAGGGTTGTGGCAGTTTGTGTTTAAATTCTATGGAACATGACATTTCATGTGGAGCTGAAAAGAGAGAACTGTAAAGCCTAGAAATGAAAAGTAAAATCCCCCCAAAATACTGCAGATGCAGAACAGGTTAATGCTTTAATAGAGAAAGCTCTAAACTAAGACTGGTTATAGTCTGGGGTCTGACCCTCCTAACAATAACTGGAGAAGTTCCTTTTATAGGAATGCAAACTCAAAACAGCACAGTTATTCCAGTTCTGATGAAGGGTCCCATCAAAACCCATCACCCACCCAGGAAGCCAATATAATGAAAGAGAAGTATTTGAAGTGATGGATACTATTGTATTCGTTCTCCATTCATCTTAGTTTATGCATGTTAAGACATTATTGTAATAGTTGTGAATTTCTGCTTGAATTCCCTGCACTTGCCTAATTCCATGTGGCAATATATCTAGTGTAGGAATTAAGCACCACTGACTTACAGAGAGCTGTGAAGTTAAAAATCACTTAAAAATATATGCTTTGTGTAAAATTTGTCTCGTTTTGCTTTTTACTTTTCATTTTCCAATGTTGAACAAAGTTACAATCCAATAGGAAAACATTTATTTTCTTGAGCTTAATTGTAAGACATGTGCATGCAAGGAACACTTTACTTTGAGGTAGTCCTTAAAAAAAATAACAGTGAAGCTGTGATGTTCTGCTGTACCAGTCTGGTATGTGTACTGCTGATGCCTGTACCCATTTCTCTAACCCTCACGCTTTGCTGACCTTGTCCACTGTCAGGTTGACTCCCCTTTTCACCAATCTGCTGTCTTATAGGCATTCTGTGCCAGTCGGGTTTTGGATAGTTGAGATGCCACTGTGTGCACACAGAGAAGGGACAGTTTTAACCACATTTGTACTTGCTATAAATGTATTTCCTGCTGTGCAGGAATTCGATTAAAACATTTTCAAGATCAGATCAAAATGATGAGGATTATTTTCCAGTAATAAGCTACCAATATTTGTTTCAGGCACTATACACATAGAGCAAATCTGCTTGATCTGCGGGGAGCATTCTAAAGCAGATTAATTGTAGCATTTTAAATAACTGAGCAAGAAGCATTTTTACTGAGAAGGATATAGAGCCTAAGACATCAATAGCCCCCTCTCTCTACTTGTCCAATACTTGATTTACATTTTTGTAATCAATTTTCTTTTAAAAATCCTGTTAGACGTCTAGAAAACCTTCCCAATGACAATACTCATTTGTTTTCCGCAGCCCTTGTGTAAAATGATGATCCAATAACATACCACTACAATTTTTAACATAAACAGCTATCTATGAAATACTTTGCAAAGGCATAGGTTGGAGAAAAATTGCTGTGCTATTCTGCGTGGGTCAAATTCCAAATCAGAAACTTGATTGTCGATTTCAAAACCATTTTTCTTTCTGAACGTTAACCTCTGCCAAAGTTCTATTACTTTAGGCCTTTGTAGAATTCCAACTTTTTTCTTAAGTTATGAAGAGAGTGCGGATATTAAAGTGGATGAAATGTTTTCCTTTTTGTACGTATGTTGAGACTTTGCAGACCCAACAGAATTGCTGAAGGCAGTTGTGAAGTAGACTTAGTACCATAGATGTGGTCTTGGAGATTTTGTTGGTTTATGTAAATCAAGACATTTTAACCACATCCTGTCAGTTTTTCACATGTCTACAATGTTTAGCTGATGTGGTAATTAGTGTTTTGCAGAGTAAAAACAGCATTAACTGTGCGGGTGTGTAATGAACTTTATGTGACTAATGTATCTGCAGCAACTTTATTTGCACTGACTGCNAAAAAAATTGTGTAAATATTCTGTGATTGATGTGGCGCATGGTACGAGAAATAAAATCATGCGTTTGTTTAAAAAAAGATATGCAGTGAAGTCATTGTACTTGCTTTTTTTCAGGATTTACTGTTTTTTGTTTAAAAGTTTCGACAATGGCCACTTAGGTAGAATACCAGAGGGCAATTGGCACCCACTGAACCACATTTCAGCCTCGTCTTGTCGAAGATCAGACAAGATCTCATGTGTGCTAATCAGATAGGAGTATTGGAAAACATTTGGAATGTTGCAACTGACATTTTAATCTTTCTCAAGAGATGTGTGTGCCTGAATACTTTCACCCACTGCATTCCTTGGCAGATTGAATACAGATTTCCACACAAACATCTTTAGAGATCTGGCGTACTACATATGTAAGACTAGGAGTCGCTCTTTCCGTTACCGTACGGTTTAATTTCAATAACCAGAACTGTGTTGATGTGTTGGTTGTGAAAGAAAAAGCAGTTTGTTGATCATTACATGGAGCAGAAGCTTATTCCACTCTTGTCATTGCAGCTCTCATACACACTAACAGTATTCAGACCCATTGAAAGACACTTGAAGAGCAGAGTTGTCGATACAAAATGGTTTGGAAACCAGTTTAAGATTCATGTAACCCAGTGTGTTATGGTTGTTCTTCAAAAAAAGAACTCATCTTTAATTTTAACTACTGATGAATATCTAGAGTACTCACAATGTGAAATTAAAACAATGATGTCTGCTTCTAACTGAAGGGCAACAGTTTCCAATTAGGCTAATTTAGGTAACGGACAAATATTTGTCTGCTTGTCCTTTTTGGTTTCCATGACACCAAATTTAACACAGGAAATGTTATTCAGCAGTTCTTAGTACTCAGTAACCAGGCTTAAATTTTTTTGTATGAAAGTTGATGAATATTTTCCTGGTAGAAAGGAATGTACTGCCATTCCAGAAATTTACATTGGATAACATTTTCTTAAAAAAATAAGTACTTGCTTTGACTTCTTGAAGGTTCAGCTTATTTATTCCCTTAGTTTAAATAATAAGACATGACATTTAACACTTAGAATTGTCCATCCAATCAGGTTCTTTACTGTTTCTGTCATAAACAGCATGAAAGCATGACTGTTTTCTGTGCTGATAACTATAAGTATTTTCTCATATCCTGTAGGGGACGGACAGACCCAAGCAGGCAACAGAAGCTGAACCAGAGGATTGCTACTGTTCTGTGAGTGTTTTGAATTCTTTCCCTACGTTCTGATCACATTTCTGACAGTTTTGGGAAAAATCTACCCAGTTATAAGTGAATCAGGTTACAGATAAAGGAGCTGATGAGGTGCAAATCTTCAGCAAAATAAATTTAGTTGGATTGGCTCCATAATTCTGGTTAGAATTATGTCCTTGTCCACTTCATATATAAGAGAATATCTAACTTTCTGTACAAAAGGCTTAAATCTTTATTAAAGTCAAAGAATTAAGTTTGGTAGCATTCAGAAATATCCATGCTTTATATTAAATTACATCAAATATTGATGTCATTCCTCGCTTCAGATTGTAGATTGTTTATGCGAAGTAAGTACAAAATAAGAGGATTGTAGTGTCACTTTGGCTCAGTTGGTAGCACTCTCACCTCTGGAACAAATGATTTTGAGTTCAAGCACTAGATTGGGATTTGAGCTGCTCATCCAGACAGACAGACTGGGGGGGTGGGAGGGGAGCGTGTGGTGCTGCATTGTGTTGGAGCTGCCATCTCCTCAGAAGAATTATTATTAAGCCAAGATTCTGTCTGCTATTTTTCAAGTGGACATTAAAGACCCCATAAAGTCAAATGAGAAGGGAGTTTCTCTCAGTGTTCTGGTGACCATAAATTGATCATTATTGGCTACTTCATAGCTTTTTTTTAGGCACTTCATGGTGCAAATAGATGCCACTTTTGCCTACAAAAATAGTCACTACACTTGACATTACTTGTGAAGCGCATTGAGATATTTCAATGTGAATAGCAGATCTAAAAATATAAGTTCTTTCTATCTACATTACTTAAAAAATCTCAAATGAAAAACAATTTTAACCCTGCAGCTTACTACTTTACTGATGAAATACCTCGGCATGTGGGATATCGAATTGAATGCATTTCAACTGATTTTAAAATGGAATTGCTGATTTTTGCTGAAACAGGGCAGGTGTTTTTTTTATTTAAAAAAAACTAAATTTGTACACAGGGTCGACGTGAGGTTAATTGATTCCTTATCATTCAAACCTCTGAGGCGAAACGTCGGGATAATGAGCACACATATGCCTGAATTGAATCCCTCTCTATTGTCTTGTGTTTCTGGTCAATAATATGCCCTGGCACAGCTTATTTTTTCCTTCCATTTATTTTATCTTTACTTTCTCCAGGTTTTATATGTTCTGTTCATAGCTTTTTCCCATTGATGTTCAATGATGTTAGTTTGATCTCTAGAAAACGAATAGAGAAGCATTACAGAAAGTGATTATCATATTCCATTTGTGTGACATTCTCTTTGAAGGATCCCTGATAAGGTCTGAATAATTGTGTTTATGGGATTCAAATTTAATGTGGGTGAAACCAGCTTGATCATTGTTTTTAGGAGCAGTCTTTAAAACACCATAGTTTAATGCTTTAAAATTTCTCTCTCAAAGGCTCTCGTTATTGGAAAAACATTTTGGCAAAGATGAGACAAAGGATCAAAGGTTTCATTTTTCCAGTTCAGAGTGCACAGATAATTGCAAAGTAAATTAATGTTGCCTTTCATATCCGACACAAACAAGGTAACCATGGAGAAAGAGCTCATGTGGTGAAGCGCAAAAGTAGCACAAGGAAGTTAGTTCTATAACTGGTAATTTGAAATACAAACCGTGCAATACAACTTGCATTTATATAACGCCGTTCATGCCAGTAGGGTCTTGGAGTGCTTAATACCAGCCCGTGATCCACTCACGCGTGAAAAAATGGACAGCAACTCTGAATGCTGATAACAGCACAGACTGCCTGGCTCATTCGCAGGACCTGGAAGGACAAATCAGTCACTGGGGGCAGGGAGTCATCCCACTCAGTTCCTGTTAACCTTGCAAGCAAAAACACTAACGGGTAGGGTGGTCCTAGCTGACGAGCAGTGGGATAGCTTGCCAGGCAGCGACATCAATGGCAAGCTAGATGGTTTTATCTGGTTAGACAGCAGTTACCCCAACGTACACTCTGGGATCCCAAAACCCTGGCTCTTGACAACCTGCGCCTAATATTTTCTGGAATTATATAAGCAGGATGCCCTTTAAACCAGGGATAGGATCCGCTGAAGGAATTGCCTCCTCCGCGCCCCCCCCACACCCCCCCAGCACTTCAAAGCTCTGGATCAACTTGTGATGGGGACAGTTGGGTGGGGGCTGAAGCCAAAGCCAAAACCCACCAAAACACTCTTCAGAAACCCGGGACAAATAATGGAGTGGATTGGAAGGTACTTTTAAAGGTGGAACCTAAAACCTTGTTCAGTGTACAGCTTGCATCTTGCAGCAAGAGCAATGTCAGCCAACTCTGACCTCACGTATGGGCAGGGGTCCCACCCAGTACACAGTGTGATTGTGTGCAGAGGGTGGTGTAAGCACACAGCATAAGTGCACGTCGTACATCTAAGTGCATGCCTACCAGCCTGTGTCGCTCACACCTTGTCACACTGGGTGCTGAGGTTAAAATCTGCACCTGTGCTTCCTACTCTGTGACATTGGCCAGAAGGATTTATACACTATTTAAAAACATTGAGATTAAAAATTTAAATTTAACTCAAACTAAAAAGTATAGATCAGTAAAGGTTTACCGACCAAAGAAAATCCAACAGTGGAAGTTTGAAGCCCCCACCTTATATAACCCAAGTTTAGCAACAAATCAATGTTTTAAATATTCTATTTACCAGTTCCCAAACAGAGCTCCAAACCATTTACAACATTGCACAGGGGGCTTAAACGTTCTGTATAACAGATCGCCGCTGTTACCGATCCTAAAAACTACAATATTTTCAATTAAGAATGTTGTCACTTATTAAACGTATGTGATGGACGAACGTTCCCTATGATTTGGAGTCCTGTAGTTCAGTGGTTAGAGCTCTCGCCTTGCAAGAGAGAGACCTGGGTTCAATTCCCGGCAGGGTGTAACGTTGGGCAAGTTTCCTCACTCTGGACCTCTATCCCGCAATTCCTCCTCCTCACCCCCTCTCTTGCCTCCTTCAAGTCCCGTCTGAAGACCTTTCTCTTCGATCATGCCTTCGGCCACCCTCCCACCCCCACCCCCTGCCCTCTTCCCCTTCTGACCCCAACTCCCAGCTCGGGTCGAAAACCCCTAATTATCCAGCACCCTGGAATGTCTTTCTGAGGTGAAGGGCACTATACAAGTGCAATTTGTTGTTGTTGTTGTTGTTACTCCACAAGCCTCTGTTTACTTAGCAGTAAGTAGGAACCCGGTTGTTAGTCGATTGGTGGATCACTTCTCCGTCGGTAATAATTCCTTCAAAAAAAAATTGCTCACTCAATCCACGACTGTTTGTGGGACACTGCTGTGCGTTTTGCCCACAAAATATGCAGTTATTCACTTTACAGTGTATTCTGTGAAGCGCTTTGAGACGTCTCGAAGACGTGATAAGGCGCCAAGGATTATTATTATTATTTCTATTATTTGTCGTTGTAAAGAATTATCCTTGTTTGCTCCACATCAACACTCCGGCGGTTCAAACATTAAACCGACTCATAGATAAAGATTGCTAATCCGCTCCGTGTCCTGGCAGAGAGAACGTATTTGAGTCAGTTTTGGACTCTGTTAAGAGTGCACTGAACATGATACTGCGCAATGTTGGCACAGGAAATTGAAGTTATGGAGTTACCATAACAAGATGCCTGTAAAGAACAGTTATCAGTTTCTATTTTTAATCTGTGATTAAACTGTAGCATCTATGAAGGTGATTTTTCATGTGGATAAAAGTCATACTGTGGAAATGCTCACAATGCACTAAAGTTAGAACGTTGATCTATGTCGTGAACAGAACAGCTGTAACCTAATTTCACTTCTGGTGACAGTCTGCCCTGTGGGGTTGTGATACATGAGCCCCCCCTGTAAAAGGGATCAAATTCTTCAGCATATCATAACTGCGCTTAGCTCCACTTCCAGTTGTGCAAGGCTGCAGGGACTATCCACAGCTCCCAAAATAAATACTATAGGTATCTGGGAAATAACCACGTACAAGCCTCCCTTCCCCCATTCAGTAGGTGGCGTAATTTAGACAATATCCCCCTTTTTTAGCAAAAAAAACCCTTTGCCTCTCTCCAGTTTTGCTGGGAAAATACAGATGTGTATCAGCAAACTTACCAATGTCCGTTTTTGATTGTCCTGAACTATATCAATACTGTTTTTGGTCCTAGAGGGAACCAGGGGTAAGGCACAGCACTTGAAACTTCAAGTTGAAGGTAATTGGGCAGTTCCAGAGAGGCTGCTGGTCAGGTTTTTTGAGAAAGGAACGAAGGATTGGGAATGAATTTCTTTGAAATACAGTATTTTTAAAAAAAACGAGTAGAGTTAAGAATTTAATGAAGCTGATTTAATGTACAGTGGATTCTAAGTGTGAGCCACGCTTCCGGGTAATATGGATATTTCTGTCAGGAGTGATTTACAAAAAGAGTGAAAAATTAATCAACGTTCTTGAGAATTTAACCAATTTACCAGAATAAATCTAATTGTGGTGCTCGCAACAAACTAGTCTAGAGAAAATGGGAAAAAAAATGGCTTTGCGTGTATGTAGAATGAATAAGTGAGAAAAGTGTCTCTTCCCACCTCTCAGCCTGTGGAAAATTGCGACTGTTGAATGGAATGCACTTTACTTTATGTTGTACAATTTCGCACTCTTGTTTCGAATGTTGATTTACCAGCTGGTGTTAATGTGAATCCCTACTAAGAAAATACTAAGCAAACAGATCCCTGCTCTATATTATATTGATAGTGTACGTAGTGTATTTTGGGGGGAATTAAGACCATAAGGGTTTTCACACTAACTGTTTGTCCTGGGGTGAATGTCCCCTGTACAAAATGCACGTGAACACAGAAGAAACGTGCGTCTCTTTTAAGAACAGATCATTCACATTAATGCACAGAGCAATTGAAGAAAGATAATAATTTTGCTCACCAGTGCTGTTCACAGACGATTTTTTATTTGCAAGATTAAAAGATAA